CATCCTCCATAGCCTGCCCAAGGCTCCACCATTAGCAAATAGTTTTGCTGGACTGAAAGTAGAACTATCTAGCCTCTCTCAGGTGGTCCACAAAACACAAGGTTTAGCCAACAGCCCAGCAGACGCAGCCTGCCCACATCAACCATGGCCTTATGTTCAGGTTCCTCAGAGCACAAAAGCAGATCAGCTGTGTTCTGCCCTTTGTTATCACCAGCACTTCCTTCTCACAAAATTACTTTTGTACCCAGCGGACTAGAATTGCTCAGGAAGCACTCTCAAGCAGGGAGAACTTTTTGCAGGACATAGAGAGAGTGCTAGTGCCAGGGAGAGGGACCATTCACCAGGGGGATGAATTTGCCATCAGTCAATTCCAAGGCACCCATGAATTTTCTGAATATTTATGCAGATATGTGCATTTCTGGGGGAAAGGGCTCAGTGGATTTCTTAGATTATCTCAGTGGGATATGTGACATAAGTAACTCAGAAGAATCTGTTTATGACTTAATTTCTCCTACCCCAAATACCAATAAGATCTCCTGGCCATTTTAGAGACAGAAATAATAAAGCAAGTGAGAGAAAGCCTACAGAGGAGCTCTCCTGTCACTCACTGTCAGGGCTACTGAATCGTGTGAACATGCCTGTGCCTCACCATGGGCTGGACTCTGACCTCCATCTTCTCAAGTCACAATAGGACTCAAGAGACCCCAGGACCCCAGAGAGGCATAATGGAGCTGGAAGTCCTGCGTTCATGTTCCAGCTCTGCCATTCCCAGCTGTCTGATCTTAATATCCTTGGGTGTCAGGAGATAATGCCTCCCTCACAGAGCTGATATCAGAATGAAATGAGATCTTGTGTGTGAATAAGGGTTGACTGTGCCAGCCAGATAAGAGAGCTCAGAGTATAACCTGGTAGAATGGCAAGAACCTTGCAAACCTTCTGAGCACTTGAAGGTAACCAACAGGGAAGAAAGAGGGGTAGGTGAGGCTGATGGTCCTTCTTGAGGGCTGGGCCCCTTGCTGAGGATCTTCTGGAGTGAAAGCAATACTCCAGCATTGTGCAGGACTCTCAAATAGAAATTAGACAATCTTGTCAGGTCAGGTCCCTGTGGGTTTACTTGCAGCTACATCCAAACTGGGTACATTTAAAGAAACAGATTGGAACCTAGAAAGACTTGACAATTCAATAGTTCCTTCCTTCATTAACCTAGTCCAGTTTGGATGAGGCACATTCAAGAAACTCCAAAAAGTGCTGAGAAAAATCCCAACAGGACTGCAGGGTGAAGTGCAGTGAGGAAAATAATCATATCTTTTCAGAGCTCCTAGAACAGCGCCATCCAATAGAAATATTATGCAGGTCACATATAGAATTTAAATATTTTAGTAACCACATTTTAGAAAGTAAAAAGAAAGACGTGTAATTAATTTTAGTAATTTAATTAACCCAATACAGCCAAAGTGTAATCGTTTCAGCCTATTACCAATATTTTTTAAAGTATTAATAAGGTACTTCACATTCCGTTTTTTCAGACCAAGTGTGTCTTTTACACTCATGGCACTTCTCGCTTAGGACTAGTCACGTTTCAAGTGCCAAAGCCACGTGTGACTAGTGGCTGCCAAACTGGAAGCGCGGGCCTGGACGCAACAGGCAAGTGGAAGGAGAGCGGGTGCGAAGCCACTGCGGGGTGGCCCCTGGGGCAGGACCCTGGCCTTACTCCGAGGCCCGCGCTGAGGGTAGGCGGTACCCACCTTCTTCTGGAAGAAGCCCGCGGAGCCGCCGCGGATGGCCAGCAGCGCCGTGTAGCGCAGCGTCTCGCGCACCGTGAGGCTGCTCAGCAGAGTATCGCTCTGCGGGAGAGGCAGGCGTCAGTCAGCGTGGCCCGAGCCCCCGGCTGCGGCGGGCGGGGGGCTGGGGACGCGCCCACCTGCAGGACGTAGGAGAAGCAGTCCTGGAACTGCTCGGTGCGCAGCGGCCGGCCGTTCACATACACCTCCCCGAGGAAGGTCCCCGCGCGCCGCAGCCTCCCGGACATGGCGTCCAGCAGCGTGGTTTTCCCCGAGCCTGGGAGCAAGAAGAGAAGGCCCCAGACGAGTCCCTCCGTGAGGCTCTGCAGGACCTCTCAAGACCTCGGGGGACCCTCGGTCCAGCCCTGACTTGTTCTCTCTTTAGCTTGTGAGTCAAACTCACGACAGAAACGTGGCTTTCCACCTGGAGCCCTGAATGAGAGGGACAGACCATTTCTCTCGTTCGGGTCCAGACTGGAGGGGCTTTGGCTGGCTATTTATTTGCTTTTAAAGCTATTTTGGCTTGAAAAAGAAAATACAGAATCAAAATGAAAGGAAAACAAGAGCTCTAGGAAATGTTGGGATCTAGAACATCTGGATTTCCTTCTGTGGGCCCCTGGGGTTGTTGAGTGAGTGGTTCCTGAGGGTCAGGGACACTGCCTAGAGCCCTGCTAACCAAGTGCGATCTGAGGACCAGCAGCATGTTCAGTGTAAAAGCATAAACGTTGTCATCAGACCATGACTAGATATCATCAGAAACCAGCCCATGAGACTCCAGATCAAGACCCCCCACCTATGAAGCATGACGTTGGCCTGTGGGACACACTTCTGAAAAGGAGGGTTCAACTCCTTGTTGTGTGCTACACACCACCCTTTTTTATCCTACACGAGGAAGGCAGAAAGTAACCAATTATGAAAGGATAACTCAGCCTTTTTTCTTTTTAAAGAAGTATATTATAATTATCAAAAGGAAAATTAGAATGACCCTGGATATTCTGGTATATGCCTATAGTAAGAAATGCTTAAAACTTGGAAATAGGAACTGACAGCAAATCTCAGGAAAGTGTAATAGTTTTACTCTGTGAATTCCTTTTCATTTAATCTTAACAGTACCACTACCACCCAGTTCACTTGTTGTGGCTATGGATTTAACTCCCCAAGTCAAAAAAGGGTGACCATGCTTACCTTTCGTCACAGATTTACATTGCCTATCTCTATCACAGGAAGGCATGCAGGCAGAGAGTGCCAGTAAATGTCAGCAATTTGCAGGCAAGAACTCAATCAAAAGGCTCCTCTGAAGCCAATTTGTCAGGATCTTTCAACGTTAAAATGTGTGGATAACCTAGTGTAGCAGACCCTGTGATGTACCACACAGACCCCCTCCTCCCAGCCAGCACACCCATCCCCCAACTGCTGCCAGTTCATAGCTGTGGCCCTCAGAGGGCGTCGTCCCCAGCCACGGCAGCTACACCCTCCCACAAGCGGATAAACTCAGTCTAGCTATCCCAGGAAAGACCAGAAGGACGAGGTGAGGAATGGGTACATAGATAGCTTCATTGGAATCTGTAATATTTAATTACTTTAAAAATAAGGAAAGGAATCTGAAGCAAATATGGTATAATGTTAAGATTTGATAAAGCCAGATGTTAATATATGAACATTCTTTATGTTATTCTCTATTCTTGCCTGTATATACATCAGAATTTTTTTTTAATGAATATGGTGGCTAACTGGGCATCTTTGTGTGATTTAATTCCTCTTTCGGTCTCTAGGCAGGGTACCAATCAGGTAAATTGTGTTTACTGAGCACTGTGCTGGGTGCTTTACACACTTTGAAATATGAATGACTTACATGTTAGGTAGGACTTTATTCTTTTTCAAGTATCCTTCTAATTTCATGTTAGTACCAGGTTCCATTCACAGACATGTCATTAGTTTCAATCTTCAACATGGTGTTCAAACCAAAGCCTTTTCTGAACCCTCATTGAGAATTCAGATTTAATGTATATTTCCCAGGCTTACCTGAACTCCCTAAGATGCACATGATCTGCCCACTCTCTACATACAAAGAAACATCTTTGAGGATCTGTCTGTTCCACTGCTGCCGGCAAGATGTGACGTCCCACCAGGGCCCAACTCGATGGCTGTAAAGGAAACCCCCGAAGGGGAAAAGGTGTGTGGGATCCCAGACCTTTGCCCCCCAGCACTGATTCCAGTTGCCCACCCCAGTTGTCTCTGGACAGAGTCCTAAATGTGTTTTACTTCTGGGTCCTCTGTAGACCCTGGCAGGCAGTGACGGAGGAAGATCATCTGTGTAGAACCGCTGCCTGGCAGCTCCTCTGAACCAGCTGTCTTCGGCATTCAGAGCAGGACACTGTTTTTTCCTTCAGTCCACCCAGTGTTCCTTCACCAGGCTTCATTACACCTCCTGCAGCCAGCACCCTCATTCCCCAAGGCCTCTCCCTCCACAAGGGCAGGCCATACACAGGGGAAGCAACAGGAAGGGGTGAGGGGCCCAGAGCAGGGGCATGAGGCAGAGCAGGCTGCCTCCTTTGTCGCAGCTTCCAGGTCCTCCTGTGTGCAGGAGGAGGGGCCGTTCACCGTCGCTCCTCATTCACCGCTGGCAGCCTTTCCCCTTCCCTTCTCCTCTCTCCACCTCGATCCACTGAAGTGGGGGCCCAAAGCCTCCATGCATGCCCCGCATTAGTGAGGAAAGCCAGGAACAGGGGTGAGAGGACCACTTACCTCGGGTCATGCCATCCCTGACCACAGCTCAAAGCCCAGGCTTCTATCTCCAGCAGGTAGAAGAGGCATCAGCCTTACCTGACACTGTACGAGGCATGGAGAACACCCAGACTGTGCCGAGGTTTTGAGGCAGCTGTAGGGACTTCCGGGGAGCCCTGTAAGCCTCTGTTTACTTGGAGTCCCAAGGACCCCATGGGGGCCCTAGATAGGAGTTCACTCATGGCCCACACACAGCAAAGACAGGTGAATTTTCTGGTGGCCTGACCCTCCCTGGAGAGGCCTCAGCTGTGGAGCCAGCAGCAGACTGCCTTGTCTTCTCTCCTGGCCCGAGTCCCTCCTCAGGCCTTCCCAGCGGTAGCCCTGGGGGTTAGCCATGCAGCCATTATCTGATGTACCTTTAGCCAGCGTGTGTGTGTTATCTTGGCAGGGGCAGAACACAGAGCCTGTGTTTGTAGGAGGGCTGGCTGGAGAGGAATGCTGGGAGAGAGACCGTGGCACAGTGAACGAGGGCCAGAGGTTGCCCAGCTCTGGGAAACAGAGGAAACATTGGTAGCAGCTAAGGTCCAAAGGAAGCTGCACCAGAGCAACGCCTGGGCTCCATGGCTGAGAAGGTCTCCGGGGAGAGAGGGCTGTGGGCCGGGGCTGTGCCCCAGAACGCCTCGGTGAGTGACTGACCGTCACCTCATCCTGGTGGGCGGGGGCGGATCAGGCCTCTCTTTCCTCCCTCAGCAACTTTCTGTCCAAACTCATCACCCGGACCCCCAGCAGGGTGAGAATGTGACAGCAGGACTCTATTTCCTGGGCAGCAAAGGGCTGAAGGGAGCATCTGAACTCCCTAAGATGCACATGATCTGCCCACTCTCTACATACAAAGAAACATCTTTGAGGATCTGTCTGTTCCACTGCTGCCGGCAAGATGTGACGTCCCACCAGGGCCCAACTCGATGGCTGTAAAGGAAACCCCCGAAGGGGAAAAGGTGTGTGGGATCCCAGACCTTTGCCCCCCAGCACTGATTCCAGTTGCCCACCCCAGTTGTCTCTGGACAGAGTCCTAAATGTGTTTTACTTCTGGGTCCTCTGTAGACCCTGGCAGGCAGTGACGGAGGAAGATCATCTGTGTAGAACCGCTGCCTGGCAGCTCCTCTGAACCAGCTGTCTTCGGCATTCAGAGCAGGACACTGTTTTTTCCTTCAGTCCACCCAGTGTTCCTTCACCAGGCTTCATTACACCTCCTGCAGCCAGCACCCTCATTCCCCAAGGCCTCTCCCTCCACAAGGGCAGGCCATACACAGGGGACGCAACAGGAAGGGGTGAGGGGCCCAGAGCAGGGGCATGAGGCAGAGCAGGCTGCCTCCTTTGTCGCAGCTTCCAGGTCCTCCTGTGTGCAGGAGGAGGGGCCGTTCACCGTCGCTCCTCATTCACCGCTGGCAGCCTTTCCCCTTCCCTTCTCCTCTCTCCACCTCGATCCACTGAAGTGGGGGCCCAAAGCCTCCATGCATGCCCCGCATTAGTGAGGAAAGCCAGGAACAGGGGTGAGAGGACCACTTACCTCGGGTCATGCCATCCCTGACCACAGCTCAAAGCCCAGGCTTCTATCTCCAGCAGGTAGAAGAGGCATCAGCCTTACCTGACACTGTACGAGGCATGGAGAACACCCAGACTGTGCCGAGGTTTTGAGGCAGCTGTAGGGACTTCCGGGGAGCCCTGTAAGCCTCTGTTTACTTGGAGTCCCAAGGACCCCATGGGGGCCCTAGATAGGAGTTCACTCATGGCCCACACACAGCAAAGACAGGTGAATTTTCTGGTGGCCTGACCCTCCCTGGAGAGGCCTCAGCTGTGGAGCCAGCAGCAGACTGCCTTGTCTTCTCTCCTGGCCCGAGTCCCTCCTCAGGCCTTCCCAGCGGTAGCCCTGGGGGTTAGCCATGCAGCCATTATCTGATGTACCTTTAGCCAGCGTGTGTGTGTTATCTTGGCAGGGGCAGAACACAGAGCCTGTGTTTGTAGGAGGGCTGGCTGGAGAGGAATGCTGGGAGAGAGACCGTGGCACAGTGAACGAGGGCCAGAGGTTGCCCAGCTCTGGGAAACAGAGGAAACATTGGTAGCAGCTAAGGTCCAAAGGAAGCTGCACCAGAGCAACGCCTGGGCTCCATGGCTGAGAAGGTCTCCGGGGAGAGAGGGCTGTGGGCCGGGGCTGTGCCCCAGAACGCCTCGGTGAGTGACTGGCCGTCACCTCATCCTGGTGGGCGGGGGCGGATCAGGCCTCTCTTTCCTCCCTCAGCAACTTTCTGTCCAAACTCATCACCCGGACCCCCAGCAGGGTGAGAATGTGACAGCAGGACTCTATTTCCTGGGCAGCAAAGGGCTGAAGGGAGCAGATTCAGAAATTAGGAGGTGGTGAGGGGCCTCTGAGCTCACTTCCTGCCCCAAGGCTCACTCCCACAGAGAACTGATGTTCTTATTTGTGACTTGGGCTGATAAAGCTTTTTCCAAAGGATACTCCATCAGAGGAATTTGTTCATGCATACCTGGGACTCTGTGGTGTCCTCTTTGTCTACGTGGCTGTCAAGCTCAGAGTCTCAGTGGCACTGAACTGATGAGATAAGATGGTAGGTGACTTGTGGAAGCATCAGAATCTATGCTCAACATAGGGCTACAGCTAGCAGTCATAAGACCACGGGGAAAGGTGAAAGAAATAGATGACAGCCGGAGGGCCAAGAGCCTCTGCGCCTTCTCTGCCCACCCCCAGCTCCACACACACCTCACCCCTACGTGGTCATCTGTCCTGCCCACCCTCGGTCCACCACACTCTCCACAGACACATGCGCCTCTGGCCTGGGATGTCCAGCTGGGCAGTCCTGTCAGTGACCAGAAGAATGGGCCTGAGATGAGGTTCACAGGCCCTGGGAGTGGGCTCACAGCTATTTGTGCAGAGAATTCTAGGGTCCTGGGTACCTGGAGTGGCAGGCGTTCTTGGCCCACACGCTCCTCAGTCCATGGGCAGGAGCATGGCCTGAGGAGGACGAGAGGGACCCAGGCCCCAGGCAGAGCGGTGTGAGATCTGGCCTGGACATTTCAGTAAAGGCCCAGGCTGATCCCTGCAGCTGGAACAAACCCTTCCTGTTTCCCCCAGGTGTGCGTCCTCAGCACATCACCACTCCAGGGCATGGGCTCCTTGTCTCAGAACAAGAAAACTGGGCTCTGTGTCCCTGAGTTTTCTTTCAGTCTATCCTTCTGACTCAGGAATTTGATCAGAAGTTAATACGAGGAGAACTGACAATGTATCCCAGCAGGAGCTGAGCAGGTTACCTACAAATAAACCTGCTTTTGCTTTTTGGGTGTCACCTGTCAGAAATTCAAGTGATACTCTCACAGTCATACTGATTAAGATGTCAGCTGAATAGATATTTAAGTATTTGAAAAATACAGAGAGTTTGTCAAAACCTCGGAAAGAATCTAACAAATCCTTCATGGGAGCCAAGATAAATATTTCAAAGTAGGAAGGAGGCTGTCCACAACCCAGCCACGGATTCTCTCTGAAAACTGTGCTGCCTGTGTAACTCCCAGAAGGCCCAGCCCCTCGATGGTGGTTAGCATCCCAGGCTGGTCCGCACTTGCCTGCTTAGGCCAGGGTGAGGGTGTGTGTGGTGGGGGGAGCTGGGGTGCAGGGAGCACGCACCCGTCCTATTCCCTTTATCTGTCTTCCCGTTCTGATGCCTCTTTCCCCAGAGCCCCAGCACCCCCACCTTTCTCCCTGAAAAGTGCAAACCACCTGGGCTTTAGGTCCCCTCCACATATTGCTCCAGACTCCAAAATGCTCAACCTCCATTCCTCAGCAGGCCTTCCACCTCACCTGGGAAGCTTTGGGCCAGGTATTTACAGAAGTAATTTCTGAGCTAATTCATATCTTGTATCAATTGACTAATATCTCTCCGATAGATATTTGCTTTTTGTAAACAAACAGGATGCACATTAGTCCAAATAAGTCTCTCAGCAATTAATAAAACTTCTCGTAGTTCAACAAATTTAATGAAAAAAGTAGGTAGTGTTTTTTCACTGCTTCTGCTAGTGGCAGAGGAGGTAAGAGAGGGGGTCAGGGTGTCAGGGCTGACCTGCCAGGAATCCAGCCGCTTCCAGAGCTGCTCTTCATCTCTCCCAGGAGCTTCATTCTCCACCTCCAGGCACAGAGGCCCTCTTCTCCTCTCCTCCAGCTCCCGCCTTGGAGCCACTGGTGGCTGGGGACAGAGGTGGGAGTAGAACTTGAGTTCTCCTCATGGGCTTGCCCTCTCTATTTGAAAACTTACTTGGAAGTATTTCAGAGAAATCAGTTTAAAGACAGGTGAACTCCCATGTACCCAACACTACCAAGAGCTTTGAAGCTACCCCATGTGCCCGTCCCTCTTGCACCCCTCTCTGTTCCCCAGAGATGGCCCTCCTGCTAAATGAGGTGAGTATCTTCCCCAGGTTTTTCTGTCTACTTTAGGATCTTTATGATAGCAGTTCAAACATTAAACAAGGTAAAGAGCCATCATCTGCTTTTCCACACTCTCCCGGAACTCTGGGTGAGTCTGCGGCAGATTGTCACCTGTATTTATTTCCCTCCACTTTCACTGGTCTAGAATATCCTTTCCAAGCACCTCTCACCTCTCTCCTTGCAGGGAGGCTTTGACAAAGACTGTCAGATGTTATTTTCACATCAAGCACACATGGGCATTGTGTACGCAGTGTAAATATCCCCCAAACGGATGCTCCAGGGCAGCCTGCCTCTGCACCTGGCCTGTCAATGCTCCATCCTGACCACCTGTCTTGTCTGCTTAGATCTAAGCTTTGTATGGTGACAAATGGTAACTAGACTTCTTGTGATGATCACTTTGAAGTGTATACAAATACCAAATTACATCATACACCTGAAACTGTTATAATGTTATATACCAATTTTACCTGAAAAAAAAATGTAAGCTTCTCAAGGACTTTTTCACTGTCGTATTCCAAACTCTAAGCCTGAAGCATGATGTGGGCTCCCAGTATCTGCTGGATGCTTGATTCCCCCACTGAAGGAACACATAACGGCAGCCTTAAGGGAAGAAGACTGGTGTCTGCTCCAGGGACTTATTAATGAGTACATACTTTTTCCTGCACTAAGAAACCAGAGAAAAATTGAGTGCATTAAAAAACAGAAACCTTAATAGTCAGGTTCTTCCCTTTGGGGATCTCAATGATTTAAATGATTGAATTGATAAAAATAGAAGGAATTCAGATCTGCAGATGCAGGTGTATCTGCAGATACATTCAAAGGTATCACCCGATACCACGAAACCTTGTTTTTTTGAGGTGTGCTGACAGACAGCACCACGTCAACAAAGCAAAAGGACCATGGTGGTGGTGGTGATGATGATAGGGACTTCCTCTGAAATCTCCCAACAGCATTTTGAATGGTTTTGTTGTGCAAAACTCCTCATCAAAATAAGATGCAACTTTCTAAGGATAGTGTCTCCCAAGCATGAATCATTAGCCTTTTAATAGCTGTTTTCCTCTCACATGCCACATATGTAAAGTCTGTTTGGCCTTAGGCAATACTATTCAAGACACAGGGAAGAGGCAATTAAAGGCCAGTTCCCTGCTGGGGTCCCCCCAGAGCACGGAGGCTCCCATAGCTTCCTCCAGTTCAGAGGCTGGGTCCCATCCACCACAGGCTGCTCGGATTCAGGCTCCACCAGCCTGAGGCTGAGGTTCTCTGGGGCCCGCAGCTGTCCTGGGAGGAAGCCCCAAGCTCTCTCCACAGGGAAGAGGGGATGTGCCCTCATCAAAGCTCCTATTTTCTCAGAGCCTTTGGGCTCCACCTGCCCGAACCACGTCTTCCCAGTTCGGGCTCCCAGTCACACCGGCCGCTACTCTCACTCTTGGGTCTCCTCCCTCTGTTCTCTCCTATGTCCTCTGCAGCTTCTGAAGGAGTCTCTCACCTGTCATGTTGCCCAGCAGGGCCTCCAGGACAGTTTGTTCTCCTCGGAAAGTGACAACAGTCTGTACTTCACCTACAGTGGCCACTGCAACACCTTGGAGGTCCGAGACCTCAACTACCAGGTAGAGGCACAGCTGAATACAAGTGGAGGAGCTGAAGGGGAAGGCCAGACCATTCCCCAAATGCAAGGGAAGGGAGCCCACCCTGCGGGCCTCTGCCCAGAAGGACAGGGTCCTGGCCGTGCGGATGCCTCAGATGCTGGGCAAAACACTGCGAGCTTCCCTTGATTACCCCTACTGTGGCTGGAGTTTGAGAGACATAAGTAGGAATGAGACGTTTGTTAAAATATAAAGAAAGTTGTGTGAACCTGTGGGGGAAAAAGTCCCTAAAACTTTTTAAACTTCATATTTTGAAATAATTTCAGGCTTTGAAAATGTTGCAAATATAGTATAGAGTTTCCACATATCTTTTGTCCACCTTCCCTGAATGGTAACATCTTGCAGGCCCACAGCACAGTTATCAAAACTAAGAAATTAACAGTGATGGACTAGTAACTATAGACTTTTTTTTTCACATTTCACCAGTTTTTGGGGAGCTTTTTCTTTTCTGTAAAATGTACTGTCCCTCAAGGTAATAAAACGTACACAGCATGAGGGGACCTCTGGCCTTTCAGAGGCTCTCAGAAATATGATCAGATTCAAAGACCCCCATTTCCCACACCTCCAAAGACCCCAGGTGGGAACATGGTGGGGCCTGGGATGGTGAACCCCAGAGGCCCAAGTCTGGCTTCCTGTGAATGTGAGTTAGGATGAGTTAACTCGCTATAACCACACCATAACCTTTCTCTGCTCTGACCCGTGCTGTGTGACCTTGACCAAGTCACTTAACTGCTCTGAGCCTCATCTGCAAATGGATTATAATAGTACATACATTATAGGCTTACAATAAAGACTGCATGACATAATGGAAATAAAGAGATTTCCACAATGCCTTGTGCAAAGTGAACACTTGCTAAACGATTAATAAGTTACGTTATTGAGAACATTTTTTGCTTCATGTCTCATATTTTCTTCTGTTCTACTACATGTGCTTTCCACACCTTATCTTCAGACTTGGAAATGGCATCTTCACATTCTCAGCATGGTGGGGTCCTCCTCTCTGAAAGACCTGGGTGGGGGTACCTTCAGGCCTGTTCTTAGCAGGAGGATGTCTCTTGTAGGAAGCTGAACAGAGATTGCTGAAACCCTCGGAGACATTCAGCTCTCTGAAGAAACTTCCAATGTGTCCCCACAGGTGGACATGGCTTCCCAGGTGCCTTGGTTTGAGAAGCTGGCTCAGTTCAAGGTGCCCTGGACATATCACAAGGACTCTTGTAAGCTGGGCATCCAGAACCTGAGCTTCAGAGTGAGGAGCGGGCAGATGCTGGCCATCATCGGGAGCTCAGGTACCACCAAGGGCACATAACAGAGCAGTAAGTTTGTCTCTCCTGGGTTGAATAGTCCCTTGGACAAACAGGTGTTCCTTACAAAATCCTGTGCTGACTGATAAACTAATATAGCAGAGTGGTTAAGAGCACAGATTCCGGGTGAGACAGACCTGGGTTCAAAGCGCAGTTCCTCCATTTGTCAGCTCTTGGTCATTGCTATTATTATGAATCATGGGTGTGCCTCTTGAAGCTGCAGCCAGAGTTCCTGTTGTTAGTTAACATCTGTATCGAGACAGGACAAAAACCTTTCCCAGATCATCAGGCAGCTTCAGGACTGAAAGTTCTTCTCAGGGGACTCCCCACCGTGAGGAGCACTCATTCGTCCTTCCCCTGCACCCCAGCACCCCTCACAACAGATTCCACTTACGGCCACACAGCCAATAGGCACAGCCTCCACCTCAGCTCCCCCTTCTCAGAGTGACCCTCCAAGTTAGCACAGCCTTTGGCCTTCAGCAAAGATCCACATTCTTGGGGTGCCTCCACGAGTCACTTCCTCAGGCCAAACTTAAAATTATAGGAGGCCAGAGCTGAAAGAGGGAGAACAGAATTCGTTCTCATCATTATCTTCTACTTTTCTTTCTCCTTACCAGTCTGGAACCATCTTTATAGGATGGTTTTCAAATACCTGGAACTCTGTATTTCTACAATGTCCTCCTACACTACCACCCACTCCACACACACAGCTTCATTTGACAGATGAGCAGACGTCTAGGGAAGTTGAGTGGTTCACCTAAGGACATAGCTTTAGTGCAGAGCCAGAACTAGAACCTAGCTTTTAGTAACTTTGGTAAAGTGTTTCTCCCTTACATAGTGTTAGAGAGAGCACTTTATACCTTTTAATTAATCATTTCCAGAAGTAGAGATTACTCAACTTTTTGAACATCTGCTCCAAATTTTTACGGTCTTCTGATAGGGAAGTTCTGTTTATTGTCTAAGCAAAGAGCAAAAGAGATAACGTGTGTAAATGCACTTTGTAACTGAAACAATGCCCCCACCTCTGCTCCCTTCTGGCCCTGCCTGTGCAATTCTCATCTGAAAAAGGAAAAAGCACATATTTCAAAGGCCAGTTTTATTTTTGTTTGTAACTCTTGATGGCTTTTCTTGTTGTATCTGCTCTTTCTTCATGACCTGAGGATCTAGGGGACATGTGAGCCCTTACCAGGCACTTCCCCAATGCCTGGGCGCCACCATGGTTAATTCTCACTACATACAAATAAATGACCCTGTGGCTGTCAGCATCTGTGATCAGAGGATGAGAAAAGGGAAGTTCACGGAGGTTAAGCAGGAATGACACAGAGCAGTCTCCCAGGCTAGGTTCACTGATGTTTAGCTTCAGGTTTACTTGACCAAAATGATTTAAGTGATTTCTTAGAAAGATTTATCAGTCATACTTCCTGCAACTTTTATTCTACTCACATATAAAAAAAAAAAGTTGGGAGTGCTGGTCATAATTTTTAAAAACTAGGTGTTTCTCCTGGTTCACAGGTCTCCCTAACTGTGCCAGGCAGCCTCTCCTGGAAAGCCCACCCACAGCTCTCACAAAGCATTGTTTAGGAAATGTGGCCTTCCCACCCCCTGGTGGCCAATCCCCTGGTCCCTGTGAATGTTGGCAGAGTCCTGTGTGCTCCCAGAGCCTGGATCCAATGCCCAAGGCTGAGCAGAGAGCAGCCCCCGAGCTTCTCCTCTAGTTTCTTTTCTGGCTATTTTGTTCAGGGTACGTTCTCAGGGGCGCTTGACTGAGGGGTACCCATGTGGTGCACAGGTGTGCAGGTCTTCTCCCCCTGAGAGCCTCTGGTCAATAAACAGAGGGTTACTGAGGAGGCTTCTTGAGTTGTTTTTTTTTTTTTTTGCTTGGGGCATGGGGCTGCCTGCAAGAGGCATATGGCACCTGGCAAACAGCTGTTACATTCGTTTATTGGCACTTTCCTTAGTTGAAAACAACTTGGAAATGTTGCTCACCAAAAGGAATTTAAGGTAAGGAAACCAAAACCCCATCTGCGGGAATTGGACAGAGCTTGTTCCCAGCTCATTTGCAAGAAGGTGTTCTCAGAGCCTGGCCCAAGTCACATTCCCAGCTTATACAGCTGCCAAAGAGTCTCATCTAATGCTTTTGGAAACCTGATCCAATCTGACTTTCCCCAAATCGGTAGCAATTGCTGTCATTCATGTAGATGGTGTTAACTTGCGTGCAATGGATTATTTTTTTAAAGAAGGAGTATAATGTACCAGTGATATAAATAAGAGAAAGACAGGCATAAATTCAGAACATGTGTATACACTGTGCTTTTTAAATCATTTCCACATCTACTACCTCTCCGTTTTTTTCTCTGATATTTCTGAAAATACGTTCCACTTTTCCATTTTTAAAAGACACTGTGTTAGTTCTCCAAGATTAGTCTTTCCCACAAAGCCAGCTTCTGAGCCAAATGACTTTGAATGATGAAATGAGGCTGGCTCCTTTGCCAGCCAAAAACAGTTAAGCTTCACAGTGCAATTAACACCAGCCTTCCTTAAGGGAGAAAGGACGGTGTTAGCAGTGGGAGGGGGCTCATACTCCAGTCACCAGCAGGCCTGTGGCAGCCAAGACCCCAGCCCTCTGCTGTCATGCAGCCACTGGGTGACATGGACTAAACTCCCTCATCAGTGTGCCTCCAGTCCCCCAAGGGTGCTTAGATTGGCTGTGGGCTCCAGGTAGATGCTGGGACTGCCCCATCTGTGTCAGAGAGCCAATTGACTTTGTGCTGCTTTCCCTAGAGCTTGGTCACTTCTGCAAGGACAGAGCAGTCTAGGATGGCTAGACAGTATGCAGGTACCCATGGCTTCCAGGCTGGCCCCCAAGGAAGCTCTGTTCTCAGGGATGTCTCTGGTGGCTTTGCAGGCTGTGGGAGAGCTTCTGTGTTGGACGTGATCACAGGTCGGGGCCATGGCGGCAAGATTAAGTCTGGCCAAATCTGGATTAACGGTCAGCCCAGCACGCCTCAGCTGGTGAGGAAGTGTGTGGCCCACGTGCGTCAGCATGACCAGCTGCTCCCCAACCTAACCGTCCGTGAGACCCTGGCTTTTGTTGCCCAGCTGCGCCTGCCCAGAACCTTCTCCCAGGCCCAGCGTGACAAAAGGGTAACTACCTGACCCTTGGTGACCCCAAGAAGCCACGACGTCCTTCCCCTGTGTGGCCCTCCCTCTCTGCCTCAGCCACAGGTGGAGTTTAAGCAACTCAGCTCACTGTCCACCCATCCAAAAGAGTCATCCATAGGCTCGGCCCTGCCCTCGAGTCCCCCACCACATTCTATAGGCCATCTCAGCCCCTGTGGGTCATCTTGGCGGCATGTGACACAGTGCGTGATGAGCTTTGCTTACTTGTTTTCTGGCCCTCCATGTGCACAGGGAGACTGACTGACATTTCCCCTGGACGTGGCCATGTTCCCAATACATGGCTCAGGACTCAGCACAAGTGAGCTGTTTGGGAAAGAGTCAGGGGGCAAACATTGCATCAGGAAATGAAGGCTGGCACTTTAAACCCATCCAAAGGAGCAGGCGTGTTTACACCTGGGGCAAAATATGCCTGGCCCTGAGTGAGGCCCCTCTCGCCTGCAGGTGGATGATGTGATCGCAGAGCTGCGGCTGCGGCAGTGTGCCGACACGCGAGTGGGCAACATATACATGCGGGGGGTGTCGGGGGGTGAGCGGAGGAGAGTCAGCATTGGGGTGCAGCTCCTGTGGAACCCAGGTGAGGTCATAAGGGCCTCTGCCGACCACCTGGCCTGGCTGGGACTGCCTGGGTCCTGCCGACTCACTGGGCTCCTCTCTTCCTTGGGAAGGAATCCTCATTCTGGACGAACCCACCTCGGGGCTCGACAGCTTCACAGCCCACAACCTGGTGAGAACCCTGTCTAGGCTGGCCAAGGGCAACAGGCTGGTGCTCATCTCCCTCCACCAGCCTCGGTCGGACATCTTTAGGCTGTTTGATTTGGTCCTCCTGATGACGTCCGGCACCACCGTCTACGCGGGGGCAGCCCAGCACATGGTCCACTACTTCACAGCAGCTGGCCACCCCTGTCCCCGCTACAGCAACCCTGCCGACTTCTACGGTGAGCCAGCCAGGCCAGCGGCCCGGTGAACCAGGCTCTTCCCCCACCAAACGCTGCCAGAGCCCAGTGAGGAGAGAAGGAGAGCCGGAGTGACAGAGTGGGGCGGGCCAAGGGGCAAATGCTGGAAGTGAGGCCTGGAAAAGTGGCTTCTGACACAGCCACCCTTGAGTGCAGGATAGATAAGAAAGGAGAGCTCCAAAGACCCAAAGGGATGGAATCCAAGAGGCTTTGGGCTGATCTCTAGAACTGCCGTCTGTATTCAGACTCCACAGGGAAACTTACGGTATCTGGGCTCAGGGGGTCACCAGATCTTAAATCTGTGCCTGGTGCCCAACAGACACAAAGATCCTAAAAGTACTGGGTGGAGGAGGGGGCCCAAGGCAGCTCAGGGCCTTTTGGTGATCACAGCCAGTGAATCTCTAGCTAGGAAAATTGCTCTGTCAATAGCAGTCTTTGTTTAATAAAGAGCCTTTCTGCTTGGGGTGCTTAGCATATGGCCCTCAGGGAAAGCGTGACCCAATTCCTTCATTCCTAGAGTGGAGGTGGGTGGGGAGCAGTTGTCTTTCCAGATGCCTGATTTGAAAGGCGTGCCGGAATCTGGCATGCAGAAGAATGACACAGCCACTGGTTGTGCCTCACAGTCGTGGCAGCGCCCAGGGGAAGCAATAGCCATGGCGTGTCCCATAGGTCACCTGGTGCCTGCCGTCCTCCCAGGGTGGCCTGGTGTAGCAAGGGCATCACCACTAACCATGGTGACAGGGGCCAACTCCTTGAGAGCAGACTCTGGCTCAAAGGTGCCAGGGGAGTGTCCCCTTGACCCTCCCAGCCCTGCCAAGCCAAGGTCATCTCCTCCATCCTTATCGAGGAGAAGACGGGAGCCCAAAGAGTGAAACACCTTGCTGTAAGGCATAGAACTGGGACTCCCATTCTGAGGCCTGGCCTCCACCCTGACTGCCCACACCCTCTTCCCAGCAGGGGAGGACCAGCCACACTCTGCTGCCTACCACCCCTGGGTCTGTGCACTCACACCGCGTGAACTCACATAGAGGTCACGCTCCCTCCCTGTTCTCAGGTGCCAACCTGGCTTCCTGCCACTGCACCACCTTCACGCCAGCCATCCCCAGATAAGGGGCAGAGGGCACCTGTTCAGCCTGGCCACCAGGACAGTATGCATTAACCCCAGAGAGAGAGAGAGGGGTTACCAGAAGTCAAATGCCCATAACAGGCCTGGAAAAAAAACCTTTTTCTTTATTTTTATATTATCATCTTTTCTTGGTGGGGAGCTCTTGCCCACAAGCCCTGGGAAGAGCACCGTCACCAATCTAGGATTCAGGGCCTCGCAATGTTCACAGAATCAGGCATTCTGAGCTGCAGCCTTGCCAACTGAGGGGACACGCTGTGGTTAATAAGACCCATCCTAGACAGTATCCTGCCTTGAGGTGTGTCATGAAAATGGCAAGAGGGAATTGGCAGAGAGGTTAGGGGGTGACTCCCAGCCAAGAGAGGAAGGGAGGAAAGGAGGGGAGTCCCCTCAGGCCTGGAGTGAGGCTGTGACCTGCAGGGGTCCCTTGAGGAGGGGGCTGTGGTTGTGACTACCAGGTGCTGCCCACAGGCTAACATGGGTGGGAGGAGGTCTGGAGCCCCCAAGGGCTGCCCAGAGGTGTGGGCAGGCCTTGCACCAGCTCCTCCCCTGCGAGCAGATGCCTCCTCTGCTTACAGTGGACTTGACTAGCATTGACAGGCGAAGCAGAGAGCAGGAAGCAGCCACCAGGGAGAAGGCTCAGTCCCTTGCAGCCTTGTTTCAAGAAAAAGTCCGTGACTTCGATGACTTTCTGTGGAGAGCGGAGGCAAGGCAGCCAGGTGTGGGCGTTTGTGGAGCGAGGTAAGGCAGTCAGGGGTGGCCCTGGGTGGAGAGCACCCTGCAGTGGGGGCTGTCCCCATGCCTCAGTGACACACTCTGCCTCCTGACAGGCTGGCCCTGCCGACCGACACCGGCCACGTCCCGACTTCCCCTGAGCTGCCTGGCCCTGTGCAGCAGTTCACCATGCTGATCCGGTAACTGCCATTTCACCTGCCCCCTACCCCACCTGCTGGAAGTCTTTCTTGTTTCCAATTAAGCCATTTCTATCTAAACTGAATTCACAGGAGAAAGCAAGAGGTAGAATCATTTGAATAAACCAGAATCACCGACACTAGCACCCTCAGTGATACAGAGAGCTAGTGATACAGAGAGCTCCTGTTACTTTTATTCTTAAAACTAAATCAAAAGATTCTTACTGGCCAAGTGATCATAGACATTACATAGGATCGTTGTGAAAAATTCAGAAAATACAGGAGAACCAATGCAGTGGAAAGGGAAGGTTCCCTGTCACACCAGCCCTCAGAGAAAACCAGAGCCAAGTGTTTTAAGTAAAATTGCAAGGCTGACACATTGGGGATAAAAATAACAATCATTCGTTCAGCATCTGCTGTGAAACATGCTTTGGTCCATGATATCCTTTGATCCTCACAGTAACTCTGTGAGCTGGGTATCATCCCCATTTTACAGATAAGGAAAGCATGGCTTACAGAGATTCAAGGACATTGCCAATATAACAGGGCTTGTAAATGTTGTTCCCTCGGCACCAATTTCTTTTGTTTTTTAAGTCGTCAGATTTCCAACGACTTCCGAGACCTGCCAACTCTCCTCATCCATGGGGCACAGGCCTGTCTGATGTCCCTGATCATCGGGTTCCTCTATTATGGCCACGGAGCCACCAAGCTCCCCTTCATGGACAAGGCTGCTCTCTTGTTTATGATCGGAGGGCTTATCCCTTTCAATGTGATCCTGGATGTCATTGCCAAATGTGAGTGTTGCTTGCCCTCCGGCCCCACACCTGGAGCAGCAGGAAGCACAGCATTGGTGCCTCTGAGCTGGTCCGAGTGCAGCCTGTGTTCCTCTGAGATTCTGGGGAAAATAGGTTTGCTGATTGTGAAATAAAAGGTGATAGCTGTTTTTAAAGTTCACACATTAATGTTAGTATGCAAATGAAAGCAAATTTCCAAGGAGACTTAGTCCCATCCTAGCAGAATTTATATTTGACAGCAATGCACAAGCCACAGAATTACAAACATCCAAATTAAGATGGTCTTACTCTGCCTGTTTTTTAAAAAATAAGACATTTAGGCAATATAACTATTTTCAATTGTACTGAGGATCTCAAAAACAGAAACACTGTAAATTAATTTCACTTTTTCATTTTCCTTTTCTCCCCATTTTTAGGTCACTTGGAGAGGGCAATGCTTTACTATGAATTGGAAGACGGGCTGTACACTGCTGGACCCTATTTCTTTGCCAAGGTGACTGATCAGGGCTGAGAGCGAACAACCACTCCCAGTGGTGGGTACAAGTGGAGAAAATGTGCTGCATTGTGCAGAGTTACCAGGAAGCGTTTTGCTGAACCAGGGGCCACACATCACCTGTGCTCGCAGGTGCTGCATTCCCTGGGGGAGCTTCAGAGGCTTGATATTTTTTTAAACATTTACCAGAAGGCCAGGACTGGGGACAGAAACAACACTTTTCTGGTCAGCAGAAACCTGAAAAAGAAGAGCAGGGAAACACCTAGTGTTTTTCACCTCTCCGGTGTCACCACATTTCCGGAGGCAGATTGGCCAGGCAGAAGTGGAGGCTCAGAGAGGTTATGTGGCCGTCTAAAGGCACACAGCTACTAGCTCTAGGCATGAGGGATGTGGACTTGAAACCAGATATTAGGAGAGCAGATACCTCGCTGCCATTTTCACGGGCAATGTTGCCTTCCCCGGGGAAACTATTCTGAACTGCCCCAGACGGACATAGCACCTGCAGGGGAAAGCCAGCAGTGAGCTCCTTCCTGCTCCCGGCTCCCGTGCTCCCGCACACAGGCCTCCTGCTGCAGCCCCCTCACAGGCAGGGAAGGTCGGCATCGGCATCGTTGGGGTTACTATGGTCGAAAATTTAAAGAACAATGGCAAATGAAGGCGTTGGCACCATATCCTCATTGGGGCTGTTCTCTGCAGATCCTAGGGGAGCTTCCGGAGCACTGTGCCTACATCGTCATCTACGTGATGCCCATCTACTGGCTGGCCAACCTGCGCCCGGGCCCCGAGCCCCTCCTGCTCCACTCCCTGATGGTGTGGCTGGTGGTCTTCTGCTGCAGGGTCATGGCACTGGTCACTGCCGCTCTGCTCCCCACCTTCCACATGTCCTCATTCTTCGGCAATGCTCTCTACAACTCCTTCTACCTCACCGGAGGCTTCATGATAAGCCTGGACAGCCTGTGGACAGGTGAGGCCTGATCCGCACATCCGGTCCAGCGCTCCGAGGCCTTCTGTGGCCAGATCGGGGCACATCCCTCAGGTCCGAGGTGAGCTGGGCCCTTGCCAGCTGCCCTGTGAGCCGTGGGAGTGACTCCATGCGATACCCCCAGCCCACATCTGGAGGCCACCCGTGACTCCCGCTCACTTTCCACGTGCACCAGGAAGCTGGGTCATTGTGCCGCCCAAGTCTTTCTGAAGTGTCCCCTTGCCTTATTCCCCAGCCCTGGCCTTATTTTGGGCACCGCAGCAGTCTGGCCTCTGTGACCCTGGCCGCTGCACACCCCTCTCAACCCTCAGCCATGCAGTGAGCTTTCTGAGGTGCAAATCTGCATGGCTGTTTTGTTCAAATCCCTCCCCCCAATTCCCCCCGGGGCTGCTCATTTACTGCCGCTTCCCCTGGCGTTTCTGAAGCCCCCACCTCACTCCATGTGCTCCCCGCCTGAGGGTTGCCCTCTAGCGAAGGGCCACTCCCCACCCCCACGGCTGCTTTCCGCTGCCCTGCTTTCCCACCTGGCCCCCGGCAGGCCTGTCACATCCTCCTCCCTGCCCCGTGACACGCCCACAGGGCCGGGGCACACACACCAAATCTCTGGTGTGGGGCCGCTGGGTCTCCACAGCTGAGCACTTTCCGGAGACCCCATGAATCACTCTCTCTAGTTGCTTCAGATCAAATGTGCGGTGACGGCCCAGCCCCTCAGCCCCTTCAGCCTAGCCCATGTCCCAAGCTGCTCCTCCGCCCTGTGCCCGTTTATCCTTTTTCTCCCCTCTTACTCCCTCCGGGGGACGTGCTTCCCCTGGGTGAGAGCCGCCACAGCCCCTTGTCCAAGGCGTACTTCCCAGGGAGCAGGTGGTGAGCCCGTGTGAGTAACATGACTGTGTCTTCAGTGCCGGCATGGATTTCCAAAGTGTCCTTCCTCCGGTGGTGCTTTGAAGGGCTGATGCATATCCAGTTTAAGGGGCTCACTTACCACATGGCAGTCGGCAACCTCACCATCCCTATCCCTGGAGACGTAGTAAGTAGCCAAGGCCTTGGACACTGAAGGGATGGCATCCATCTAAAGTTCCTCATGAGCTCACTTCTGTTTTCCCAGATCCTCAGCTCCATGGACCTGAACTCGTATCCACTCTACGCCATCTACTTGATCCTCGTCAGCATCACGGGCGGCTTTATGGCCCTGTACTATGTATCCTTAAGGTTCATCAAACAGAAACCAAGGCAAGACTGGTGATCCACACCCACACTCCTGCCCATTGGTGGAGTACTCGAGAAGACCCTTCAACTGCACTCCCTTCCTCCCGAAGAACCTCTTCCCGGGCACAAGGACAGTGAGAACACCGAGCTCAGCTACATCCGGCCCACAGTGCTGCAGTGGCACAGGCCAGCCACAGGATGGCAGTAGAATAAAGACAGTGGAAAGGGATTTCTGCTCACTGGCCAAAGCTTGCAATCACTGGGAACGTGAAAACCATGCTTGGGGACACCTACAATGTTGCTAATTTATTTCCTTCTTATATATATTTATATAGGTAACTCAGTACAGGATAGGGGCAAATCAAGTATGAATTGAGTAGCTAGGCTATGCAAGAATTGGTAGGGTCCAGAGGGAATAATATAAATAGCTAGTCAAATGTTTGGCCTCATCTTCCTGGGGCCCTCTGTGTTAAACCACTCTCAACACAAAAAATGACCTAAAATATACCAGTGAGATGCCATCACTTGGTGTGGAGGAATGGGCTCCAAAATCCAAATTGAACAATTAAAAATTTATTGAGCATCTACTGTATGCCAGGTACAGCTCAAAACACTTAATTCATGTGGATATCATTTAATTTCAGAACCTTTATAGGTAAGCAGTATCCCATTTTATAGATGAGGAAACTGAGGCACAGACAAATTTGGTCTGCTAAGTAGGTTATACAACTACCATGTGGTAGAGTCCTGTGGGAGTCAGAAAAGCCTTTGAAGGCTTTAGGAGCTAGAGGGCAGAGAAAGGCCTGAGCCACCTAAGGCTTAGAAGGCCAGGATGGCTCTAGAAGATGAAGTGGTTTATAGAGGCTGTGTCAACTCAGCCAGACTCCTTAGAATTGCATCTCACTGGCCCTGCTTGAGTCTCAGGACCAGCTTTGATGGTGGCCAGGGTATGGGATGGAGCAGGCCCAGGTCACATGCTCCATGCCTGAGCATTGAGGACCATCTGCCCCAAGGTACACAGAGAGCTAGGAGGATATTGTTCCCAAAGGAAATACCAGAGTCTGGAAATAAAAGGGGAAAGGTGAGTGTTTGGGAGGCAAATAGGAAATGTTTACTACAGTTGGTTCCCTAGGCCATTGCTACTTCAAGTGTGGCCCCCTGGACCAGTGGCATGGCCCCCACCTGGTTAGATAGGCAGACTCTCAGGCTCCACCCAGACCCACTGAATCAGAATCTGCATTTTAAGATCCCCAAGTGATCTGTATGCACAATGGAGTTTGGGAAACAGTGTTGTAGCACACTGCCCTTATACAGGACAACCATCAAACTCAGGGCCTTCCTACTAACACAGTACATGGTAACTTTGTTACGTTGCCACCATCCAAGAGGTGGGCCCCATTCAAGAAGTGCTAATTGTTCTGACAATACGTCCTTCATTGCAAAAGGATAGATTAGGATTAAACCTATTAAACGAATTGTCAATAACCTCTGGTCTACAGTTTACAACAGTCCTTCGACTTTCCTTGACTTTCCCTAACACTTGAAGATTTTGTAGAATAGTCTCAATTTGGGTTTGTCTGGTCTATTTTCATGATTAAACTTGTCACGCACCATCGGCAGTGATATGCTCTTCTCATCGCATCCTGTCACTGGTGCATGATTTCAATTTGTCCCTTATTGATGATGTTCATTTTGATCACTTGATCAAAGGATATCTGCCAGTGTTCTCCACAGTCAAGTCAGTTTCCCCTCCTTCTGTATTTAGTAAGCATTTTGTAGGGAGGGACTTTGAAACTGTGCAAATTGCCCATGCCTCATTAACTCACTTTCAAATTTATGTCAATATGAACTGTGGTTTCTTTTATTCAGTGAGTTATAATCCCTTACTGTCATTAATTTTTATCTCAAATTATCTCTAATTTGGCCATGACAGCCCATTCAAGCTGGCTTCTGCATTCCTTTGACATGTCCCCATCATTCTTTGAACACTTTTCTTTCACAAAAAAGTGTTTCAGGCCCATCTTGTACTTTTCTACCCCTAGTGCTGGAAGCAGACGTTTCTCTAAAGAATCTTAATTCCTTTTAGTGAAAAATGGTATTTAGAAGCCAAGATCCAAGTGGTAAGTATGCTCATTGCTATTGCGGCATCACTGCTCCAGACCCTCAGTGGACAAAGCTAGGGAATTATATATCCAATTCCAAAATTCCAATGCAGCATCACAGAGTTAATCCTAGTGTCCTTTTTTGTATTTGTAACTTGCTTCTCCCATTATGAGAAGCCTGGCTTCTGTTATCCTTCCTATTTTCCAGCCATTTGGCTAATGCCCTACATGTAAGCCATCTCCCACGTACACCACGCGCTTTCTGCTGTGCGGGTGCCCTCCTCGCTCTGCTTGAGCTCTAACTCCCGTATCAGGCTGTCCCCTAATCTGTGTAGATGCACTCCTCACCCTACTCTGGACCACAGTGGCTCTCCAACCCACACCCACACTGTGGTCACTACTGGCTTTAGGCCTGAATGGAGAAGAGAGGAGTTAGAGGACACAGGACTTTCTCATTAATTCCCCAGTGATTCTGATGCGCAGCAAGGGCTGCTAGACAATGCAACACACCACCTGACTCTGTGAGAGTTACAGCCACTGAGTCTGCAAAGGGCTTTAATAACTCAGTGGGCTCTGGTGCACAGGCTGCAGGGGCAAGGGGTGAAGTGCCAAGGCAGGAGAGATGGAGAAATTCCAGCAGCTGTCATTTCACTGGGTTTTTTTTCCAGAGCATCCTGGTTTCTCACCCTGGAGCTTTTAACAAATGCCAATGTGGATCCACCCCTAGAGATTCTGACTGCACTGGTTTAAAACAAAACAAAATAAAAGCTCCCCTGAGGGCTGTGCAACACAGAGAAGACAAGTAGTGATTCTACAACATCTTACTACGCTGATGAACATTAACTGTAATGGGGTTTGTGGGGGGGACTTGGAGAAGGGGGGACCCTAGTAAACATAATGTTCTTCATGTAATTGTAGATTAATGATAACAAAATAATGAAAATAAATAAATAAATAAAAGCTTCCCTGGGAATGTAAGGCCAGGCAGGGAGAACCACCACTCCAGAGGCATGCACACTGTTCAATCAGACCCTCCCTGCAGTGAAAGGGTAGAGATGTGCTTGTAATTATCAAAAGCAGGTGTTGTAAACTTTTCCTGTTAATGGTGAGATAGAAAATGTTATAGTCTTTGGGGGCCATATAGTCTGTCACAGCTACTCAATCCCGGTGTTTGGAGACAATTTTGAAGGAGAGGTGATGTGTCTGTGTTCCAGTGAAACATTATTGACAATAACAGCTTGCTGGATTTGGCCTGAGGCTGTGCTTTGCAGATCCTTGATCAAAAGGTAAAGGTTTCGAAATTTGCATTTTAAGACCTCTAATTTCAAGTTACACTATTGACAGGGAAATTTTAATGAAGCAGGAAATAATTACCTATATTGACTCAAATATTTCCTCATGTGGTTTTATTTTTAACTGTTCGCTCCTATTAAGATTACGTAAGACATGGTCTTGCCCTAGGTCAAGCTAGTCCCCCTGGTCAGGCTTGCAGAGGTACAGCTTGCATTTGCTTTCTTCTTCTCCCCTCTTTGTTTGTTTTGATTCCAGAGTAAACATCTAGCAGCAGTGATTTTTAAATGGATAGTGAATCCAAGTGTTAGCTACAGACCTGGACTGAGGGGTTCTACTGAGACTCAAATACTAGTCATTCAGCACAGCTGCCCTTCCTCACTGTCTTTGGCCCCGCCCTGGGTCTGGAGCACCCAACTGGCTGAGGAAGAGAGCAAGGGGCTGGGATGCTGAGAGTGAGGAAGCATCTTGTTGGCTGACATGTCCCTATTGGAAAATACATCCTATGCTCATGCCTTAAATATCCTCATTTGCTAATAGGCCAAACTAAGCAATTCAAATCTCAAGTCATCAGTCATTTGTTTTGGATAATGATTTGTTCTTCCTTTTAAGTGGTCAAGGTAAAGAGCAATATCCTGACCATGTGGTCTCTCTGCCTGAGGCATCTACAGAGGGAGGAGGCCGGCAGATGGAGCACAGCTACTTTCTGCTGGCGGCCAGGGAACACCAGCATGTGGGGTGTTAGCAGCTAATAATTAAAATGTTTCAAGCAGTGGGTTGAGGTTTTTAAATGCATCAACTTAAAGGCTGGATAACACTTCTTAGTAATAGAAATTGTGTCTACGTAACAGAAATTATTTGTCTGATGGCTGTCTTTTTGTAAAGTTGGAGACCTTTGTTTCCCCAAACTGCAAGTTCTACTGCCCTGTTAAAAATGAAGCTGTCTATTTTTGTTGGCTTCATTCTTGCACTGAGCCTCTACTCAGCTTGAGATTATCTGCCTTCCATTACATATCTGAGAGCCCTCCTCCTTGGCAGCAAACTTGAAAAAAACTTGAAAATACTTTCATGTGGGCACACGGGTTTTGAAGGGCCTTAGGCCTCAACCCCCAATATCCTGGCTCTGAGCTACAAAGTGGTATCTTTGATCTCTTATGAAGACACGTACATATGCACACAAAGCATACATCTTATAAAAGAACACTGCTTGGAAAGGGACACAGGTGTGCCCACAGATTCATCAGTGATGCTTACTGGGTGCCTGCCAGTACCAGGCTCTGTTTTAACTGGTGGGTCTGTGGAGCACCAGGAGAGCTCAAGGTCTTGGGGAGACAACGACAAAAACAAGCAAACAATGAAGGGAATTTCAGCAAGTGCTGAACCCTGGGGCATGACTGGTGAAGATACTTTCAAGAAAACTCTAAGCATGAATCCGGAGAGCCAACCACTGTTCAAAGATGCAGGGGTGGTTAAGTCTGAAGCTGGTTTCATGTTTTTGCTCTTCTTGGACCCGATGTTTCTTTTCTTCATGCAAAAAAGAATAAGATAAATGCCTATATTGAATTTGCTAATGCAGCCACTTCCTTTATTTGTACTAAGGCTGCATAATGTGGGCTTTGTAAAGTCTGCAGGCCTGAAAGCAGGGTACATTTCTAATGGAAACACTTGCGTGCATGATTGTACAACAGCAAAGCGATAAATTACCATAATTCTGAACCTCCTGCAGCTATTAGTTCGATCATACTTCAGGAATGTTGCTTTCACTTTCAGAAGCTCTACAAATATTGCTTTGTTAGATGAATATTAAATGAAAATTGTGCTCAAAGACATGAGAAAAAGTGGGCAGGGTACATACATTGCAGACTTGAGCAACAAACTGTACCGGGAAGAACAATTAGCAATATAAGGCTTGCTTAATAATTTACTGGAATATGCCAAGCTGGCGATTATGCCAGGAACTGGGTATTTGATTAAATGGAAGAAAATAACCTTATAGTGTAGGCTGTCCAGAGATTGGGAACACATGTATTAATGTGAAAGGTTTTTTCCCCCTAAGTATTCTTAGAGTTTGGATTCCAATGTGACTTTCAACTGGATTTTACTTTGACTTGGATTGCTTGATTTTGTTAAGTCAGAGTCCTATTGCCATGATTCTGGGCAAATTAACTTCTGTTAACCCAAGTTTTCTCATGATGATGATCAGGCAAGGGGGCACCTGACAAAAAAAGGTTAGTACACAGCGCTGGCCACACAGAAAGCACAGAATTGACTACAGACAAGTCCAACATACCTTGAGCCTGCAGGCAGGCTTGTGCTAGGCCTGGGTATACAGAGATGAGACAAAGAACTTGGTCCATAGGGAATCCACAACCTGTGTGATACCTGCTCCGCGTTTAAGTGACTGCAAGAGCCCTGGAGAGAGAGCGGTTAATATGCTGGGAGGGGAGTGGGGCTGAGAAAGCAGCAGAGATGTGCTTACCACAGCTTTGTGGAGCCTACCAACAGCAACGTGGCTGTAAAATGCTCCTTCTGACACTCAGTGCGAAAGGGGTTTAATCTTGCATTAAGTGTCGATTTACCACACACCTGACTCCACTAATGCTTGCCCACTCTGTACCTCAAAGATCTCAAATTAACGTCTGCTTGTCCTTAAAACAGATAAGCGGTCATTTCATTGGTTCTCCTCACAAACTACATGCTATTTAACAAGGAAAATTCTTGTTACAGCAGGGGCTACCACATAATTCCTAATTAAAAATTTTAAGACTAAAGTCCACATAGGTTTTTGGAGAACATTTTATTCAAAGCATTTCACATTAAAAGTTATTAGGTTCAAATACATGAATGCACAATTACATATAAAACACTATACTTTCCAAAAGTTTACAATTATGTTTACTTTTTAGAATCAACTGTTTGCTTATAATTTGAGTCTAAAATGTATTAGAGTACTGCTGTAATTGTTTACTCTGTATTTGTTTAATTTCGCTATTAGATAATTAGAATGTATTCACAAGTCCACGTAGAATAAACCATTATTACATTTAAAATATTTAATTTCAAAGGGGAAGCCGATATGGTGCTAGAGATACATGATTTTCCAGTTGTTTATTAATACATGTAATATTTTAATGGCCTAGCCTGCTATTTAGAATGGTAGGTGAGGATTGGTACCTATTTCCTGTGCACTACATCCACATTTTACCAGAGTTAATATTCATGGCTGGGTTGGAATCATTTCATGCAAATGAGATTGTACTCTCGGTTTCCCCAAAGACGAATGGAAGTCCAGACTTTGTCCCAAGGCCATATTCATCTTACAGACCTGTCTTAATGAACAGTACCAGTAAAATTTAGCTCAACTAATATGTGGTTATTAGCACAACTGCAAAACATAAGGCCTGCTTCAGTGGAATCACTAATGGATGAGGCTCATGACAAATCAGACAGTATCAAAACCACAGCATTTACAGGTCCTGCACCTGAGAAGTGCACAAAGAAAAGCTTCATTGGGTCCTCTTAGCTGGGACTTGGCCTTAGCCAAGCCCCAATTCCCTGGTCTAACTATAAAACAAAGATGAAGCAAAGCACAGCCAATGCCAGGATGCCACTTACTTCTTGGTGTCGCTCCATTAGCCTCCCTCTCATGCCATCTGCAGGCTCTAGATACAGGATGGCTGGTCCAAGACACAGGCCAGCAGCACAAACAGCCTGAAGCCAGCTCACCCTCCCACCAAGGCAAGCGCTCCCCTTGTGTAAACAGCGGGAACCAAGTAAGTTGTCCCTGCAATAGTGGGTAAGTCACTGATTTTAAATGGACAAGGAATATACCAAAATGGAGACTAATCTCAAGTAAAATATTTACAACTTTTTAAACAGTTAATAACCTAATCTCCAAAAGGTCAATACTACATGTTAAAGATACCTTTGTAATAGCAAACTGTTTTGACTAGCCATCTTAAATACTTTAATAGTAACTACCTACAATTGTAGATCGTAACAGGCATGAAAGCCAATCTGGGGATAACTTGATAAACTGAATACAAACCAAGATTCCATTCCCTCATATATGGAATCACATCTCACAGGCTATGAGTATAAAGTAACAAGACCACTTAGGGTGCAGCTTGTGCTGACAAAGACCAGACACTGGAGTAAGAGGACCCATGTTGCCCTGCTTCGTGACCAAAGCCATGGCTAAGCCTCAGTTCTAGAGACTTCCATGAATAGGGACAGGCTGCCCTGGCAGAAGAGAAAGCATGTGAGGAGGAGCATCCAGGCACTGGCAAGAGCACCCTGACTACAGACAAGTGACGGCCTCTTTGAGTCTCTGCTTCTCCCTGGAAAATGAGGAGCACAGGAATTGATGACTCGTAAGATGTCTTCTGGTGCTAACATTTCATGAGACTGGAAAATTATGCAGAGCTTCACACATGTGAAGAATTGTTGTATGGCAGAATATTAAGCATTAGAAAGCTCACTGAGCATCAACTGTGTCTAGCTCCAAAATCTTTTTGAAAATCAGGAAGGAAACAGCAGGGACTTGAAAAGTCAATAGGGAGAAGAACCCTGAAAAATTATCGCTTCATACATCAGGAGCCTCAAAGAAAATGCCATAGATTTGCATTGTAGGCAAAACTGAAAAAAGTCTAGTGACTACATGCATACAGTTATAATCAATAAGATGTTGAATTATTATGTATTCTGAATAAATAAAAATACATAAACAAAGTAATTTTTCACTTATTTATTTAGCCCTCTCAAATACGTTTAAAAAATAACATTTTTGACACAAAATCACAAGTACACATAAAATAAAGTAGTGACTGCTTATTTCATGAAGGGTTTTCCTTTAATTCCTTTAGCTGCTTTGCATAAAATTCAAAGCTTTCCTGTTAAGGAGACACAAAGGGAGGGAACATATAGAGGTAAAGTTACTAGCACGAGATGATGGTACCACAATTAAAAATTCCAAGAACTGTAAAGCTGGTAGCAAAGCCTGCTGGCCCACGGCAGCGGCTGCCCCCTCAAGCTCTGGCACTTCAGTCTTAGCCCATCGCCAGGTCCAGGGCCCCAAGTGCAAAGGCAGAGCTCACACCAGGAGCCTCTGCTGTGTGTGCGCGTGCAACATGCTGATTACACCTAGGTATGGAAGATTGAGTTGTTTGAAAAATAACATGAAATAAAACAAAATTTTCTAGACAACTGATTAAAAATGTACAGAGGATCTGAATAGATATTTTTCCAAAGAAGATGTAGAGACAGATGCTCATCAGGGAAATGCAAATCAAAACCACAATGAAGTATGACCTCACACCTTTGAGAAAGGCTATTAGCAAAAAGACAAGACTAACAAGTACTAGCGAGGATCGGGGGAGAAAAGGGAACTCTTATATATACTGTTGGTAGGAATACAAATTGGTTTAGCACCTAAGGAAGTGGTATGAGGGTTCCTCAAGAAATTAAAAACAGAACTACTATAATATCCACTAATTCCACTTCAGGGCATTTATGTAAAGAAGATGAAAACAGTAATTCAAAAACATATCTGCACCCTCACGTTCAGGGACACATAATTTACACAGCAGCCAAGATACAGAAGCCACCTAAGGGCACTGATGGATCAATGGGCAGAGAAGATATGGTACATACAGAGAATGAAATCTTGCTATTTGTGACAACATGGATGGCCTCGAGGTCCTTATGCTAAGTGAAATTAGACAGAAAAAGATAAATACTATATGATCTCACTTATATGTGGAATCTAAAGAACAAAACAAAACAAACCTCAAGCTCGTGGATACAGAGAACAGACTGGTGTTTGTCTGAGGTGGGAGTGAGGGTCAAAATGGATGAAGAGGTGAAAAGGCTCAAATTTTTAAATGTAAAATGAGTAGGTCATGGGGATATAATGCACAGCATGGTGACTATTGTTAATAATACTGCATTGTATATTTGCAAGTAGCTAAGAGAGTGGATCTTTAAATTCTCATCACAGGAAAAAAACCTTTTATAATGATGTATGGTGACAGATGTTAACTGGGTTTAGTGTGGTGACCATTTCCCAACATATACAAATACTGGATCATTGTGCTGTACACCTGAAACTAATATAATGTTACAACAATTATACATCAATAAAAAAAATGCCTAGATCAAGAAATAAAAACCAACTTAAAATGATCAAGTGACACAATTTGCTTGGCTACTGAAATACAGGCCATTAAATCTTATTTCAAGTAGAAATTATCAGAGAGCCACACCAAGGACATTTGTTAAATTCATACCTGTTGCTGAAGGTCTGAGACTGACCTTGTATTTTAACCTGAGACCCAGAGGGTTGTGTTCTCCCCCAGGCAGACCTGTGGCATGATTGAGCCCACATGTAGTTCTGAAGCCCCACCTGAGGAGTCTTCACAGAGATCTAATCCTCATGTAATTAAGTAGTCAACTGACATTTTTTTTACCACATTCTTATGAAGCATACATAAATCTGCAGAGGTGTTTTTTCCCCTTAATTAAGAAATACTCACAGGGGGTTCAACAAAAGGGACAGACTCTCCTGCTTTCTTCAGCAAATCTGCGTAACGCTTTAGAAACAGACCGTTCAATTTTATATTCTTTGCAGTCAATTTTTCATATAGTGCTTTAGCAGACACAACATCTTTGTCCAACACTGAAGAAAAAGATATTAATCATGAATAAGAATAAACTGTCTTCTTTTTCTCCCCAAACACTTAGTCATTCAGGGACTTCTGGATCCCTTTTATTTTATTTTAAGGCAAACGAATACTTAAGTACCTCTGGCAAAAAGCCACATTCAGAATCTATAAGCTCCCCCACTCCTTCCCCACACCTCTCACTCAACATTATTTACAATGAATAATGAAAATGACAAATATGGCAAACTTTAAAGACCCATGATGGTCAAAGTCACCACACTGAAGCCACCAATCAGAGTAAACACACACTGACCCTCTTCTACTTAAAACCTCACTTTGAAATCCTACTAATTCAGGGACTGCTGTGGTGGGGCATGTAAATTACGTGGACATCCGCATCTACATCACTATCATGATCATCAGCTGAACACACAAAGACTTTTAATACAGCCTCCTACTGTAAAACAAGCAAGTATGAGGAATATAGCTAGCCACGAGAACTAAAAAAATCTATACACACTATCAATATACACAGAGAATCTACATACTTTTATTTAACAAGTTACACTAGTATTTCACTTAAATGACTGACGAAGTAGTCTAGAAGCCAAGTTTAGATGGCTCTCCACTTGTGGCAGATTTGCAGAAATTCTGTTATTGCATTTACTGTTGAGAATATAAGGGCTCTGCTGACAAGTATTGCTGGTAATTCAACTTTTAAATTTTATGTCAGCTTTTCACAGCTAAGCCACCTAACAATCCCCGAGCCTGCACTACTGCTGCGTGACCACTCCCAGCTCTGGCAGCCCCAGGGTGAGTCTCCTGGATGGATGTGGGATCTGAGAATCTCCCCAAAGGGAGTGAGGGTGAATGGCTCACCAACTCTCACTGGAATTGAACAGATCTTCAATCTGGGTGGAAATCAATTTCTTCTGTGGAAATCCTTTGTTCTCCCCCTTAAGGGACCAAATTCTTTCCCCACCACTGTCAAGGGCTCAGATCAGGCTCCACCACCTTCCAGGAAGCTGTTCAGGAAACTTTCCCATCATGCCTTTCACTACTTCCTGATCTCCTTCTCTCCCCACCAGGTCTACACACTTTAGTAGTGGTTTCATGCTGTTTGACACAATTTCATGTTACTTAGTTATTATTTAATACCTGCTAATTCCCCAAGTGTAACTTTGCAAAGGTTTATGATTATAGCTCTAATTTGAAGTACATCATGCTCCCCTCTGTGGAAAAAATGAGACTCAATTTACCAATTCTGATTGCAGTCTGTTGTCTTGCCAACAGTAAAACCAACAAAGCAGTTTTTTATTTACTCCTTGCCTCAAGTGAGTGAACTGGAGGGTGGCAGGTAGATAGGTGATTGTAACTTTGAAATGCTAACAGTTATCTTGATTACTGAGGAAACTTTAGCCTGGTTCCCTTTAATATATGATGGGCTAGCAATCAGGGAACAAACTGCTTAAAAAAACTAGAATTTCAACTGTAATGTAAAGTAAAATCTCAGGGCCCACTTTTCAGTTAAGGTGTCTGTTATTTCAAAGGCCAAGCAGGCAGGAAGGTACTGAAGGAGCAAGAAGGTAAGCCATGTTATAGTTTCAAATGTACCCTTAGTTCACAGTATGTTTAAGGTGGCAGGTTCTTGGGGAGACTGGATTGGTTCCAATGTGTAAACCTGAGGGCACATCCAAGTCTTTTTAGGATCCTATACAACATACCTGGGTCCCTCGGAAGATGTTCAGTGATACTTTTTTATTTTAAAGTTATATGAATAATTTCAGTTTTCTTATAGTTCTAAAACATGTCCTAAAGCTAAATAAGTTTATACCATAAATTATCTGATACCGAGGATTATGCCTCTGAGCTGAAAACTAACTTACCTGACTACCCTACCAATATTTAAATCACTAAAATAAGATAGTCAGATTAAACATATTACCGTAGCTTTTAATGATGGAAGTGTATGCTTCTTCCTTTTCGGTTAATTCAGGAATCAGTTCTAACAAAGAGTTCAGAACTGGTGTCTAGGAAATTAAATACAGGTCACGTTACCACAACCCAAAAGAACAGTGAAATAGAACACTGATATATGGACATTATATCAGCAAATCTTGACAATAATTATAACAGAATGCCTATTCAATTGCATGGACTATTTTTCTTTCTGTGTATCTGATGCTGATTTAATAACTTACAGCCAAAACAAACAAGCATTTTTAAAAAGTTAATGCAATTCCAATTGCATTTCTGAGTATTTTTCTCAAACATAAAAATTGCTTCTTTTGTCAACTGCTAACCGTACCACAAAGTTAAGAGATCCTAAAGAGCAGAAGAGAAAATAACAGTATCTTAAGGAGGCCAAAAGTTTTAGATGATATGTGAAGCATTCAGTCAAACATTCTGAAGTTTATATTCCTACTTGATATAATACCAGAGCAATTTCAGATCTCACTGGAATTTTTACTTCATTGCTTTCAGGAATATCTAGACAGAGGTATGGCTTTAGATCCTGTAGTGAATACAGAATTGTCACATCCTAGTGAGACCCATATTTCCAAACATACTCCAATATTGCTGGATAAATCAAAGATGGATTTTACATACCCTTATAGGCATAGATACCTGGTTTCTATCTCACCCAAAGAAGCTAAATCTGGCTTAGTTACTCTATTGTCACACAGGGAGACACAGCAACTGGAATTTTTAAAAATCCTCACTTTTTATAACATTTTTTTTCAGACAATCTTTTCAGGATTTCCTGCAATTTCAAGTCTCCTGGGAGACGTATTTTAGGCAGATATATTAACATATACTTCCTGTCCCATCTTCTGAGCAAGGCAGTAAGTACTTGGCACAGCCTCTTATATGGAGGAACAAGTGCTTTTTTAGATTTCTTTTACTTTTTAATCACAAATTTAAAAAAAAAGTCTCTTCGTAAAGAAAAAAAATGGCAACTGAGTATCTTCAAAAAGTTATTGCAAACAAATACATGAGGCCAGAGAGAAGAAGTGCAATTAGGTAAAAAAAAATTTTTAAGTATGTGTATATGTAGGGGATATGTATGGAAATTTAGGACTAGTCCTCTCAGACTGAAAAGAACCTAAATGTTTCACATAAAATTACAATTTCACATATGAACACAATTGGCCCTCACTCTGAAAAGTTCAGAATGAGCCCAAATCAATTAAGAATCGGGTTATTAGTGCTCAACAGGTAAATCAGATTAAAAAAAAAAAACAGGACTTGGTTCTTCTTTATGTACACATACAGACACCCCTTTTAGTGTCAAAAAGGTAACTGTACAAACTGAGAACAATTATTTGTGGCACATACCGCAAACTTAAAGCCAAACAGCTCATCTCCAGAAGGTTTATGCCTGATAAGTGGTCAAAGGTAGCCACGGAGGGGAGATGCCCTGAGTTGGGAGGTCTCCTGCAGCAATGCTTCTGCTCTGCTAAATGTCTAAGTGACCAACGGGGTTTTCATCACCCATTCAAAGGAAGGGCCTTTCCTTGGGGCTCTTCATGCCCAAGTGTATGAGTGGAGAATTCACTGCATGACCTTGTTTTCCAGCTGCAGTCCAACTAAGGAGCCAGAACTGACTCCATATCAACATCTACAAAAATGAACAAGTAGAGCCAAGCGAAGTCTTCAATCTCTACAGTGTTCTAGATAAGGTCCTGAGCCAACAAGCTCTTATGAGAAACTCAATACTTGAACAGAAAACCTGGCTTAGAGCATCGTTATTTGTCAGCAAGTAAAGCACAGTACCTGGCCTTGTTTCTGCGAGCTCCTGACACAGAACACTACGAAAATCGCAGTTTGTTCAGCAATTGCACCACATCTCTAAAAAGTGAAACATCATTCAGTAAGTGAAGGTTTCCAATAAACAGGCAGACTAAGGTGAATATTTCCAATTAAGAAAGTTCACAGTGATACAGTAATGTATTATTACCAATAGGAAGGCCTAATAGCAGACAGAGTTTTTTAAGGCAAGGGAAAAGAAAACAAGTGCAAGCTATGCCAAGCTTTTGTGAATGCTGTCCTTGGCACTGCAAATATAAAGTTTGTTTAAAGAGAAAAGGGAAAAATTAAACTAATGCTTCAACAACCACAGAATGAGGTTTGGGACCGCAAAGAAAGGAAAAAAAGAAACACTATTCCTCTCCAATTAATCTGCCAAGCATTCACAAGTGAGCTAGGGATCATAAGGTTAATTATACATTTAATAAGGTGTCAGGGAGATAACTGCTCGTTTCTTTATAAAAATTAAAATGTACAAAGCAAGTTCTCTTTAAAGTATAATTACCTACACTTATGCATACAAAAGGACTGATTTCAATCTCTCTATTTTATAAAAGGCTTTCATTGCAACAGACAGCCAGTGCTCGAGAAAGAGACAAAAGTTACACTCAAAAAAAAAAAAAGTTTGTATGACAGACCAGATAAATCAAGTGTCTATCCAATCTTAGATGCTATAGTAAAATCAAATATGGCAAGACAATATTTTAGTTTACACTCATCACAGATGTCATTCTCTTAAGTTTCTAAAAGCATATTGCTCTTTCAAAGCTTTAGAACATTGTCAATACTAAAATGAGTAGCATGAAAAGAACTTTTGGGGACACATGGAACATGTACATTATAAACTGATGTTTTCGACATATGAATAAAGTACTCTTCACTATGGCAAGCATCATCTTTTACTGTTTGACAAGCAGGTAAAAGACGAGTAAAGGGTTTTACCATTTGAAACCTCAATCTATTGACGGGATGAAAAGCAAACAACAGCTGCCATTGCGCCCACTCTCAGCTGTCCTCAAGGGCCCCAGCCAGGCCGCCACGGGCATACACAGCCCTGGGGACGGTAGGCACCCTCCCTGCTGTCTCCCGCCCAGGGCAGCTGTCAGTTGTGCCCTCTAAGAGCCTTGAAGATTATAGCTCAGAACTAGCTGGTAGATAAAATACCAAGTGCCACCCAAGTGCCACGGTCTCAAGAGCAATCAAAACAAAGCATTAAACTTGAATGAATGCTATCACATATATAATTAGATAGGCATACACCCAGCAGGTACTCTTAGAGATGTATACGCAAAGATAAATAACTAGAGTCATTCCTTTGAACATAGAACTTTTAGCACTAATGGTGGCAAGACAGACCAATGAAGATTCCTGAAATCCCTATCAACCATAAAGTGCCCTTTCTGTTAAAAGTAGAAAAACAGTGAACAAACAAGAAAATTCCCAATTAACTGGAATTTCTAAGAACAAAAGTAAAAAAGCTTTAAAGGTGGTACCAATTTATACTTTTCACAAAACTATTAACAAAGAGAAATTTCTCAAGAGCTCCTGTTCAAAACGGCTTGGATCCTAACTGTCAAACTAGATGAACTTTAAAGATCTAAATTGAGTATATGGATACAGTTTCACCTTCCCTATCTATCGCTTAAGATATTTTCAGCTTGTAAAAATGTAAGTGAATATAATACTATTTACTATCAGAAATTGGTCCCAGGCCTCAACCTGACACAGGAGTCTACACAAACACAGCCCTTGTCGGGATCATGGTGACTGTTTGACTGCCACCTGCTGGGAAGGGGCTCCCCAGCGGTGCCTGTTTGTGTACACTGCCAGTGGCAGCTCAGATCACCCACCGTTCAGTCGGCACTTGGCACAGCTTTATATTTAATGCCGTTAAAATGGCATGAATGCAGTTGTCTCCTTCCTTGAAGATTGCTAATTTAACTTAGAGTGCGGGCCACGGAGACCTGCATTTGTCATTTAATGTGTCTGTGACACACAAGTGAATAGAAAGCAAATTCAATTCTTAATAAACCTTGAATAAGGCATTGAGAATGTTTGAGTATTCAAGTGAGAAGCTGTACTTAAAAAGCAAACATTTCCTACTTTTTGTTTGCAAACTGTGTTGCTATGGTGATGCACAGTATTTAGAGCATTAGAGAAATTAAATTAGGAAATCAAAGGAGTTGTTTTGCATTACCTATCTGCACTAAAACATTTGTCTTTAAATAAGTTCAGCAAAACACTTCCTCCCATGCTCCCCCTTACACCTAAGGACATTTCTAGTCTGAGCTGACATCTTTAAAACCAGCAAGCTACAACTTACAATCCAGTCCTTGTCATGCAACCTTGATTCACATGAATTTAAATGTTCTAGCAGAACCACACTTCAGTTCTGGTGTTCTACCGAATGGCTATGTTTAGTAATTTCTCAGTTTACTTCTCACAAGCCACAAGCCCAACGGCTCCATATGTGGTGGGTTATTACCTGTAGGAGAGCTCTCGCATCATCCACCTTGCCTGAATCCAGGAACTGAAGGAAAAGATCGGTGACAGGTTTGTAAACTGCAAACTGATTGGCCAATCTTTCTGCCATGATGCTTACTGAAAAAATGACAGGTAAGAAAAATTTTTCATTTAAATGGTGGTATAACTTATCCACCAAATAATTTGCTCCAGTCTCACTAAAGAGAAAATGTGCTCTGTGTTTTTCAGCAGGAACAGCCAACTTACTCTTTTCAACTGCTGGTTCCAACTGTTCCTCCATTATTTTTCTGAATAAGTATGTCAAGCCAAAGTGTTGGAGGTCCACAGTTCGATTCTCTGAAGTAAGCATATTTTCAATGCTTTCTATTGCAACATCTATGTTATTGCTATAAAAAGAAAGTCAAATCCGTTATAAAGAAATATTTGTTTTTGTATTAGTGTTGCAGGTGTTTAAGAGTTAAGAACTTATTCTAGGATTCACACATGCAAATACTTTAGGAAAAAAGAAAATATATTTACAATTAACTGGATAAAAAACACTAAGCAAGCTGAACCCAATCACATTCAGGTACCAAAGGCAATTGCTGGGTGGTTTATGCTACAATAATTGAAGCAGTTGTTTGTTTTAAAACACTGCTCTACAGACAACTATATACAGGAGGATTAGTGATAATACCTTAATAAAATACTGTTATTTTAAATATTTAATTTGATGTTGTAGCTGTTTGGATGTAAAATGAAAACTTAAAAGTGTTTTATCTTTACAGTCTACTGTATAGATAATCTTTATAATCTGCAACTAGTGAATACAGTTCACTACTGCATGGAGTAACAACAATCTACATCTCAGGATTCTTAAAGATGCCGATGATGTCTTCAAAAAGTGTATTTTCATTTTTCTCAATCCATACTCACAATAATTTGTTTTTGTCAGGTATTACATACATTTGAAAAATATTCAGATTATACTAAAATTCTCAGAAAAAAGTACCTTTACACTTTACATTTAAAAAAGTCAATTACATGGCCTTATTTAACAAGTTAAGATAAAAATTATCTTTAAGGCTATCTTTGTGGTTAAGGTACTCTTTAATTGATACTTTATAGTTATGATATGGCATTCCAAATCCAAATTATCAATTTTATATTGGAATTAAGACCTAAATCATAGGGATTCTCTAACACCCTGTTACAGTAATTTTTTTTCTTATGGGTTTTAGTTAGAGAGTTATTTAATGGTGAATAAAAACATATTCTCTACATCATATAAAACTGTTTATATGGTAACATTTAAAAATTCATCCAGATCTTACTTGGATCATTTCCTTCATCTTCTAATGTAAAATCATCACAATCTCTTATTAAAGTGATTCACACATGCAAATACTTTAGGAAAAAAGAAAATATATTTACAATTAACTGGATAAAAAACACTAAGCAAGCTGAACCCAATCACATTCAGGTACCAAAGGCAATTGCTGGGTGGTTTATGCTACAATAATTGAAGCAGTTGTTTGTTTTAAAACACTGCTCTACAGACAACTATATACAGGAGGATTAGTGATAATACCTTAATAAAATACTGTTATTTTAAATATTTAATTTGATGTTGTAGCTGTTTGGATGTAAAATGAAAACTTAAAAGTGTTTTATCTTTACAGTCTACTGTATAGATAATCTTTATAATCTGCAACTAGTGAATACAGTTCACTACTGCATGGAGTAACAACAATCTACATCTCAGGATTCTTAAAGATGCCGATGATGTCTTCAAAAAGTGTATTTTCATTTTTCTCAATCCATACTCACAATAATTTGTTTTTGTCAGGTATTACATACATTTGAAAAATATTCAGATTATACTAAAATTCTCAGAAAAAAGTACCTTTACACTTTACATTTAAAAAAGTCAATTACATGGCCTTATTTAACAAGTTAAGATAAAAATTATCTTTAAGGCTATCTTTGTGGTTAAGGTACTCTTTAATTGATACTTTATAGTTATGATATGGCATTCCAAATCCAAATTATCAATTTTATATTGGAATTAAGACCTAAATCATAGGGATTCTCTAACACCCTGTTACAGTAATTTTTTTTCTTATGGGTTTTAGTTAGAGAGTTATTTAATAGTGAATAAAAACATATTCTCTACATCATATAAAACTGTTTATATGGTAACATTTAAAAATTCATCCAGATCTTACTTGGATCATTTCCTTCATCTTCTAATGTAAAATCATCACAATCTCTTATTAAAGGGAAAGTTTAAAGTTCTATTTGGGGAAATAGTTTCAAAAGGGAAAATATGAACAAAACACAACTTCTTCTCTGCCCAAAGAAATAGGAACAAGCAAAAACAAACATTGCATTTAATATCACAACCCACTAAATGTATATAAGATTAACCTACTAAACATTTTTTTCTAAAAGTATGAAGATTGTCAATTCCATAATTACTGCCATGAACCTTTAACTCAAGCAGAGTACTTTGCTAGTGAGGTCATCAAAAATCAAGCTGTTATTTACTTCTACCAAAGTGATTCTCAACAAGGAATCTAGGGATGGTGGTGAAAACAATCACTTCTAAATGCATCCCTTTTCGTGGGTGTGTATTGCCAAGGATGGATGGAGGGTGGGGAAAATGAAAATGCGTATTTTTAACAAGCATGCCTGCGTGTTTCAGAATGTTCTAGTAGCGTGTGACCCTCAACTGTTGCTGATGATCAAATGAAAACTCATCTTTCAGTTTTCTGATAGTATTTCGACAACAAGGGCCTGGCATATATGAATTAGAAAAGTTACCAACTGTGGAGCAAGTTTTATTAATCTGAAAAATTTGATAAATGTTGTTTATGCTAAGATTTAATTTAAAGCCAAAACACATTTTGTAGCATATAATTTATTCCCTAATAGAGACCAATCAGCAACTGGCAACAGTATTTCCTCGTCCAGTTGATATGGTTTCTAATAGCTTAAACAAGCTTTTAAAAGGTGGTACCTGAGGCAGTGCTCCTTCTAGTATCTAATGGAGGAAAAGGAAGCTGGAAAATACTCACTTCTTTATTTGTGCCAAAGCAGTGTTATTGATGAAAACCATACTTGAAAGTCCAATTGAATTTTCGAGTCCACTTGTCATCTTCTGAATCACTTGTATGCTTTCTACATCACCCTTCAAGGCACATGCCTGAATAAGGCGGGTCACTGCTACCCTGGAAGGAATCTGCTCCAGATCCAAGGCCATTTTCAGTGTTGTGAGAGCCTCTACAACAGAAGAGCAGGTAACAGGTTTTCTTATATGAACCATACAAAGTTTAATGCATTTTGAAAACCAACTTTTAAGTATGAGCACCAAAAGGCTATACACAAAAAACTATGAATAATTTATTCCAGATTATAGAAAATATTAATACTTTATGAGAAACCTAAAGAAAAAGATTCATTTGACTGTATATAAGAAATCGGAGAATAGAGAAAATTTTTCAGTCAAATGTTACTGATGGAATGTGAGTTCCATTCAGGGATGACCTTTAGTTATTTAGTTATTTATTCAAAGTTGACAAGTTCAGGGAAAAAATAGATGAGAAAGAATTTTAAAAATGAAAGAGTTTCCCAAACCACGTAACTTCTACCCACATTCATACATCCCCTGATTTTATTATACTCAAAGATTACATGATTATCAAAATCTTCCAATGTCTCCTTCTAGTCCAAACAAGACTGATCACAGGATCAGCCAATTGGAACATTCAACTTTTACACTAACAAATTTATTTTATATGATTAAATATCTTACAGATATTTTCTTGCACTCATTTTACAAAGAAAATAAAATTTATCAGATTCCCATGGATATATAGCCATGGGAGTTTTTTATTTTTAAGTACTATATTTACAAATACTTGGATTATGGATAAATACAGAATATATCCTTCTGATTTACTGATTCATGTGCAAGTGTAGTGAAACCATTATATTAAATATAAGTGATGGACTAGAAGGAAAATGTAATACTGAGCCAACAATCACCACAACCACTACCAAAGAAAACTTAATGGCTTCCAAGCAATTAAAGAAATGTCACCTAGACAAAACTAAGACTCTCAAAGCACTTTTCAAATAAGAAGAGCCTATCCTTTACAGAAGAATGGGGAAAGGGTAATAATTAAACCGTCTATTAAAAGCATATCATAAAAAAACAATGAATTCAGTGTTTATTACTGCATAAATAAACAATTTATATTTACTCCAAGTCTGCAATGTAAACCAGTGATTCTAAAGCGGGGAAAGGGAAAAATAGGTATTTTAAAAGGCCCATTCAAAAACTTTTTTATAAATACACATGTACATATAGAAAACAAAAAATGTTATTTTAATAATGTAAGCTGTAGAAAATCAACTTGATAAAAACCTTAACTGGTGGTCATACAGATAATGAACTTTGCAATACTCTTATTAACCAAGAATATGTGGGCGAGAGAGGATCTTCCCACAAGTGAATCAAAATAACAACAAAAATAAGATAATGACGATGCTACAGTACTAGCATTTATTGAGCTTTTACAAGATATTTTGAGCATTTACCACGTGCACAGCAGTAAGCAGCTACCCTGACAACTACCCTTCTAAGTCAGTACCAATTTTATGTGTGAGAAACTGAGGCGCAGAGTTTAAATAATTTGCCCAAGGTCATACTGCTATACACCAACCCCAGAATCTAACCTCACCAGCAAAATACCTAGCTTGAATTAAAGATTCATGGGGTTACTATGGGGGCAATTATTCCAGGGACTGTATTTATGGGTACATGTGTGCGTGACAGAGCAGATGGTGGAAGAAAAGAGATCATTTTATTTCTATCCATCGGAAGCACAGGACCTTGGAACCACACCATACTCCCATACAGGGAGTGACATCTCCACAATTTATGACTTAAGGGACACCAAGAACAGTACCCATCCATACCCCTCCACCTGAGTCATTTTCACCTGACACCTAATTTACTTGTAATATTGATTATATTGCAAAGGTGCCATGTATGAGCTATTAGTATTCCAGAACTGTATTAGTTTATAAAATTAGATTAAGACTGAATTGGCTTTATTTTTCTTCCTGCTTTTGATGTGATTGAGAGAAAGAAACCTCAAACACAGAAGGGATTCTAAAAATTGAGAGCACTAGTCAGCCATGGAGCAAAGTAAGGAGATGGAGGCAGTGCCCATATCACTCCCACCCTTGCTGATGATCACTTGACTCTGGCGAAGGGTGGTCTGTGGTGGCACGGGCACCGGCAGGTGACGGGGGAACAGGGGCTCATGGCTCTGGCTCTCAGCCAACCCCCCGGTGAACAGAATAGCTAGGAATAGTCATGAAATCCCGTTATAAAGTTTCTCGTTTTCACAGGATACCAACATACAACTGAAGGATGGTGGTCAAGTTAAACAAATTCAGTTCAGATTCAGCTAAAAAATTAACCCCTTGAAATTAAAAAGTGTTTTACCCTCATCTTTCTACCTACAGAGATATAAGCTATTTATGAGAATAAGCTTATTTATACAGTGAGCAAATTAAATTTTTCAATGTTTTAAAATTATCATTTCAACATAAAAATTATCAACTTGACCAAAAACCCCTTTTTATTGAAAATAAAAGGAAGGCTTTTAAAGTCTTAATAACAAACCCTACATCACTCAATTATGACCTAAGGCTATCCAAAGACTGTCTAAATGAGCTGGCCCTGCTTGTGGAATGCTGATAGAAATAGTGCCAAGGGAGAACTCTTCACGTACTTGGTCTTAATTAATTAAGACATCTAAAGACCAACACAGTAAGCTATCACAGGCAACATTAAAGTTACACAATTAGACAGCAACTTTCTCTCAGGGAGGTAATTATTTATATTTCATAAACATTTTATAAATGTTTATTTATAAAATAAGAATTATAAACATGCAAGTAAGGAATAACCCCCCTTTGCAGAATTAGGAAGAAAGGTGGTAAAATATTTAACAGTTTTAAAGAGCATCTTCAACCTTTCTTAAGGATTTCCTAAGTGGATTGTTGTATTGGCAAAACTGCAGTATACCTGTATTGACTAAAATTCAAATGTAAAATTAAATGTAGAAAGATGCTTACCTAAGATTTAAGAGATGCATCATTTTCCCCCTTGGGAACTTATTCATAAGACCTCCAGATCCAAATCCACCCCTCTGCGAACCCATAAGCAGCCTCTAGCAGACAAACGGCCCTCATCCCAATCCTCCCTGGAGTCATCTCCACATCTTTCTGGTGTTATCCTCTTAATATTAATTTAAAAACTGTAAACTCCAAACAAACACTGTATTTTACTGCTGTTGGTATTATGAACTATTAAAAAAGTATTAGATTAAGTTTTAAAAATCAATATTATAATCACTTGGTGCACAATCCCACACATTTAACACTCAATTTAACTCATTTGCTATCTCACACACAACCACCAACACAATATGCAAGAAACAACTGCTGGGAATTGTTTCAGATGCTCTAAAGTATGTTAATTTCCAAAGCAAAATGACTTGTGCTGTGAATTTTAACGCACTTGAAAGCCTGTACTTTCTCTCATTCTGGAACACAAATTTTGCATGTCTGAAGAGCTGTGATTCATCTTAAGAAAACCCATCTTGTGTTAAATGGAATGGAAACTGGACTAAGTGGTCAAATGACAAGTACATTCATATTCAAGCTGTATTATAAATGCATGTACAGTAATTTACGTCTCTCAGCTACCACAAAAGGCTCTTGATAAGCAGGTAATTTGCTAAATGGACTCCTTTATCCAAGTATTCGAAGGGCGTTACAAGAAAAATCTGCAGAGGCATTAATGTGACGTAAAGGTCAAGCATTGTGACATACCTTTCAAATAATCCCGCCTAACTTGCCTTATGATGAGGAGGCTGTTGGCAGCATCGTTCAGTGTGAAGCCCTTGATGTGGGTCTCAGCGCTAAAAGAAGCAGACATTTAGAAAGGAATTACTGACATGCTTCTGATACGATAATAAACGGTTGAGCACCAAGGTGAAATTATAAAAACTACTGTTCGTATGTTAAAAATATTGCTGCAAAATATCGACCTGGAGACAGCTTTTGTGTTATCCTGTCAATGGTTATAGAAGGATAATTTTTTTTTGCATTCTGACAGATGACAAAGTTGGAAATGAGCAACAAAAGAAACAAAGTACAAGATTTTTTTTAAACAATCGGTTCAGATTCTTGAATGCTGACATATTAGATGACTAAAATAACTGCATGCCCTGCATTGTTCTGCTATATCCAAAGCTGGATACTTTCTCCTCTTTTTTTCCACATTCACCATAATTATAAAATGTAAAACTATTCTTTTGGCAACAAAAATGAACATTTATTTTCAGCACTGTATTATTTTAAATACAAACTGAAGCATACTACTAACACCGTATCATTTGGTTGATTAATTTTCAAATTTTTGTTATCTAGATACATAGTTTTTAAAGGTGAATGTACTGCAGAACGAAAACCACTGTTACATTAAAATTAAAAATGTCATACAATCTTGATCCTTAAATTTGAAACAAAACCCAACTTCCTACACTCAAGAGCAAACACTTGCTTTCCTTAGTACTAAAACCTACATGATTAAAAATTTTTTAAAACCTAGCGAGAGATGTCTCTTTGCTACATTGTTTGTACATCTCTGTGATGAAATTTCTGCATCCATAATGCCCCCAGGGTTCATATCCTGATTAGGAAATCTCCACAGGTCAAGGGGACAAAAGCAATTGCTGCCATTTGTCTTATCAAACTCCATGATGATTGTGCTGCCAGCAGCCTCAACCTGCCGACAGGAACATCTATAAGCCGAGCAGACTGTGAGGAAAGCAGGGTCACTGCTAAATTATTCTCATCAATCCCAAGAAAATCCTCCAAAGACATGGGCACGTATCCATCCTCTCAGTCACTTCCAGCCTCTGAGGTTCACCCCTGCAGTCCCTGGACATAGGATTTTCTTATCCCCCGACAAATCCCCTTAATCCCACCAAAGCACCCATTGCTCAGTTGGACTTTTTTCCTTTGTCCCATCTGTCAAAGCTCTTAAGTCAACAACTCGTGCATGAGACTACAAACTGCACACAGGATTTACTTTCTCAATCTTCAGCATGATTAAAGAAACAGAAGACACTATTAAAATTAAGCTCACTTCTTATGCCAACATTATTACATGTATTATACCACATTTACTTGAAAATATCACCTAAGATTTATTAAAGCCATGAGATAACAAACTTCTCTTTTAACTGACATTAAGTATGAACTATAAACCTTTCAAAAAAATCTCAAAACACAGAACATTTTATTTCAATAATTTATTCCTATCGCAAGAAGCTGTCTATTCAATACAAATATGAAAGTAGGGATAAAAAGGAAGAGAAACCTCTTGGCTCTATTATATCCTGAACATACATATTTTTCTACAGAAACTAACCAGTCACAACCAAAACGTATTTCCCAATTGGCCAAAGGAGAAAACCTACAGAAGTTACTGGTAAAGATCTTTGCACTGGACTCATCCATACAATACAACATAAGTTTACTTCTGACCCATCATTTTGATCTTTCCTCTGGAAGATGATCTACTCCAGGGCTGACAAATCAAATTTCTTGTGATGATGGGAATATTTGTTATCCATGTTGCCCAACAAGGTAGCCAACAGCCACATATGGCTAAATGGCTACTGTGATGGAGGAATGGAAATCTTTATTACATTTAATTTTAATTAATTTAAATTTAAACAGGCATATATGGCTAGTAGCTCTGGGACTGGACAACACAGAATTCTATGCATTTTCTTTTCATTCATAGAACTGCCAAAATAGAGGAAAAAATTACAGAGGGAAAGAGGTATGAATCTTTGAACATACAATCAACTGCAAAAATTAATCTGTCTTAACCAAAGAAGATAGTATTACAAGGAAAGTTTCACATTAGAGATTTCAGAGCAATGACTAGTCAATGGATTGTAACTTACATAACATACATATAGGACATTAGTCGGTGATTATAATTTATCTTACTTTGGATAACAAAAACCAGCCAATCCAGTAAAAACCATCAGTGATGGATTTAGTATTATTTCTAGATAGAATGAATTAAGAGTAGGGACAAGAGAAAATGAAGTGTTTGCCTTAAAAGATAAAGCAGAGCTATTGCTGCATGATTCTCAAATTACTCAAGAATCCAGTTTAGTGGTATCAGAGATCAGAGATTTAAAATAATAATTTATATCCCTTACTGCTCTTTGAATAAGTAGTTCTGCTCCCTTGGAAGGATTCCCTATACTGACATTTTTATTCTGAAACATGAGGAAATGTTGAAATTCTGACTAAAAATGAAAAAGTTGGTTTCTTTAAAAAACATATAAAGGCAGCTGATACTGTTACGTTTTAGCCCATTACGTGTTGGTAAGTTAAATGACCTTGTTAATAAAACTGAAGAAATCTCATTAGCAGTCAAGGGAGCTGTAACACATGAGAGACAACAAAGGTATAGTGAAAACAAAGATGATATTTTTTAGTTCATAGGGAAAACTACTACTCTTAAGACTGAACAAATGGCATTATTTGTAGGTAAATTATACTAGGTAATTATAACAATAGACTGCTGTGTATAGACTGAGAATAACAGTTCTGGAATACTAGGGGGTACTGCCACTTGCTATAGTGGCACATTTGATCACACCATATTACAATAAAGACGATTATTAAAAAAGCAACAACTCGTTTATTCTAAACATTGACACAGAACTGGAAGGGGAAGAGATGACCTAGTCAAATGTTGGCAATGAATCAGGAAATGAATCCAGAGAAGTGCATGACACTCCTCTAGAAACATAATTCACTGAACAGGAACTTCAACTTCCACTTTTGAATTCCCAGTACAGAGTTTTTCAGAAGTACCCAGTGGAGACCTAACCCAAGATACAATTCTCCACGGTTAACATATATCATCCTATTGGACCAATGGTAAGGGGGTGCATCCACTTCCCAGATTAGGCACCTCTGGGCATTCTAAGACTTTGCATCTAAGATTCTCTGGGGCCCATACAGCTTGATGGGGGGAGGCAGCTAGGAAATACTCCCGCAAGGAACACACAGCTAAAATAAAAGCACCTTCAAGAAGTCTTCTCAGAGATCTAAAGACAGAGACAAGAAAAGAAGATGAATCTAGATTTTCCAGGTTGTGGGCATAAGGGGAAACAGAAGGACTACGCTTACAACCATCTTCCAGTTCAGCAGCTTTCACACTTGTTTGATTGAGATCCACAGTCAGACGTAGTTAAGAAATTATATTTTATACTACATACCAGTGCAGATATATACATGCATACACTTCAGTAAAACTTTCACAAAATAGAATCTTTACTACATGAAATGCTTTTATATTTGCTATTTCCCTTAAAAAAACTACTTTTTAGAAGTATTTCAGAGGTCTTTGTAACCAACCTCAGGATTCTAAGTTGTTTTTTTTTTTAAGTTTTCCCTCTGCATCTATTCCCTTACTTAATCATACACAATTTCCAATACAAAATGCTCTTCCCTTTTTCTGCCTCCCCTTCCTCCCAAATCACTGTTGCTTCAGACGGCTTTTATTTAGTATGGGTAGTGTTGGAATAGGGAGTTCAAATGAGAAGAGTAATTTTAGGAAAAAAATCCACATCCCCTTGAAAACTTCAATGGTCACAGATGACAAGATGCTGTTTAATGTGAAATTTTCCAAGTCATTAATTGAGGATGTATTGCATATTCTACAGATAGGTGATATAGTTAGCAAATGAATAAACACTCAAATGAGACACAGAATACATTAAAAACCTGAACTTAAAAATCTTAGTGTGACTGTCTTGTATTAAGACATAGATGATCCAAGACCACAGATATATACAGTGTAGTGTGTGCGTATATATATACTGTACCTGTACTGTACATATATATATACACATACACACACATTTCCATAGATAAGTAGTTATACACATTTTTCACAATGTACTGAAACACAAACAGTATATATGGCCCTGTGGTATAACTGTAACATAATACTAAAATCAATACTAGGTTTTCCAGCAAATTGCAACAGTAAGCATTCTGTTTTCTATTCAAGTTTTCTATTCAAGTTTTCTATTCAAGATTCTAACAGTCTCAAAGTGTTATGACTTAAAATTTTAAAGGCCAAAAATTAGCCATGACAGATTATTTCAGAACTCTTAACAAACTAGGAAAAGGTTGATCTTTGCCACTGAAAATAAGGCTATTACCTCATCAATAGCACAGGTCTAATATTCCAGAGCACGTGACCTTGATCTACTCCTTTCTAAGGCCCTTCCTCAATCTTTCAAGACAATTCCTTGGGATAAAGCAGCAGAGTCAGTTAACTGACACACCAGGTAAGAAAACTTTAATCAAGGGGACTAGCCAGAGAGAGAAAACCACTACCACTGCCAATACCACCACCACCAAGCCGATTAAAAAAAAAAATTCAAAATAAAACTAGAAAACAACAGAAGGGGAAAGAGAAATGGCATTTAAATGTGTTACCTACCTATATTTCTCTACTTAATTCTATCTCCTTTAATACCTAGAAGAAATCTTTAATGTAAGTTTTATCGTCATCCACTCCTCATAGAGAAAATAAAACTAAAGCTCAGAGATGGGAGGTAATTTTCCCAAGGTCATAGAGCTTTCAAGTAAGATCTGAACCCTTGCCGTCTTCATTATTAGGCTGCTACCACCACTAAAGGTACATTGATTAGCTGATGAACAAAAAGCAGAATAAGATAAACAATTACTCTTCTGTATGTGGACATCATAAATCAGTTGCAAGATTATATAAAGTAAATAAAATGTGCTACATCATGCTGGGCTAGTAAAGGTTATATTTTTTTATAGGTTAATGAACCCCATAAAATTAGAAAAACATTTCATATGATTTTTGTGGATAGTTGAGGCTAATTAAGCAACTGTGACAGTGACACATCATTAGAAAAACCCTAATGACAGATGATATTTTAAGTGAGAAGTTTTATAAATGGACTCATACTTACAAATCTTTTACTTTCATTGCGTCTGTAAAATTATCCTTTGCCAACAGTAATTTTATAAGACTGGTGTAAGTTTCACTGTCAAACACTATGTTTTGCTTTTGTGCACTGAGGAAAACATTATATGCATCTATGAAGGAAAAAAAAGATGACATTATTCTGAAATGGAAAAAAGGGAGGGAAAAAACCTTAAACAAAGCCCCAAACCCACACATTGGTTTCTTTTAACACTTATCCACTACACCACTCTACAGAGGCACACACACTGACCATGCAAGCAGACAATGGTCACTCTATTCAGATTTAAAAAACAAAGTGACAGTTTTGGAAACTACTACTTAATACAAATGGATGGTGCCTAAAGAGCTTCTTGTTAAAATTATGTTTCATATTAGCTTTCTAAAGTCAATAAATTATTTTCACGTCAATAAAAATGAGAAATGGCTTTTCTGAATTTGTCTGTCATAAGATGATACTAGTTTGAGAGTAAATTGCAAAATAAGTGTTAAAGTCCAAATAAAACAGAAGTATAATTTAGATTGAGGGGAGCAAAAGACTCATTTTAAAGCAATCTTTAATCTATAAGTGGGTGGTTACAATGGTTAACATTTCAACACAATAGCATTAAAGAGAATATAGCCTATAATTCTAAAATTAGGAGATCAAATTATTTGGCTACGACAGGACTTATACAAAAACATACAATTTTCAAATATACAGATATCTAACAAGTAAACTAAGCAACATTTGTTCGACTGATTAACAGTTTTATTTCACTCATTCACAATAACTGTCAGCGAATGAAAAGATGTTACCAAAAGAGCAGTAACTACACTTTTCAGTCACTTACTTTTCTGAAATAAAATTGTCTGCCTATAAACATCCAACTGAAACTATAATCCATTCTCTGGTGTATATAAACAAATCATAATAAAGATGGGGCATAACCGAACTATCATATATGACCTTCTATGGATATAAAGTTCAATGTAAGGAAAAGGAGACATGCAACTAGGAATGAATATATTCATGTCAGAAGAACATTCTGTACTACTTTAGATACTTCTGAACAAGCAGAAATTATACTTGTATATATAAGTTGGGTGAGTTTGCATTTGCTCTTCAATTAAACTGAAGTGACAATGTCAAAAACTTAGCTATCCTTTCAAGCTAAATTCAGAGAAAACATGAGAGAAAAGGTATGACATTAATATTTGCATCTTAACTAAGGAGAACAGAATCTATTGTTCACTACCCAATGCATATATTTTCCTTGTAAGGGAGCTAAGAAGTCAGATGTAATGCAATTATTGTCTACTTCCCAACAAGCAAATATAATAGTTCACTAGTTTACTGAATGGAAATATACATTCAAATCCTGAGATATACACAAAAGTAGCTAAAAAACTCTAACAAACTAACAGGATAAAACCAGTAAGACAAATATAATTTGTATATTAAAACTAGAAAAGGGATACACCTCTACACTTATAATAAATACTGCATTATATTTAGTTATTTGGTTAACTGGTTAAGTGTTTTTACTTAAATAAAAGAAACAATTTTTAAAAAGGCAATCTATGAAGGATTTCTGGAATCGTTAAATGTAAACTAGACACAAGCCCTATATTCACCTCAGTCAAATCAAAATTCCAACTAGAATATATTTAAATTGTTTGATAATGATAATTAACTTTATATTTAAGTTTCATAGCTACCTGGTAAAAGACTCAAGGATACATAGACTGTGCAGCAAAGGAAAATGACTTAGAAAGAATGAAGCTACTCTGCATGACTGAGCAAGCATTAAGAGCTTAGCCTACTCTAATTTCATACACTTAATGTCGGTGTCGCAAAATTTCTAGTTAAGTCAAGAAATTTTGAGGTTCTGTAAATTTCTAAAGTGATTCTGTTGAACAGAGCTGAAAATGTCAATATTAACACAAAAAAAATATGCTGCATAATGGTTAAATTATTACAAGGCGTACTTCAAAACACACAAAAATTGAAGGAATTAAAGATAATGGTAGCATTCTATGGGAAAAAATTTCACAGAAATAAAGGAGACAATAATAATATATGATAATAGCAATAGAGTACAAGGGAGTCTAAAATGAAAATACCTAAAATGCAATAAGAAAGTTTGTATCAGAGAGTTCAAAGTAGTTATAAAAATTTTAAAGTAGTCATAATAGAGGAAGGCATGACTTCAGCCAAGTTTACCACTAGAGGAAGAAAAGAACAAGAAAAGGGCTCATGTCCTGCCTCCAACCTTGAGATACTGCTTTGTATTTTTTCAGTATGGGTGGTTACCACCCTGATTTTTTGTTTTTGCTTTCTAATGAAAAGGAAATATAAAATAAATATATTAGCTAAACAACATTCATGGTCATGCTATTTTCAAAGTATATTTGATTTTAAAAAGTATACCTATTTTGTAGTTATTATGAAAAATTTCAAATGTATAGAGAAATATAAAAAATAATATAAAGAACCCCTCCATATACCCATCACCTACATTTAACAATATTAACATTCTGCCATATTTGCTTTACCTTTGTTCTTTATGGCTTAAATATTTTTACAGAGGTCCTGTTTTTTTTAATCCCTAAATATTTTATTATAGATCTCAAAATTTAAGGATATTTTCCTATAAATCAAACACTGTCATATCTAATAAAATGAGGTAATTCCTTAAATTTATCTACTTAGTCAATATTTAAATTTTTCCCAATTGCCCCAAAATGTCTTTGTTAAATGAAAAAAAAAAAAAATCACACAATTTAAGTTCCATCTCTATCCTACAGCACTTTTAGTTTATTGGGCTTAGATCCCATGTTGCTATTAGAAAGAAGACCCCAGTGTTCATGGTTACCTTTGCTTTTCTTCCATTGGCAGGCGTTCAACAGATCTTTCTCCATATTAGTTTCTTTAAGTGAAGGTATTGTTAAATTCGAGGACTGTTTTTGATCCTCATACCACAACTTAAAAACAAAATTATTTAGTTAAACAAAAACTGGTAAACATAGCAATCTTTTCAGTATAAAACTGGGCTTATCTATGACTTAAAATTATACTGACAACAAAATGTGTTACGCTTACAGGTTAAAAAAAATTACCTCAGGTACATCAAACGGAACCTCCTGATTACTGGTTCTAAGGATGTCTGCTAATAATCTTAATGTTTTCCCACGAGGAATAATATTTTCTTCTTGCATTTTATTCCAGACAGCATCGGCTCTTTGCCAGTCACCATTTATTTCTGTAAAATTTGATTAAGCATAAATTAATGAACATACTAAGTATAATTCATGAAAATGGTTAAATTTTTTCTTATTCAGTGTCGAAGGAAGCATTATTCCAACTACTGCCTCCAGGGGAAGGAACAGGATGACTACGGACCAAGTAATTGAGAAATTGCCCACTGCTAAAACCAAAATCAGAAACAACACTTCAATTATGCCCATTAATCTTTGGAGTGATGATGGATACATGCACGCAGTGGTATAGATCACAGCCAAGGGTTTAAAATGATTCCAAGTGTGCAAATGTATGATTTTCTTCAAAAGTTGCAAATCCACAAACCTTTCACTTAGTGAGTAGGGAGAATTCTGTCTCTTCTGTTGATTTGGAGAATTTCTATGGCAGTGTGTGACAGATTTCTCATCTCAACAGATAATGCCATCAGATTAAGTCAGTATTACAGGTTGAAGGAAGGAAATAGGCAGATTCCTTCATACTGAAAAATTTAGTTCCTTCTGTGTGATAACAAAGTCTTCACAAATAGCAAAAACTTAGTAGTCAAGACTTTATTTTTAAACATTCTAATTGGTTTTGAAAAGAGAAAAGGTCATTAAATTAAAAAACTTCTGCTTCTTAAAAGCTAGATCAAAATATGGACAATGTTATATGACATTAAGTTCAATACAACTCTGAAACACACAAATGTGGCTTTTAATGTGTTCTTTTTAAAATTTTCACATACGAATAAGGAATATCTTGATTGTATAGTCAGCTCTAGGAAGGGCGTTTGTTTCAGAGCACAAATGTTCCAGAAAACAAAGTAAATTTGTTTCTAAAAAATACCAAAATATAACAAATGGGATTTTCCTAGACTCCCCTCACTGTCCCCCAAAACTGAAAAGCTAAGTATTTTGATCACTAATGACTCCTAGAACTAAAAAAAATATTTAAAAAAGAGCCCCAAATATATTCACACTCCAGCAGAAACTGTAATAAAGAAAAAGGTAATAAGGAGGAAAATTTCCCCAGGTCAAACAAAAATTGCAGCCTAACCTTTCACACAGAATATACTAAAAAATGGCCCAAGTAGTAGTAGAAATTAATCTAAAATTCAGAGTGATTTTATACATATTTCTATAATAAAATCAGTCTAATAAAAAAAAACCTTAAATTGTCAATTTCCAAAACCAGACTCTCATAAGCAAATGATGCTTTTCCTTCAATCTCATGGAATATAAAATTCAAAAGTAATTTTCCAAGGAGGTGAATGTATAAAATTAACTTAATTAAATAAATTAAAAACAAAACGCCAAGTCCCAGAATCTTTAATTCTGTAGAAGGGGGAAGGTGGAACAAGACTTCTCCCTAGCAGGGGATACTACAGACAGTGGCAAGACACACATTTAGGTCAGGTTTCCAAGAGCTGAGAACAGCACTGCTCAGGGGCTTTTAAAAGAGATTTATTTTTAAGATAATGTAGCTGTTCCAAACACCTCAGAGAAGGTGGATAGATGATGTACAACTCTCTGCCTTCAGACTGATTAATGAACTCGGGGAAGATAATTTTCTTCCTTTAAAAAAGGCACAAAGTATACGAGAAGCTTCTATGCTTTGGGAGGACATATCACAGAGATGCACCTATTCAAATGGACTAGCAACTTACAACATGAAAATATTGCATAATATAAGTGAGAGTTAGTGTATATAGCACAAAACTCAGTTTATATATAAAATATATATGTGGTTTTTTTTACAGGGAAAAAATTTCTTCAAAATGTACTTATAACCCAAAATCTTAACAAAAATTTGAGGCATTCAAAATAGTCAATATGCCAAAATCTGCAGCTGTTTGTAAAATGCCATAATGGCACAACAAGGCCATGGCTTTTTTCCTATCTCTCTGGGGCTTAAAATCCCTTTTTCCAAGACAATGACCATACTTGTTATTTAAAGAATCAAACAGCCAGAAATGTGGGCTGTGACCAGAAAACAGACACTGTGCCTCCACAATCCCATCACCTGCCTGGAACTGAAGGTTCCTTCCTTAAAGAACAACAGGACTAAATGATCTCTGAGAACTCTTAAGCTATAACGTCCAATATTTTTGATACTATTAGTGAATTTTACAACAGATACAGTAGTGGGGCTATATTTTATGTCTATAGCCTATAACAACAGTTGGCACTGCCTGTAGTATCTCTACAATATTAAACAAGAGATGAGGTTTTCTAGTTCAGGGTTTTAATTATAAAGCTAAGTTTTTACATATTACCGATAAGGTATGGCAATTGACAAATTCCCCATTTGTCAATCACCTGATCATGGTCCTAAAATCATTCCTCTCTAAAATGAGGCTCCAGGTCTGGGACAGGAGTCATGCCCTGTAAGCCTGCATCACCTTGTTTTGCCTGAAAACAAAGGAGTGCCAAGACTGACAAGGTGGTCCGAAGGTGTAGGAGCCGGCACAAAGGGGTTCCTGCTGGCTGAAGACGGGAGAGAATTTAAGCACCAAAAAGAATGATGACTACAACAAATTAGCACACAAATACATAGAAAAATTCATTTTGTCATAAATTAAAAAACATAAACAAAACCCATGATCAAACTGAGAGGTTAAAAGGACACCAGTATTTAAAATTGGTGACTAAAGGGAGAAAAGGTGTTTATCTTTTCTTGTGAATTTATTTCAAATTAAGTTAAAAAAAGAAGTTACAGAACACAATGTAGAGTATAAAACAATCAAAGTAACAGGTGTATATATAAAAAAATACATGCACACACATGGAGATGGGGGAATGGAAGGATCTACAAACTACAAGTACCTCTGAAGGGTGGCCGCAATGAAATTTTCTCATTTTGCTCTGTATACTACTGCATTGCTTGAATCTTTAGAAATTTATAATATATTCGTGTTTATTTGTATAATAATGGAGGGGAGAAAAAGGACCACAGAGTGTGAAAAGAAATGCCAATGCCATAAGTACTTGAAGAAAATAGCACATAAGTAACTTCTGAAGTAGAATAAATGCTGAAGTTGTAAATGTTGGTGTTTTAAAATTAGATTCAAAGGAATTTTATTGCAAAATTACAAATATAAGGCAATTTTATTTTTGGATAGAGTGCTTTATGTATATAAAGAACAAAGTATATATGTAAAGAAGAAATTGAAGTGTTTAGAACATAAGAAAATGTTCAGTAAGAGGGTAAGGTAAAAACTGTCATTTAGAAAAAGTGTATTCCTTATGCAGGTGAGAGTTGTTTCATTCATGTAACGTCTATTGTAGGTCGTAGGAGCTAATTTTGCAAGACTATCACAATGAAATGTCAAAATGTGTTATAAAGGATAAAACTGAAGTCTGAATTATGACAGATTTTTGTAACAGATCACCTGTGAACATCTTACTATACAGATTAAGTAGAAAATGAAAGCAGTTTTAATATAGCTAGTATTTATAGCTAGTATTTCTATTTCTTAATCTAGATTAGTTACATGAATGTTGGCTTTCATAAACCACTGAGTAATCTTCATTTTGTGCATATCTCTAGTGTAATTCATAAAAAAAGTAAGTGTGTACATGTGTGAGAGAGAGGTCCTATTTTAAAAGAAAGAAAACAAAACTGCTCTCCAACAAATATCTAAAAATAATTAATCCAACCCCTTTCAAGGGCTAAAATAACATAATGAAGAAGAATAAGGTTGTAACAAATTTCAGTAGGTCAAACAACTTATTTTCTCAGAAATCCACAATCCAAAATATGGATATTTGAAGCAAAATAGGACCACATTTCATATATCATTCCATGTCATATATTCATTTTCAAATAAATTGAGTCCATAATGCTTTGTAAATTATATAAGTATTTTTAAGTAGAGGTCCAAGTCAGAGGGCATAATGGAGAGAGGGGGATGCAGAAGAAGACAGCTTACTTTTCTTTCAGAAAGGGAAGGATTTGGGTTATCACACTCACATTACCTATTTATAGCAGTACAGAAGGTGGGAAGTATACACATTGAGTTAAAAAGTATACTTCTCTATAATGATTCCTCCAGCCTCCAGCCTCACGAGAGGCTGCCCTCACCCTAGAGTTCCTCCGACTGCTGGCCTGAATACAGAGCAAGAAATGGGAGGGAGGCATCCAACAGAATAGACAGAAGAGGTTAAGGAGAAGAAAATGGGAAAAAAATCTCAAAGACTGCTTATCCCTGGAGGACGTTTTAAGATGGAACTTAAAAGTTGTTGTTCCTTTCCTTTCCTTTTTTTTTTTTTTTTTTAAGCAACAGCAAAAGGTCATCTGCACAGGAAAAAGAAGTTTGTGATGTTGGCCGTGTCTCACACTAAGCCATCCCCCTCAGACTACGACTGTGTCTCGTGCATTCTTACAGCTCTGCTTTCACCCTTGCGTTGTCAGTCCTGGTTATAGGTCTCTTTTGCAGAGCAGGACCTTACAGCTGTAGTGTCTACCTCAAAGCTACCATAGTAAAGGGCTTGAATGATTTTTTCCTGAATGGAAGTTACATGGTTTCCTACTGGACTACTTTAAATGCTGAAACTCATTTGGATACAGAAATTTTTTTTTTGCAGTTTTCATAAAATTGGAATTTAAACATGAAATAGTTCTTCAAAAGGAAGAAAGAGCAGGGAAAGGGGGAATATTAGCACTTGAACACAGGTTATAATCTACAAATTAAGGACTAAATGTCTAAAGCATAAGTTTTTCAATTCTACACATTCAATATAACAACCTCAGTATTGTATACCAGAATTTTATCATCATTCAAGCCAAAGTTTTAAGAATTACATTGTAAAATGTGTACTTCAATGCAACAAACAATTGAAATGTAAATCTTACAGCAAGTCTTACTTTACTTACATTAAATGTATGATAGAGCTTCCAATGATAAGAAATACAAATTCAAAAAGACAAATGAATCAACTTATTTATTGCTGTTTGGTAAAGAAAAATTTCCCATGAGAAAGAGAGAACAGTAACTTTAGATCAATCATCTATGAAGCCAAAAAAGAAAAAGAAAAAAAGAAAAAACAAAGAAAGGTCACTGCCTATTCTATGCATTGTTCTCCTTACCAAAAAAGAGGCTAAAGTTCCCAGATGTGTAAACTGGTATAAACATCCTAGAGCATTGTTTGATAACAGAGATCAAAAGTTTCAGAAATGTCAATCACTTTGAACCCTAAATACAAATACAAATTCAGCTTATGGAAACAGGGGTGCAAACAAAGATTAAAGTACAAAAATGATTAATGCAGTGTTATTTTATAATATGGAAGGCTGAACTCTATATTCACATGTCTTAACAACAGGAAATCAGTTAAGTAAATTCTAGTATATCCATTCAGTGTAGTCAATTTATAGGTGATAAAATATAGAAAAATGTTTGTAAATATAGAACTGAGTCAAACTAAACAATAATATGACCACATCTTAAAAAGAGATTATTTAGCAATGAGTTTGTGTATCAATATGTATTTTCCTGGAAAAAGATCTAGATACAATTTGAATATGGTTACCTATTTACAGAAATGACTGATAAATATACTAGAGGATTTAAATAAGAAGAAGAAAAAGAATAGTCTCTCCTCAGAAGTTCTATTAAATTCTGTGGCTCCTGTGAAAATCTTTCTCACCTTTTCATTTTTGTAGTAAGAATGTCAGAAATTATGAAGACTATATGGTATCTAGCGATATAATATTGTGATAAAAAAAATCCATCTGGTTTCTATTTAAAGCCTCTGTTAAAGACCCCACTTTTGACAATCTCTGAAGCTTCCTCAAAGCTACTACTCCTTTCCTGCCAATGCTTTCACAATAGAATAAGTGTTACAAAATTAAAACATGAGGAATAGTCAGATTACTTACTATATAGTTTTAGCAGATTGTAGTACAGCTGATCTCTATCACATTCAAATAGCTTCTGTGTCAGTTCCACTAATTTTTCTAGAGTTTCAACCTTAAAAATAAGATAAACAGATGGATCTAGATTTTATAAAGGATATATTTTTATAGTTGACAAATCTTCATTTAATCCTTCAATTAACTTTACAGAAAGGGCAGATTAACTTCACTTCAAAAGTACTGAACACAACGAGAATATAGGGAATGTCACTGACCTGTACCCTTAAAACTGGTTAAAATGGCAAATTTTGTATGTATTTTACCACAATTAAAAATTTTTTTTCCTTTTTGAATAAAGGGTTGACAGATTCTTCAGAATAAAAACCCAACATGAACAATTATCCAGTTGAGGGAACCACCACAACAATACATTCTGGAGAATTCAAAGATATCTGGGGTGGAGGACTCGGTAAGTAAGAATATTCCTCCATCTAAACATTGTACTCCTTTTTCCCCTATGGCTTTTACTTGGTGGATGTGAACAGATATTTGCACTGGAAGAGAAAGAGGTAAAAGAGAAATTCCACTGGACTCCCACTGACTCCTCCAGTCACTAAGGACTGAAGCAGATTAAAATTGCCAAGGAAACAAGGTGAGCCTGCTTGAACCAACAACTAGGATAAAGCAAGCTAAAATCTTCAGGGCCAAGGTAATATTTTTAGGGATCTACTGCAGCCCAGGAACAAGAATTAAGCTATTGCTTATCTGGTAACCAACCAAGACAACAGTGCTTCCATTACTAGATTTCCTGAAATATCCAAGTGCTCAAATGTCATATGGGACACTTGCTTTCTACTTACAGTTTTAGGTGCTTGAAACCAGAAATTAAACACAAACCTGATTACTTGTAATACATCTATCACAAAACCACTGCAGTCTTGTAGATCGAGCTCTAATGCCTGGAGTCTGTAAAATAAAATAATCACATAGCGCACAAGGTAAGGCTTTAGCTACATCTTAGTTTTCTCTCAAAGACAAATAGTTTTCCTTCTAATGAATCTGTTACTTCCTTCCCAAACATACTAAAAGAAACCTATAGTTTAATCCCACACTTATGAAAGAGTTCTGGATTAGAACAGAGCACAAAATGTAACCTATACTTAATCTGTGTCTAGAAGAATCACATTATTTCAAATAATAATTTGCAGGTCAATTTTCATTCCACATATCTTTAATTATTAAAATGGTTAAGCTTCTTCAGTTCAAAAAGAAACTGAAACAAATTAACTAAGAAACTTTGAACTAAATCAACTCCAAAACACACTTCAGAGATTCCAACAGATTCAGGAAGCAGAAACTACTAATATGTTACACAGATTTAATTAACTATTATCACAGTAAATCAATGTCCTGCATTTTTAAAAGAAACATGAGTTGCAAAATTTAGTGACGATTTCGAGTACCACAAATGACTGGCTACTAGAGAGCCAAGTATTTAAAACAAGCTAAGTACTTAAAATTAGCTCATGTTCTTAGTTCCAGTAACTGAGACATGATATATTCTCAATTAGAAATTACTAAGGTTTAGTCAGTAACTGGCTTCAAGGCAATTATTTTACTATTCTAGATAGTGAAATAAGAGACAAATCATTTCACACATAATTCCAAGGATTTGTCACTCTTAACTAGACTATTTTTATCATCTGTAACAGGGTTTCCCCATTAAATACTACACTTCAATCACAGCACTATGATAAGATACACTCATTAGCCCTGGCTGCTCCAGCCTAGAGGAGACACCTTTACTGCTTTCTCCACTCAGCTCTGTTGATTAAACCCCTCAAATCTGGTTTCTATTTACAAGTCCTCATTATTTTTTATTTCTTAAAATAACATTGCATAATGCTAAACTATGAACTGAAGCAGAAACTAAGCTGAGAGCTTTGGTAGACTGACAGAAAAACTGGTACAGCAGAAGTTGTGCAGTATTCTAACGGTGCAAGTGTCCACATTTTGGGATATAAGAAATAAATGCTGAATAAATTGTTTAAATATATTCTTAAGTATCATTAATATTTACATTTGTGCACAATTTCTGCTCAAGGACTTTCTTGTATTTTGTTTCATTTCACATGCATTACACTGAAAATAAAACCAACATCAAATGTATAAAAAATCCCTTGAAAAAATATTAGGTAATCCTCTTCAGAATTACGGCAAAATTCGGGGGCTACATTCACTTACAACTTTCAATAGTATTGCTGATTTTGGTGGCAATGATCTAAATAAACAGTACAACTTTTATGGTAAACTCCTCTTTTTCACAGCTGATTGATCTGCCTGTCACTGGCCAGACAGCTGACCTATACAGCAGATATTCCTGTGTTCATTTTGAAATTGAGAACTGTTTTCACAAATAAATCTCAATCATTAAAAGAACATCTAGGTCAGATTAACTAAATCTGCTAGGCTTTAGTAACAGTCTACATTTCTGGCTTATCTCTTAACATCTTATTGAATTTTAACACTGCAAGTTGAAAGCAAAAATAGAAAGTAAAAGAAAACATGGAGAAGAACAGAATTCTAACTGGGATGCTAAATATAACTTAATAAAAATCAGTTTATGCCTAATTAAAAACAATAAAATTACCTCTAGTTTTTTTCTGTTTTTGCTATATAATCTATTTAATGACAGTAAGTATGAAACCATAATTGTAATGAAAATATCGGCATGCTTACTTCAACCTTGGTTACTGTGCTTCAAAACACTTTGTGCAGTTCCAATTTAGTACTAAGTTCACTTGTAGAAGAAAAAAAAGGAAATCCAAAATAAAAATAACTTTAAGTTCATTTCATTACTCTGTTGTAAACTTGATGTTATCATAATAGGCTTCTGAGTATACTAGTAAAAAATAGATTATCAAGTAATTATTACCTTTAAAGTAAGAAGAAATGAAGACTCTACTTCAAACTTTATCTCAAGGAAAACTGTCTTAAATTTGACTCAAAGAAACTCTTACCTGTTTTAATTTTTCTTGCCATTACTTCTGGAAATGGAAAATGGAAAACAAACAACTCCCCCAGCCTCAGGACCTCTAATCAGTATAGCCGAAGGGAAATCAAGTTGCACGAGGGGCGTAAGATAAACAACAAGAACCCAACCAACCCAACGTATCCCCACAGCCAGGATAGCAAGGGATGAAAAAGGGTAACCTTTCAGTATTTGTCCTTTTCTCTAGTATCTTCAGGGACAGAGTTAAAGACCATGTCCAGTAAGGAGGAAAATATGCCTGAACAAGTCAAAATAACAGTTTACCTACAGTAAACTAAACACGATCCACTTGAATAGCTGTTACAGGAGATACCAAGTAAACTAAGTCATGGAAGAGGGGGTATGAAAACTGGCATCTCCTGAAAAGTTGGGGGAGGGGAGAGCCAGCTCTAAAATCCCTTATATTATGTAAAAAAATCTATCTTCACTTATTAAGGAAGGCAAATTAGGATAAAACCCTGAATTTCATCTAGTAAAAACAAAGGGCAAAGTAACAAAGATTGGGAGATCATTGTAATCCAAACTTTCGGTCCTAACCAAAAAGCCACAAAAAGGTTTTACCTCCCTACTTTCCCTCCACAAAAAGACAGCAAGTTTACTCTGGCTACAGCGGATGGAACAGTAATAGCAGATAAGAAGAAAGGGAAAAGGTAAGAAAGAGTACTTTTGGAGAAAGGACAAACTGTTTTGTTGGTTCAGATAGCAAGGGGTCAAGAGACCATGGAGGTCATACTGCAATATATAAATGTTTCAAATCAACAAGTGATACAACTTAAACTTACAAAATACTATACCTTACCTCAATTAAAAAAAAAAAGAGAGATCATGGAGGTAGAAATGGTAGGGGAACCAATAGATAATGTGAAATCAGGATCCAGTTTCAAATTCTGAGAGTAGGAACTAAACAAGGCCCACACTCTCACACTGAAGTTTCTATGCCATATTTACTTGTCAAGAGTTGTTTTGTGAGGCTCACATGAAGATGTACATGAAAATCGTTTGAGAAGTATAGAAGTGTTAACCAATATTAGTTGCGGAGTTTAGCCAGTAATCTTGGTAGGAACCTTGACAGAAGAGGCTAGAGTAAGAAATGCTAGGTGTGTTTACAGCAGACTCTTATTTGCCTTTCTGTTTGTACTCTGAGAATTTAGCAGTGCCTGGCACATGGTAGGCACTCAGTAAGTGATTACTCAAGTGCTCTAAGGGCTAAGAATGAAATTAAACAATACTATTTAACTTTTCATACTTGTATGTATCATCTCTCCCTAGATTTAATGTCCAATCTTAAAACACAAAATGAATTATCCAAACAGTGTTAGTTTATTTAAACAACCTGCAATGCTTTCTTCCTGAGGTGACTAAGTACCTTAAAAGATATAGATTAAAAGAATGAAGGCTTTTCTTTTTTTAAACAATGAAATACCATTATTATTATTTTATCATTATTTCTAGGAAAAGGAGTATGGATCTAAAACTCAGGAGGCCTGGATTTTGTCCAAATCTGTTACTGTATGAACCATAAAACAGGTATCACCCATATAAAGACAAAAGAAATTTGTCTTTATGGCAGGAAACTTGGAAACAGTGATGACAATTGCCAATTCTAAGAAACGGTCTTAAGTAACCTGAAAAACAAATATGCCTGTAGGTAAAGATGGGAATTATGATATCACTCATAATGGTGAAATTTTTTCTCAAAGGATAAATGGGCAAATAAACTTTAGTTCACTTAAATAATGGAATGATGTGGCCATTAAAAAATAATGCTTAGAAGACCTCTCAATTTCATGCAGAAAAATGCATAAATAGTGATATGTAGGGTGAGAAAGTACAAAATAAACTATTTCAATAATATATAAAAGAACATATAATTGAATAAAGGAGAAAAACCACAAATATGACCAGATGAGTTAATGGGATTAATAGTGGGGCTTTGTACTTGGCATGTGTTAGACAATGACATGTAAGTTTTACTTGAGTCCATACACAGGGGGACAAAATCAGAATGATCATCATCTAGAGTGTCTGGTACATGATTAAACACTCAATAAATACTAGTTTTACTTCCTTCCTTCTACGTGACATTCTTTCCTGGGTTGAAGTCAACTCTTCTGTCTCTTCTGCAGTCTCATTCTCTGCAGGCTAACTGTCCCTAGTTTCTTCCAGCTTTCTAGCATGTTCTGGAGGGAAATGCCACTGGGAAAATATTCACAAATTAGTTTTTTGAACGTATATAATAGTATCAGATAAATATATTCAACCACTATCATAATTTAGATTGTGTTAATCTCATTGTTTCAAACCCCCTTTATCATGCATCCTTCTGCTAGTATAAATTTCTTTTTAACACTGCTCAGAGTCCATGGTATTCTGAATGAACTCCAACCTGCTTACTCTGATACTGAAGGGTCTCTGGAAACAATCTATTCTTATAAAGCATTTCTCACAAATCCTATACCCCAGGAGTAAAAGAATTATTCAGAAAATCAGAAAGTAAAATTGTCTTTGTTTACAGGTATCATCTTATATGCAGAAAATCCTGAATACTTCACCAAAAGCCATTAGAACTAATCAACAAATTCACTAAGGTTGGAGGATACAAAATCAACATATAGAAATGAGTTTCATTTTTACACACCAAGAACAAAATATCTGAAGAAGAAATACAGAAAGCAATCCCACTCACAATGGTATCAGAAACAATACATACTCAGGAATAAATGTGACCAAGTGTATAAAATATCTGTACACTGAAAACTATGACTTTGATAAAAGAAATTGAAGACATAAAAAAATGGGAAAATATCCCATGTTCATGGAGCAGAAATAGAAGAAACAACCCACAAAAGAACCTGAGTAGCCAAAGAAATCCTGAAAATAACAAAACTGGAGGCATTACATTTCCTGATTTCAAACTATTAATAAAGCCATTGTAATAAAAATGGTGTGGTACTGGCATACAGACAAATGGAACAGAATTAAAAGGGCAGAAATAAACCCTAACATATATGGTCAACTAATATTTGACAAGGTAGCCAAGAGTAGGAGATTCACTATAGAAAATGATGCTGAGAAAACTTGATAAGCACATGCAGAGAAATGAAATTGGACCCCATCTTATGCCACTCACAAAAATCAACTCACAGTGGATTAAAGACTTTAACATTAAATTCCCCAAACTGTCAAATAAAAGAAAAGGAAATACAGGGAAAAAACTCCTTGATATTAGTCTTGGCAATGATTTCTTGGATAAGACAATAAAACCACAAGCCAACAAAACCAAAACTAAACAAGCATGACCACATCAAATTAAAAAGCTTCTTCTTAGCAATAAAATTCAAAGACAACCTACAAAACTAAAAGGCACTGTGAGAAAATATTTGCATATCATATAACTGATAAGGGGTTAATATCCAAAAATATAAGAAAATCATATAATAGCAAAAAAATAAAAATAAATAGGCAGAGCACCTGAATAGACATTTTTCCAAAGAAGATATATAAATGACCAGTAATTACATGAAAGGATACTCAACATTGCTAATCACCTGGGAAATGCAAATCAAAACCACAATGAGTTACCTTCTCATATCAGTTAGAATAGCTATCATCAAAAAGACAAGAGACAAGTGTTGGCAAGGATGTGGAGAAAGGAGAACCCTTGTGTACTATTGGGAACCTAAATTAGGTCATCAAAAGATTAAAAATAGAACTACCATATGGTCCAGCATTTCCACTTCTGAGTATATAATCAAAGGAAATGAAATCAGGATCCCAGAGAGGTATGGACACTCCCTGTTCACTACAGCATTACTCACAATAGTCAAGACATGGAAACAACCCAAGTGTCTGTCTATGGATGAATGGATAAAGAAGTGATATATATATAATACTTATCTTATCTTATAATTATATTATATTATATATTAAATAATCAATCAAAACCACAATGAAAAGACTAATACTGTATGCTATCACTTATAAGTGGAATCTAAAAAAGCTGAACTCCTTCTAAAAACGGAGAGTAGAGAGGTGGTTGCCAGGGGGCTTGGAGCTGGGGGTAATCAGGAGATGCTGCTCAAAGGATGCGAACTTCCAGTCACAAGATGACAAAGCTCTGGGGATGTCAAGCACACCATGACATTACAGTCAACAGCATTGTACCACATACCTGAAAGCTGCTAAGTGAGCAGACTGTAATGCCCTCACCACAAAAAAGACAAAAAAGAAATGGTAATTATGTGAGGCAATGGAGGTGTTAACACTACTGTGCTAATAATTTTGTAATATATAAGTATACCAAATTAACATGTTACACACCTTAAATTTACATGATGTTACATGTTCATTATGTCTCAATAAAGCTGGGGGAAAAAGAACTAGAGACTGCCCTTTTCTACTCTTTGCTCTACCTCCAATAATACCTCTAATACCCTTCCCGACCCCATCAAACTCCTAAATGTTAAAGTACTACCACATGCATGAATCCCCACCTCACACTGCTTTTCTTCCAGAAAGTCTTGCCTAATTTCCTACACTGGGAATAAATTCCTATCTTGAACTCTCAAAACTATTTACACTTTTCTTATAGCAGTTAATGCTTCTCAGTTTTATATAGCATTTATCTTCACATATTAATCTCACATTCAAGGAGCCTCACTTCAGCTCCTTCAAGACTGATCTTAGTCGAATGGATTTTTTTTTTCTTTCACTCTCTTTCTTTTGGAAGAAAAAACACTTAAATCATAAGAATACAGGTGCTCATTATAAAAACTCAGAAAATACAAAAAAGTGTAAAGCAAAATACCTGCACCCTCCCACACCCTCCCACAATAATCTATGTGTAGAGACACAAGACTATATTAAAATGTGTTATAAAAAATACATGATAGATGTACATCAACTCATTTTAAAAACAACATAGTTCATATTATACACTGAATCTTGCCTCTTCTTTATTTAATGTGAGCATTTTTATGACAATATTTCAAATACAAAGAAGCTTTCTTTTATATTTTGCTTTGGAAATTCAACACTAGTAATAAAAATGTTGCTCAGTATTTAGAATATTCTTTCACTTCTGATAGTCCTAGCTTATTCATTTGTATTATCTTTTATAGTTTTAATAATTTTAGAAAACTATGAGAGCTCCAGTACTTAAATTTTAATAGTGAAATAAAGGAAGTTCCCACTTTAATTCAACTCCAACTAATCATTTAAAAAAGAAAAAGACAGCTGAAAATGTGCTTCAGTATATTCTCATATATGACACACCTTGCTGTCCTACCCCAGGGTATTATAGGGGTTCTGTAAAGCTACTCTTTATCATTTAAGCAATTTTGTACACATCTACTATGAAAATGTCATCAGTAGCCAGCTATTCCTAAATGATTACATTCAGTGATGTACATTGGCAAAGCTTTAAAGTAATTAACAAGCAGTTTTCTGTTACCTCTTCATGTGAAAAGCATGTACTTTACACTAAACATGATATGGTGAATTATATGAGGGTAAAGAAGGTAACACAATCCCTCCCTTTTAGGGGCAAAGACAATTAATATTATTGATTATTACCATAATCCAGGAAACAAGCAAGCTGCTTTATATGCATTATGCAAATAAATCTTAAAGAAAGATACTATATTCCCTTTTATGGATCAGCAAGCTAGAAAGGTTTAGTAACTTGTCCATTATCATACTAGCAGGTAGATGGGAAAGGAGAACTCACCTTTACACTTTTGGCTCTTCCTGTTATGTTTTGCTTATTACATAAAGAGAGGGACATTATTTCCTACTGTAGAACATCTCATAGCTATTATCTGAGTGAACTTAATTTCTACTCTGATTTGCACCCTGCTAATACTGATAGCATGCATACAGAGCAGCAGAACTCAACAGGCAGAGGGTGCCCCTCATTTTCAGATACACTGTGCACTTTCAATGAAAGAATTTATTCCATTTTCTAGAAAGCACCAAATGAACTACTTGAACTACAGAAGCTACCTGTCCAAGATAGCACATCCCACTTCCCTCTGTCAGGAGGATAGACTGAGTTATAAGACAGACAGAAAGAGAAGTTAAGTTCTGAATTTTTTAGTCTTTCTTTTTCATTTTAGACTTCTTTTTTCATAAACATTAACAGAAACTAATAATTTTCTGGGTTGTGTGCCTACACTTTCAATTTCTTGATAAGCAGCCATCAATACAAACAACGAGGCTAAACATCACCTTTGTGTCTCATCCACCGTGGGCGGGAACAGACATGGAGTAACGGCAAAGTACGATCTGAGAGAAACATGACTGATGATGGTATTTTTAAATTTATTTTAACTGTATTAGATAATTTTTCATAAGGTGATGGGTCTAGCTTCTGCGAAATGTTCTGGGATTTTTTTAGGGGACACAGAATTGTTTAATAGTGAAATTAATCACGATTTGGACAGACTTTATAGTTGCCCTTTGACTTACGAATTTCAGTAAGTAAAATTTCAATCAAATCTAGATAAAACATACTAATCCTAAATAGGCCAGGTTTGTTACCTACCATTTCACATAAGCTGCTTACCATTTTAAAAAAAAAGAAAAAGAGAAAGAGAAGAAATTTAAAATTAAATGCCAAACAGTTGCAGACAGCACTTGTTTGGCTGATTAACTTGTAGACAAGCATTACAAATAAATCTGAGCATGGTTTGCAGCAAATTAAATTCCACTGCTTTTAAGAACAAAGAATTCCTTGGCAAAGAGGATTAGCAACTTTACACCTAGGAATGCCAGTTTAATTTAATTGTTCCACAATCCAAGATTTAATATGCAAATATCATTTTGATATATAATAGTGAATTTAACAAAGTGAGAAACAAATTTAATATACAACCAGGCTGACTTTTCTTAACTATAATTATATACAATAAAGAAGCTGGCCAAGTTCCCCCCCAACCTGCCACCATTATTGGGCCTGAATTATATTAACATGAATCAGAACAAGTATAATTAAAGGTTAAAAATTTTAAATATACTCTAATTAAGAGTCCAAACAGCTGTACAATTAGAATACTGTAGTTAAATCACACCTCAATGATCTTCCTGGCCTCTTTGTAATTTCCTGTTTGTAGGAAGGCAAAGAAGAGATCATAGAGCATCGTCATTTCACCTTGTTCTTGGCTCACAAAGTCCATTGCTAGAGAGGAAAGGAGAAAATGTAAGAAAAAATATAGAGAAACACAGCATCACTTGAAGTTTTGGACAAATAAAACTTTAAAACAAGTATTTAGAATAACTTAAAAGATTATAGTTTTATCAACCAATTTTCTGTCACATTTCTTATCTGACAGCCTATATGATCTAAGACTAGCCTCAAAGAGAACTGGTGAGGATAAAGTAAAGAAATGCCCTATACAGGCAGATCACCACAGAAAATAAGAGAGGGACAACTTCAAAATAAGAAGTTATTAAAGTCAGGGACATTTATAGTATTAAAAATCTATCTGACGTTTTTCTTTTCAATTTAGAAGTATAACAAAGTTTCTCTGGTGTGTTTGCCTTCCTGTTATAAATATTCTCTCCACAGCAATGCATTAAAATTAAGTAAGTAAGAGAAAAAAAACAACCCCAAACCAACTACACAAAGATATTGGAATGTGACTAACCTTTCTGAATTAGATCAGTCTCTCCTTTCTCTATCAGTTTACATAAGACATCATGAATCCTTGGCAGTATTTTATACTTTTCATAGCAGTCAATGGTGACTTCAAGAGCAGCATGCAAGTCATCCCTTGGAAACATCAAAGTATTAACAATGAATAAAACAGATCCAATTTAGTTAAGAGAGATGTACAATGGCCAGTCACATGTACACTACTGAGCTTTATTTAAGGTACAAAACCATGAAGCCAAAATGGAAAAAATGGTAAGAGAAATGATCTTTATATATAAATAAATGTTCAGAGCAGACATCATCAGCAGTTCCCCATTTTCTTTACTTCATCTTTTATTTCTCTTGCTAAATGGCACTTTTTTTTACAAAGTCCAAAAAGATGAAAGCATTCTCTGAGATTATTATAAATAAAATCTTATTTTATACAAGTTGGTATAAGAATACATTATTTCTAAAAACAAGGACTAATGTAAAATATTTTTTCCCAACTACTTATATATGCTTATAGCCCTCAACAAATCCAAATTTGGGAAAATTTATTTCAACTTTATCGTCGTATTTTTCATACTGACATCTCTCCAGATAAGGAGGAAATAACTTCAGGATTCATTTATACAGACTCTTACTGTTGATAAAAGTAGGACATTTTATGGGATCGGAGGGGTTATCAGCGAATTCTAGAACTCTTAAAAATTTCTTCAGTAGAGGATAAGGTTTTAAAAGTTATTTCCAGTTATAAAGTCAAGGTTTCTCTTATGTGGCAATAAGTTAAAATAAAAAGATATTTTCATAAGTCAGTTTCTTAAACAAGAGTGTGAAAATACATTTTTGTGGGTCCTCAAAAACTACATTTCCTTTAAAAGGAAAATGACAATGAGAAATATCTGCAACCTTGGAAAAGCTGTAGAGATTATGTAATCCAGTATTACTTGCGACTCTCCTTTATTTTTAAATAGATCAGGAAATTAAGGTATCTAGAGACTGACTAATTAGCCAAGGCAACTAGGTAAACCGAGGAAGGCAGTGCCTTGGACTTCAGGTCCTTCGACTTCCCACTTTCAATTGAGGGCATCTAATTATACATTATGCTCTATTAAAAGCATGGTGGTTTGTTCAAACTAGTAAGGTGGTACAATCTGGGGTAGGAAATTAAAGATTTTTGAAAAGGAAGTATGACATGTATTAAAGAGGAGGCATGGTTATAGATGTAACCCAAAGTACAACTAGTGACAAGTAACAATCTTTGTGAAAAAAATACATTTTTCTCTTACACACACAACAGTTTTCAAGAAGAAAGCCTTTTACATATCTGTTGAAGCCCTAACATTTTAGTCCATTATACAATTGTTATGTTGCCCTAGACTGAATTACTATTTTATGTAGATTAAGATTTTAAGATGTATTAAAGAGTAAAATACCATGAAGAAGTGTTAATTTTATGCAATAATACTGACACAGTGAAAATGAGCCTATCCTGAAGGAACTCTACCTTATCCCCTTAAGAAGCCCTGTTTACAGTGCATCTTCTGGCACCCCACAGAGTCATTTGAATTTTTGTCATTCGGGGTGAAGACTAAATTACAGGTTAATTTCAAAACCGCAAGTCGATGTTGCAGGCTAGATTACTGTCATACAAGAGAAACGCTACAGTAGCTACCACATATGATATAAAGCTTTATATAATCAGTATTTTCCCTTGCTTCAGACACAAGTTCAGTTATTACTTTTCTACAATCCCATTTAACAGAAAACTACTAAAACATTTTTAAGAGAAAAACTAACACAAACTGATATTTTTCAAAGTGGTATGATTTGCTGTTTCAGATTAATTCCCTAACTAGAATAGTATTGTCTTCAATTGTATTTCCCCTATATTAGGTCAAAGCTATCAATAAATGAATAGTTGTTCTGTCAATCAAAGAGACGTGTTAATAGTCTCTGGTCTCCAAATATATGCTTCTGAAGATTATACATGCTCAGAACAACAGTAAAGATAAGAATAGCAAAATAGAATTAATTCATATATTTGTTAGTAATTTTAAGGACCAATGATACTGCTCTCAGGTTCCCAACAAAATGAATTAGAAATCTACCATGCAACATTCCATACAAAGTGTACTGATGATACAAAGAACTAAGGAACTGGGCCAGTTCTTTTCAATTCTTGTTACCTACATTCTGACTTGTGCTTGAAGAACAGAAGAGATAAAAATGTCTGTTCCTCATATGATTTGATGTCACCATTACTCTTTCCTATTAAATCTTAAAAACTTGGGTAATGAAAATGAAAAATATGAAAAATATCTAAAATTCATATTTCTATGAAAATAGTTATATACTCTTAGGACTTCTGTATTTCAATCCCAATTAATAAGTACTACATCATGCAGCTCAGCTCTAGAGATGTGACACATTTCTAGAAGTGGTAATGAAAAGCATATTATCACAATGGCTGAACTCAAGGACCTTTGAGTTTGGTCCCAGTTCTAATACACGAGGTTCTATGAATTTGGGCTTATTAAGTTCATCAACTCAAATGTTTCACACCAGTTGATAAAATCATCATGTGGAAAATACAACTTTTATTAGGCAGGATGAAATCACTAAGAGCAGCAAAGTATTGAAAAGGAAAATGTGGAAACTGTTTTATACCCAAAATGTGGGATAGCATATCAGTGTACTTTTAGTTTTTATGATCTAAAATGATTCTGTGATTTCCTTTTTATACTTTAAAATACTAGAACTGATTTAAAGCCTGACTCTACAATAACCTGACTAAAAAAACCTGACACTAATCCTTTGAAGAAATCTTGCTGATAACATTAATTTTGGATACAAAACTTGGATTCCATGCTTATTTCAGTGTATATGTGTAATTCCTATGGCTATATATACAAATATGTCACAACTTTTAAAAAGTACATTCCTGATAAAAATTTAGCTACTTCTTTCACAAACTTCAAATAATACTAAAAGAAAATCAACTCTATAACATATTATCTAAAAGAAACCCACTCCGATAAACTAGACCCCACAAAACAATGAAATATATTTCAATGAAATACATAAAATATTTTCATGAATAAAACTATATAATGCTAATAAAAAGGCAAATAGTTAAAAAATATTTTGATTAAGGTAAATTTACTTAACATAAGCTTTATCAAAATTCTGTTAGCCTATGAAATAAAGGCAGAACAGAGGGCAAAGGAAAATTCTATAATTCTAAATTTTAAGAACACATATATATAATAAACTGAGTTCAGCAAGCAATTTGTACATTTAAAGGAGAGTATTTTATTTAACTGGAATGGACTCTCCTGGTTCATATTTAAATTTTAGAACCTCGAATTCACTTTTCAAGGTAACATGACCATATATAAAACTACTACAAACTCTAATTTTGCATGAAGGAACATCCAAAAAGGCAAGCTTAAAACTCACGTGACAAATCTGATGTTACCACTTGTTTTAGTCCTTAACATGAAATGAAAATAAATGTAATGTCACTGACAGAAAAACAAACACCGGACATACGTTCATATGAGGCATCCACTGATCATAAAAATACCTGAAAGCACTCCTAAATTCCTCACTATATATAACTAAAAAATCACAAATGTGCTTCATATGATCTTAAATTGTTAGAACAAGAATAACCAATGGCAACTATTCACTTATCAGCAGCTTTAAACTTAATCTCCTTACTTATCTTTCCAATCCTGAGTATACTTAAACAACAAAAAAATGACAAATATTGATTTTTAATTGGAATAAAGTGCTTCAACATTATGCATAAAGTGTTAGTGAAGTGGCAATTTACCTTAAGCATTTACTGACTGAAAAGCTCTCAAAATCTAAAATGACTGGAGAAAAGAGGAGTTTGGGGGGAGAAAAACAGTTTAAGACAAGAAGGGGGAAAAAACACTTCAACACTCTAAAAACAAACTATTCTATAAATCTTATGCAGATGTTACTGTGGAGAAAAATCAATTCAGGAGAAACCATCGTCTTCACAAAAATTATTCTGTTAAGAGAATCAGCCCTTGAAAGAGCTAAATGTTTTTTTCTGTTCATCAACTATAAATGAGGAATCTTCAAGGAGACTGGTGTTGCAATTACAACTAATCCTCCCCAAAAAATTAACTGTGTTGAAGGCTTTGTAATTTCCCTAGGTACAATTTAGCTGTCACTTACTTTAAAATTTACTCAAACATGCGTTCCGAACAGCACTAACTTCACATGTCAAGTGCTTTCCAGCCAATTGAGTCTAAACTGGAAGTCGGTGTTAAACAACTGAATGATTAGACAAGATAGCTCATTTCCCTGCTCTTTTGTTCAGAATAAAATGCCACATTTACATTATCAGGCTCAACAGGATTTTCTGACAGAGGGAGAAAAAACCCTACTGAACAGTGTCCGTACTAAGCACATGAAGCCTGTCATTTACCAATCATCCTTCAAAAAGCAATAGCCATGAATGTAACTTAATTACGACCCAATGATCCTTGACGAAAAATCATCTTATCACTGTCCTGTCCCCCTAGGGCAAATGGACCACTTTTGTCCTTTGGCACCCATGATGCTAAATTCTTAATTGCAATAATGGAGTAAAAGAGCCAAACGTCCTTAATTTCCTTTCAGCACATAAAGAGTTTTACTCTAGAAAGCAAGCATTCCCGTAAGTAATAAAAGTATCCAGTACAAATGAAGATGCTAAAATTGAAGGGGAGTGTATATGACAGAATAATAAGCATTTAAAAATGTGTATTTCCCATATATGTAACATATTAAAGTGTTACAGTGAGTTTTAAAACTTCTATTATTACAGGGTAATCTTACAGAAATTGTGACCTTTATGAAGAACTCAAGATTAATTTACCAAGAGTTCTGGGAGGATTATATATACAAAGCCCATGATTCACTTAAATGAAATGCATGTGGGCATATACAGATTATAGCACAAATCAACACAGAAAAATCCTTAATGGAAAGCAGAAATTAAACTTTGATCATTTGCACTAAATAATCCAGTTAAAAAGCTTCAGATATTTTTCATATGCAATGAAACCAAAATGGATCAGCTATAAAACAAGTGAATCTCAAACTGCCTCACATAAATGTTTGTGCTTTTACAGTAATGGCCCAGATTTTATTAATTTCATTTCCTTTACCACTGCATAAAGACTAATCAAAAACTCTCTTAATCAACTTTAAAGCATTTCTTTCTTCCTTAATATGGAGGACCCGGATCATCTTCTGGAATCAGGCATGATTTCAACTTTTAAAAAATTGTTTTTAAGTAGTTACAAAAGAAAATGTTTAAAATGACATTCATTTGGATTGTGTGTAGACACAGGGTTTTATAGAACAATCCTGATGTACACAAAACACATGAAAATTCTGTTCAACTCTGCAATGCAAGCATTATCATTTTGATAATACAAAACTTCTTTATAATTTTGCAAACCTATTATTTTGGATTTCCTTTGGCAAATGAGTAAAAACAAAGTGTATTATTTTCCATACCCATGAAGCATTTTTGTACATTAACCAAATTACAAACTGACACAGTACTGATTGTTCCTGTATTTTATCCAATGCTGGAAAAGTCAATTTAAAATTAAGATCTCCTGACCTAAAGATCATCTTTCTAAGGAACTCGACCATTTATTGATTTGTTCCAGAATTACAGTATGTAAGTGATAGTCTCTTTAGAGTCTTTGCAATGATAATTCCAAAATGATGTTTGCCTTTGAGTGAAAAGATGAAAATTTTGCATATGATGTCCTGAAATGTTCTTCTTAATTTTACCTCAAGTTTGAATTTAAAGCTCATTCCTCACGTGAGCTCATACCTGCTGAGGTCAATTACAGGATATCATTGAAGATTAAACATACTTAATCAAATCAAATACATGTGGACTTTTTGGCAGGCTAGTATAGTTAATCCTAGTACTGCACTTGTCATGATACTGAATAAATTAGCTATCATCCATCAGTTGGAGAAAACAATTGAAAAGTTTCAAAGCTATTTTCCCCCCAACTTATCCCCAACTAGGAATGCTACTACTGTTTTCTTCAAATTTATAAACATGACATTTTCCCATCTCTTTTTTATTATTTTCATTACTCTAAAACAGTCAACAAAATCTCTTTATGATGATGATGAAACTGAAAAATCTTGTGGAGACTGCCTCTGAAAGCAAAGACAGCAAAAGAAGACTAGGTAAATAAAAAGAGAACAAAATAATTTAGGTATCTGAAAGTAGTAAGAAATCATGAAAGAAAAGGTTTAATTTAGACTTCTCTAGTCCAATTACCAGGGACAGTCAATTTTTACCCAGACATACAATTCTCTTACTGTCCTGGGACAACCAGAGGCACAGAGTACACACCAAGATAACATCTGAGTCAAATTTTCCCTTAGGTAAAGCTCTCTTTGGTTCATGAGCCCCATCTGCAGACTTCTTGCAGAAAATTTCTGTGTCTCCTCTGCCTTCAGGGTATTTCTATTTGTAAGGTGCTTTTCTACCACAGCCTCATTTTCACTGTTAATTATTTTATTTTTGCCCAGTAGTGTAGGAGGGCCTAATTCTTCTGGGCATTGGGCCCATTTCTTTCAAATCCCTACACAGAGCTCCATATGCAATTTGCAGAGATGGGTCTTTTAAACAATCAAAAAAAAATTCTAGTAGGAAGCATATTAATTATAGGATTTCTATATAAAGTTGGCTGTTAATATGAGAACTCTGTAACAAAGTAATTGTTTGAATCGTTATTTCTTTAAAAGAATGTAATGCTGAGATTGTGGAGGGTTAGATTTGAGATTTGGCCAAGTATTTAACTTCAGAGACTGTTTTTGATTGGATGGCAAAGGAATTATTTCATAGAACATGTATATATATGTATGTGTATGCACATATGCATATTTCCTAACAGAGTTAAAAGACATGTTTTTTATTCCACTTTTTAAATTAAATACTAAATCATGCATTATATTCAATTAACATATCCCCTAATAAATAAAGAAAAACTACCAAAAATTTCAGAAGAAAATACCTTTTCTTTTTCTCCTGGCATTAATAGGGCAACACCCATATTAAAATCAGAAAATCCTAATCACAAAATTAGATTAAAAACTGCATTAACCATGGAAAAGATAACAAAGAGGCAAGATCTAGGAAATTATTTTTAAAAAGGAGAACAAACACAAAAAGAAAGACGATAATGAAGGGTGCTTAGTCAATCTTACTAAAATGTTTCACTCATTAGAAGAGGGCTGGCTGATTTTTATCATTTGCATTGCAAATAATACCTTAAACTGGACACCAAACACAAGCATTCCTAATGTAAAAATGTTCAAACTCAGTAAATATTGCCCTACCAACAAAATTCATCTTTTTCCCACAAGGCACAGAGACATCTTGTATGATATTTATCAAAGCTAGAATAACTGTATTGGTATGTACAATTGAAATAAAATACTATATGGAGAAAAGCAGCACTGAAGAGATGCTGCTACATTATCATCACCTGAGTAACACCACCATGCATTACTGAAAGCCCCAAAGAATCCTTCTTTCTTATATTCATTAATAATTAACACTTGTAAGGTTCAAAACTGGGAAAGACTATTCATGCCTACAAGAAATTACCATAGACCATTCCACTGAGATGTAATCCACAGGACCAAAGGGCTGTTGGTAATCTTAAAAAGTCCCCTAGTCCACGTAAGCCCTATTTTGTGGCAAATAACCTCAACGCTTCCATAGCAGCCACAGAGGATTTACAAAGTATAATCCCCAATGTCCAGTATTTTTGTTAGATAATCCCCAAATGATCAGACTCATTCTTTTAATGACAACATTTAAAATTCAAAATTCATTTAACTTACTTTTCCAGATATACAGTGACCAATGGGGAACTCAGGTTGCTGGATGGTTTCACTAACCCTAGAGTCACGAGGGCTTCATGCAACTGTTGTACTGTTTCAGTTTCACCTCTTAAAGCTGCACCATTTAGGATGTGGAAAAAGGACAACACTGTTGCATCTCTGATAACAACATCCTTCTCTTTCATCTCCTTTAGAATGTTAATAGCATCTACAATGAAGTAACACAAAAGACCCTTAGGTAATTTCATGTAGGGAAAACAAACTGCTATTAAAACAGCATTTCAAGCCCAGCAGGAATGTAAATTCTAGTGTATAATGCCGATTTCAAGTTAATTACTACTTGCATTTCTAAACGAGACTACAATTATAAATCCACAATAGCATGGTTTTATCATTTCCCTGCAACTTTGACTACAAATTACAGATAGGGACTGTGTGCCCACTCTGCACCACATAACCCTGTATGATCTGCCCTATAGCTGTAAGATCCTCCTAAATGGATGCTTTTATCGTTCAGAGCTAACATCTGCTAAATCACATCATTGTTTCTTCAGCAGATGGCTTGTCAGGAGGCCAGATAATAAAGATGTGTTTACACTGCATATACAGCCAGACTAATGGTCTGATACCGATAGGGCCTGTTTGCTATGTCGATACTAATTAGCCAAGCAGAGCCAATGAAAGCTTTCCAAAAGACTGCATGTTAATACATTAGATTCATTAAGCTTCATTAGGAGGACAGAAACAAACATTTTAGGATATGGAAGAAGTGCATTTTTGTAATGTTTTTAAATACTGCACAAGACAAAATGTTTTGAATGCTTTACAAAAAGTGATTTTTAAAAAGCTGGCGAATCCTTATAAAGAGTTTTCTGCGTTAGAAAGACTTCCTAGGAAAAAATTCAATGTTCACGTATTTTCCCCATACATTTTTCACTCCAAAATTCTTTTAAAAATCTTCTTTAGATATAAAAGGAGGACAGGAAGGCTAAAAAGGAATTTTCAAAATAAAGTCCAATGAGAAAGTTGAGAAACTAGATATAGTAAGAATATATTATCAAGTGTAATTAATTATATTAGGCTTGCATTATCACAACAATGAAAAAATTAGAGTATGCACATCAGCTGTATAATCAGCTAGGCTTTCCCTGCAAACTTCTAAATAAAAACATACTGAAGTATACATTTTGTTAATGTTATTAAAAGTAAAGATAAAAAGACAGACTACTGCAAAATTCATATTCTTAAATAAAGGTTATGTTTATAGGTTTTATGTTCAAGCCTTCAGACGTTCTTAAGCAAAACCAAGCCATTAGTGCAGGCACATAAGCAAACTGTGCCATAAGTCATGATCTTCAAACTCCAACCCAAACAGCAATGCTAATAAAAACTAGCTGCAGAAATGCAAAAAGCACTGAGCTGTGCAAATGTAAATGACAAGCTTGCCAATCCATTAAAACTAATGGCCTACACTGTCCATGCAGCTCTGGATGAATTCACATGCAAATTTGTATGCAAAGTGTTGAAGCACTTTGCAGGACATGATATACCATTAATATCAGTTCACATGTTATTCCAGTGGCAAGATGCTTGCATCACATATTTCCTTTATGTGCTGTGGCTTACCTTGGAGCTTGCCATGTTTTCCCAATACTTTTACAAGGCCTACATACTTGTTGGTGTCAAGGATGGCAGAAGAATCTAAACGGTCACTAAAAATTAAAGCCACATTTATATTATGTTAAAAGTTGATTACCTGATAAAAGGACTGCATATCCATTTTACCACTTTTCAAAAACTCACTGGACAGTTTGACTTGTTATTGACATTGGTCTCAACAATTCAGGTAAAGTTTATTTTTGAAGCTGTATACAAATTCACGTGCAGTTATAACCAAAGTAACATGAAAAGTAAAAGTCTAGCACTAAATATTTTTGCATCATTCCATCTGCAAATGATACTAATGAAGACCTTCTTTTGCTTCATGCTATTTTAGGTGATTTTAACTGTTGCATTAATATTGAAATGCCAAGAGACATATTTTTATTTGATACGTCTATCAGGATGGGAAACCAAAGACACCCGAGAAATGGACACAATTTTGTCTACATTACAGAACAGAATGGGATGTTTAATAAGCCTTATAAAATAATTGCCATCACCACTGTTGTGATATGCAGTTGTATAAACAACAGGGGGGAGGAAACCTGGGTTTTAATGAATAGAATGTCTTACACTTAAACAAAAACTCCTTGTTGAAAACAAGCCATAAGCTATCAGTCTCATATTATGAAATTTCAAGAACACAGAGAGAAAAGAATCCTTAAAGATTGAGTCTCATATAAATATAATACTCAATTTACATGATCTATCAAGGACTATGTATTAGCATAAATGTTGATGATTTATTGCAGTGCCAAGTACTCACAATTCTTGTTTGAGGTTCAGTGCATCTTCTGCATTATCATGTCGACAGCACAAATTTATTAAAGCTGCATAGCCACCAAGAGTCATGTCTGATTCATATTTTGCTTTAATTTCAAGAGCTTTTTGCATGTTCTAAAATAAAGGATTAAAGTGAAAAATAAGATATAAAAGCAAAAAATTTTAATTTCTAGGTTTAATGTCCAGAGTGTAAAAAAGTTATTAATACTTTAAAAATACATTGATTATGCCACTGACTTCACCGTGTTCCTTGGTATTTTTATGCACCTTTTAAGAAGCAGGCAAGATAGGCTTACATCTGTAATGCAAAACAGGCTAATATCTTGTTTCTCTGTAATGCAAAATAGGCCACTATGCCAAATTTAATGTTTTATCTTTGGGTACTATATTACAAAAAAGACTTCCAGATTAAATGTGTACCAAGTCAGCCCCTACTCATAGTCCAATTTCCACACACAGAAATATATATATCACTGCAAAGTTCCTCACGGTCTTTGTGAAGGTAGAGAGGTAATATGAAGAAACATTTTAGAATCTAAGAGCAGTACCATGCTATAATCTTAAAGTCAGTTATATTTTTCCCCTAAAAATACAAGCATGCCACCAAATCATATTGAACTAGAAACTGAAAAAGTCTACTGATACACAACAAATTGCAGACACACACTAAAATGAACACAAAGTACAGCTGGATGCCTGCTGGAAAAAGGCAAGAGACCCTTTATCTCAGAAAGAGCTTTTTTTCCAGGAGGAAAATGGAATTTCAATCCCTGCATTAACAACCTAGTAATATTTGACTTGCAAATGACTACTGCATGTATCACTTGCTTGACAATCTAGATATGAGCGACCGGAGCCATGGCTTGAAAGGACACTTGGCATGTATGATAAACCTATCACAGCTGTTACTATCATTCACTTTGCAGATTATTGTAAACAAACTACAGCAACCTGAAAACATGCCATTCAAGGTGTAGCTGAAATTAGTTAACCTTTCATTTAATTGCATTCTTCACAGGCATACTGAACAATAATCAATTGTAAATATCATAAATATTGTATTTGGCTTTGCTTACCTTACTTACTGAAAAGAATTTTCTACCTTAATAGCATATTTGAAGCATTTAAACAAATGTTACCTCTTCTGAACAAAGTGCCAATAAGAACTGCTTTAGGACATCTTCTATAGGTTGATTATCAGCTTTTAGTTTTTCAAGTGTAGCCTCCAAGTCAGATGATGCAGACTGCATAGTCTACAGAAATGAAAAGAAAAAAAAGAAGGAAATTTACTACAAAAAAAAATATTCACCACTTGTCACTTTTACCTTTAAACTGATCTTCCTAAATGTCATAAATACTATCAAGGATAATAACCTGGAGATCTGTGGATGGGCTCCAGAGGTTTATGAAGTTCCTAAGATCATATACAATTTTCTTAGATATGTTGATATTTCTGGTGAGTAACAGCTTTTGCCAACTTCTTAGAAGTATACGATGACAAAAATGTTAGGGACCACTGGTTTTATAAAGATATAGTATAGAATTCTCATTAAATGTGGTTATTATAGCAGGTAGAATCTCAGAAAACCTACTTACTTTTCGAGAGTCTGTCTTCTCTCTGTCAATCAACAAATAAACATCCTAAAATTGAGATTTAAATTAGAATTAGAACATACATGGCAAAAATATATCAACAAATGTCAAAAGCAAATTTTGAAACTCTCACCTGATTTTATGCTTATTATTCACTTTACAGAAATTATTCATACTTTATTAGCTATTGTAATGTTTTACATGCATTCTTTAATATATAAATAGTTATTTACCAACAACCAATGAAAAGCCACATTTTAATGGTTGTCATCTACATAAACTTCTTGGGGGCCAAAAACATATTTAAATAAAATTTTAACATGCTTTTACATATAAATTAAGCATTTAAAAAGGTTGATTACTATTTCACACACACCTTAATCAATTCAGGAACATGGTGGCTATCCAGTAGATTACGGATGCCTCTGTAGATATTCTCATGAATTTTTACATTCTGTGCAAAGGGATGGGAGGAAAAAAAACCCCTGAGTTTTAGACAACTAAACTGAAATTTGTCTAACAGAAATTATCTTAGACATAATTTAAGTCTCCAACTCGTGTATGTCATTGAGAAGTGGTCTAGTTGTACTTAAAAGCAGCAATTTCAAATCTAATAGATACATGTCAGGGAGGACAGGCATTATATAGCGAAAGATGAAATGGTACCATCTCCTTCAGCTGATGGAAGTATTGTCTCAAATGCTCCTCCTTGGCCTGTACCTCTGAGTCACTCATGCTGTCAATCAAGTTATAAAGAAAATAGCCAACAGCTTCTGTGGAAAAAACAAGAGAAAGCATTCCACTAAAATTACTGAGACTGTCATGTTATCAAGATTAATTTATAAGAAATCATTTTGGTGTGAGATGTCACCCTGATGAGAGGCTCTGAAACGGCAACAATGATCACTGAGGCATAGAGATTATGTGGTTTGGGAGCACATATCTAACTGGTGAGTGAAAGGAATATTAATTATTTTCAGACCGAGTGACAGCTTTTCAGTACTGAATCTTACTTCAATCTATTTTTTTCCACCACTCTGTGACAGAAGTGGTCCTGCCCAAGGCCTTACCCCTTTCCTGTCCAAACCACATGTAGTGAGAATAAATAAATGCCTTACACACATTTCTATACTGATTTTTTTTTTGTGGGCAATATTTAGAGAAACACATAAAATTAGAAAGGATTGTTAAGTGTTGAGTATATAAAGTTAAATAATTTTAATAAGCAGATACAGCAATCCTGTGGAGAGCTGCCTATTAGCCAATGAAAAACCAAGATTAACAAAGATGTTTTATAACAACAGTAATTTTCCTATCTATTCAAGCATAAAATGTATAGGGCTATGTCTTAATGCCTACGATAGAAAATTTAAACTTTAAAGAAGGGTACCTTCTTACAGAAAACCATACCTTCTAGGCTTCATTATATGAACAACAAAAATCATTAAATAACATACTAATGTATTTTGAGTAATACATTTAAGTGGAAAAAAATCTACAGGACCTCTTTATTACGTATATTCAAAATTACACCTGCAAAACATTAAAATCACATAGACCCTAAGAATACTGATTTTAAACTTATTTATTTTCATAGGTGCTATAAAAAGCATTTCCTCAGTATCTGAAAAGGCCTCCCAACCCTTTTAAAAAAATAATTATGATAAAACCAAAACACCTCATAGCTCTCAAAATGTTGTGCTTATCAACAGAGATTTATAACCAAATGTTTTCAAATTTCACTTTCAAAAGGAAAATGTTTATTGCTGTAATCCTTCTAGTCCATCATTACACAGAAGAATGGATTTGTGGGTAAGTTACAATCATCGAAATTGAAATGGTACCCATTGGTCCTGAAGGATCCTGGCAATTACCTCCGTCCTTGTACAAGAGTTCTGTTATCTGGTAAGACAGAAAATGCGTACATTGCAGCAAGAGAAGCAAACAAGAACAAATACAATCTGAAATTGAATTCTTGAAATAATATAGCCTCTTCCCAGTAAAGTATTATTCTATATCAGAGTAACTCAACACCACCCCCACCTGCCAAGGAGACTGTTTTGTTGTTAAATAACAGATTTGTCTTTAAAAAACAAAACCAAAACAAATCCATGTTGAAGGAAAACTGCAATGTTTTATGAAATGTCACTAAGAAAGCCTCTAAACTGACTTGTTTATATATTGTTTTAAATGAGTTGTTATAGGAAATAGCTTATAGGCATTATCAACCAGTATTATTTTTCATCATACTGTTTTGGATCTGATTGAAATTGGACCAGTTTCCTCCTTTTAAGTGAAGTATTAAAGAAATAATAAAGTAAAATATCCTGGACCACTAAGCAAATCAATGATTTTGTTTTTGTTTTTTCCACAGACATTTTTCCAGTCCCAGTCATTTTAATGGTGTAACAAAAGGGATCGTAAGTTCTAATAGGTTGTTCTTACGGATTCTTATCAATACACGAACACTAAAAGACATACACAACACTTATTCTTCAACATTAATTCTGCTGGCAAAATTCTATGGTTTAAAAAAACCAAACATGTATTTTATCATGAAAAAGATTACAAAACCTATAGTACTGACTTACAACTTCTGAACACAGTATATGGCTATATATCCTTGGACTGAAGATAGTAAGAACAGCACAGAGTTGTCTTCTAAAGTGTTATGAGTTAGGAATTCTCAACTACTTTTTGTATATTCTACAACTGAACTTATATGCTCTTTCCTGGTACATACTATGTTAGCAACTGAAACTGCAGCTACTTTTTCTACTATTTATTTGCTAATATGGAATTAGGCAAAATTGACCATAAACTGCTTTACTCTACCGTGATTATCATGTTGCAGTTAATGGCAAGTCAAAGGATAGTTAAGGTAGAAGCTGTTCAAAAACAAAGCAAAATAAAACAATTCTCACCTACAAATTGTTTTTTTAACCATCACAAACACATGTAGAATATACATAATAAATTCTGCTAGAAGTAACAGCCACATATTAGATATAAAACAGCTACATTTAACACAAGGTTTGAAAGACACATTTATTGAACAAACCAACGAAAACTCTTTCTCACCAAAAAATTATTTCTAAATATACATATCACAACCATATATTACAATTAGATACATATAGTCTGAATGGTAGTGCAAGTAACACAAAAAAACATAATTAAATGAAATTTAGACTTTAAAAAATGTCTAAACTGGGAATGCCAGTCAATAATGTGTACTTTGGTTTTTATTAAGCTACAAATACAAATAATAATTGTACTTCCTACATAAAAGCATTTAACTTTTAAAAGAAGACAGCAGTTTAAAACTGGTCTGTATATACAGATTCACTTAAAAACATATCCATGTATATATTATAAGAATTAATTATTAAATCTGTATATCAGATGTCATGGCAATAATGTGAACAGTTGTCCTTTGGAAAAGTTGGAAGCCTTAGGAAGAATTGAGGACTAAGTCAAGGATCACTTCACTAACATATTTCATACTCCAAGAAGATAGTTTTAAAACTACCAGTGCTTTAAAATTCTAAACTTATTAACTTATAATAATATATCATAATTGGTAAGGCTTGTACTTCACATCACAGCACAGGCAGGTCCCTGGAATGACAGTAGAGCATGAAGGAGACAAGTAATAGGGGGCTGAGGGCTTGATAATATGGGTGAATGCTTTGTGCATGTGAAACCATCATAAGATTGTATATCAATGATACTTTAATTTAACAAAAAGGGTGAAGCTATTATGACTCTTCATCTTAATGGTTTTTTGTATTTCACCATACAATTTGCATTAGAAGTGCTTACCTTGCTCCAAAGATTTACATTCATGGACCTGCAGAGGGCAGCAAAGGATTAAAAATAAATCCAGAGTGTCAAGAAATATTTAAGTTAAAATGCCCTAGCAATTCTTACATGCAATGCATAGATGAAAGCCTTAAAATAAAAGTAAATAAATGTTTCCAAAGTCAAGTTGAATTCTCAGGACAAGGTAATTTAGAAAGGTTGACTCTCACTTTGAACTATCAAAATAAAGATTAGTTTGGGCAACAATCATTAAGAACCATTCTAAATCTGGGGGTCCAAATCTGATGCAACAGGATGTTTGTACGGTCTCAAAAGTGTTTGTCTACAGACTGCATATTGCTTGTAATAGTAAAGATGGAAGCCATGCAATAGAGAAATCAACATTTTCACTATGTGAACAAAATTAACATCACTAATGAGATGCTGTAGGACATTACGTGTTTTTAGATTTAATTTCCAACAGAGTATCATTCTTGTGGTATTCCAGCCAGGGATATACAACTGAATAGTCATAGGGAACCATCATGAGGAACATTCTATAAACTAACTGGCCTATATTCTCCAAAAATGTCATCATAAAAGACAAAGGCTGAAGGACTGTTCCCAATTGCAGAAAATTAAAGAGAAAAGACAATACCATCTCTGAACTGGATTCTGGATAAGAGGTAGAAAAATACAAAAATAATAATAATTGTTAAACTAGAACATGAACTATATTAGACAAAGAGTTAACTTTCCTGAATTTGTTAGCTGTGCCATGGCTGCATAAAAGAAGAGCCTTGTTCTGTGGAATTACATACTGACATATTTAAGAGTCACGATACATGCAACCTAAGCCCAAACAGTCCTAAAAAAATTAATTTTATGTATCTGTATTTGTGTATGTGTGTATATACAGATTGATAAAATAGATGGAGAGAATGAACAATGATAATGTGGCAAATGCTAAAACTTAGCAAACGGGATATACAAGAATTCTTTAACGTTCTTATAATTTTCTGTAAATCTGAAATTATTTCAAAGAAAGCAAAAAGGACAGCTCAAACTTTGCATGTTTAAATAAAAACACATTTACAAAACAGAATAACTAATGATTATAGTCATACTATTTCTAAGCTTTGTAAATTTAATGTCTAAAAGCTTTGTGTCGTTAACCCAAACACACAATCTACTTGAGGAAGACTTAATTATGTTCTTACAAATGTTCCTAGTGGCATGTAGAATGGTGAACCCTTTCTAGAAGGTTTCTATTTACTTTGCCCAGATCCACCACAGCAAACAGTATCTATGGCAGCTACAGCCTTATGAAATGTTATTTCTTACATAGTAGTCTTAAAGGTCAAAATTACTGATTCATGGGCTGCAGAATGGATCTTGTGTTAGCAAGCATGTAAACAACATTAATCTCACCGTCCATCTCCATCAGAGCTCTTGGTGACCAGATGCATTGTCAATGAGCAGTAATATTTTAAGAGAAATCTTTTTTGGAGCAGGTCTTAAATATTCAGGCTTCAGATATTCAATAAACCATGTTATAAACAGATTTGCTATCATCCTGGCTTTGTTGTTCCATTTAGAGAACACAGGAAGAGTAGATTTAGCATAATTCTTAAGGACCCTAGGGTTTTTGGAATGGTGTATAATCACTGGCTTCAACTTAAAGTCACCAGAAACATTAGCCCCTAACAAGAGTGTCAGCTTGTCCTTTGAAGTGTCGAAGCCAAATATTGGCTTCTCCTCTCTATGAAAGTCCTAGAAGACATCTTCCTCCAGTAGAAGGCTGTTTCGTCTGCATGGACAATTTGCTGTTTAGTGCAGTCACCTTCAATAATGATCTTATAGATCTTCTGGATAACCTGCTGCAGCTTCCACATCAGCACTTGCCGCTTCACCAGCACTTTGACGTTATGTAAACAGCTTCTTTCCTTCAACCTCATGAACCAATCTCTGCTAGCTTCCAACTTTTCTTCTGCAGCTTCCTCGCCTCTCTCAGCCTTCACAGAACTGAAATGAGTTGGGGGTTTGCTCTGGATTACACTTTGGCTTAGGGGAATGTTGTAGCTGGTATGATCTTCTAACCAGACCACTAAAACTTCCTCCTTATCAGCAATAAGACTGTTTCACTTTCCTACCATTCGTGTGTTCACTGGAGGAGCACTTGTGATTTCCTTCAAGAACTTTCCCTTTGCATTTACAACTTGGTCAAATGTTGGGCACAAAAGGCCTAATTTTTGGCCTATGCTGGCTTTCAACATGCCTTCCTCACTAAACTTAATTATTTCTAGCTTCTGATTTAAAATGAGAGATCTGAGACTCTTCCTTTCACTTGAACACTTAGAGGCCACTGCAGATTTATTAACTGGCCTAATTTCAATATTGTTGTGTTTCAGAAAAGGGGGAGGCCTGAGGAAAGAAAGGAGGAATGGCTGGCTGGTGGAGCAGTCAGAACACACATTTACGGATTTAAGTTCACCATCCTATGTAAGTGTTGTTTGTGGCCCTCCAAAACAAGTACAACAGTAACATCAAATATCCGTGATCACACAACACCATAACATGTAATTATAATCATGAAAAAGTATGATATATTGCAAGAATTAACAAATTGTGACAAAGTGCCAGAAATTAATACATGTGCCAGAAATGCAAGGCTTTTGGGGAATTGGTGCTGACAGACTTGCTTGATGTAGGGCTACCACAAACCTTCAAATTCTAAAAAATACAATTAGCTGTGAAGTGCAATAAAATGCAGTAAGCCTGTACCTAGGGAAGGCATGGAGACAAATTTTCTATATTGCACATATATGTAGAACAATAGAAAATGACTAAAAGCACTACCTTGAACGTGAAGATTCATGACAGCACAAGTTCAAAAAAAACAAAATAAAACAAGCACAAAAATACACAGAGAGAATCTTTCAAAACCAAGCTTTTGTTAAGATTAATTAATACTTCTTCTCTGCATGTTCACTCTCTAATACACTGTAATCTGTCCTCTGGCCCCAAACCTCTACTCAAAGGACTTTTACTAAAATGACCATTAACCTCAACTCAAAATTCAACTCCCCATTTTGGTTCCCTGTAAGTTTTGAGATCTGTGTTGTTACTGATCATTCTCTGTCAGTCTCCCAGTGATGCTACTCAGATCTCTTTCAGAAATTCTCCTTCCCTATCTGCTCCTCAAAAGCAATTTCTCTATTAGGTTGCAAACATATTACATTAAAAAATATTTTAAGATAATCAATCCTGCAAGTAGGTATTGAAATTCCTTGTTTCACAGAAGAGGAAAGGAAACCTACTAAGCAAAGCATCTTCACCTGAAGTTCCACAGGCAACTCACAAGGCAGCTCAGAGGATCCCACAAACTACTGATCATCTCTTCACGCAGTCCCGTTCATCCACTTACTTTACCTGCACCCTCTCTCTCTTCAAATATCCACTATCAGTCTTCTCTTCATTATGTAAATCTTTCAATGGCTCACAGCTATGACTCAAGGTCCAAACCTTAGAACTTACTTAGAATGAGAGCCCAGGCTACCACTTCAGCTTTATTTCTTGCCACTATTTTAGTTTCCTGAGCTACCATTATATCAATCTACCTTCAGATGCCCAAAGGCACTGCTCTCTCAGACTTAGTGTCTCTGCCTGGAATTTCCTAGACAAATTCTCAATCATCCCTTAATACTCAGCTCAGAACCTTCTCTGTACATCTTGTCCTGACCCATCCCTCCCCTACCTAACCTTGGTAGAAAGATAGAGTACTTTCTTCTCTATACATTCATAATTATCAAGACTAGTTTGCTGTTGCTTTCCTATTTTCTGGTGAGGCACGATTCCTATTCATTCTTGAATTATGTCTATCTTGCAGCCCTAGCCCTTGGTATTTTCTGAGCACTTACAAGTTGTAGTTCATTAAGTACTTTCCTTTCCCTGTAAAAATGTCATGAATGGGAGGGAGCCTCATTGGCTGACTGAAAAGAATACCTTAACTTGTTGACTTGGATAGGGCTAACATCAGAAACTTGAATTTTTTAAACATACAAAAAGCAGCACCACACTTCAATAGTACAAACTCCCACTCATCAAGTTCAGTCTGTTGCCACTGGGTCAGAAGTTCCCTCCTTATATCACAGAACTCTTCTGTGGACTACAAAGACTTAAATACCTCCACGCCAAATCTGAAACATTTCTGTTTGATACATTATATTCCCAGCCGAGTTTTGAACTAGCTTCAGTGACATTTTGTCTCTTAGAATGATTCAGTATTTCTGGTGCTGGAGTTTTTAGTAATATATAAAATGTATACTGTTTTCTTTCTCACTTGAACTTTGTTCGGCTAGTGGTATTGTCAGGAGAGAAAAAAAATCCTTATTCATACTAAACATCTTCTTGCCCTGGATTTGACATAAGAATTTACTAACTTTATTAGTTATCGATTAGATCTAAATGCCCTTTAAAATACTCTTAAAAGTAGCCTTAAAAAAAAAGGTTTAAAAGTAAAAATTCCCTAATAATCTTGAATACTCTCACCCTAACTAAGCAGTATTGAATTTAAATAATTTTGCCTACATGTTAACTGATAATTTAATTTATAAATTGGAAAACTTTACAACAGCATTACACTTGATTGACAGTGACCATTCCTTGAACTCATCAGCTTACAGAAATACTATGTTACCACATAAACACAACTTTCAAAAGTTACGAAGAAAAGTGTTAGTGTTTTGAAAATATTGTGGGATAACACAAAATGATAATCTGGGCATATGGATTACAGAACACATGCTATAGGAACTACTGCCTCATAGACCTTGATCAACCACTAGTAGGTAGGTTATAGTAAAGGTAGGTAACTATTCCAAAAATTGCATTCCAATATTGAAATGCATATCCAAATTTCCCTTATGATTAGCTAAAGTGACTACAATATCTCTTTAATGTTCTACAACTTCTTAAATTATTATTCAAGAGTAATATTAATATTATAATTATAGTTTCTTACAGAATAATTTTAAGTGAATCTCTAATGTGCTAATCTTTAAAGAAGTTGAAGGTAGTTAATTTAGACTCTATTGAGAATGCAACCAGTAGAGTTTTCTCCTACTCACTCAGCTAATTCTAAAGTTGCCAGAGTACAATAGGCCCCCAAGAAGCATGATAGGTGACTGTTTCAGTAGTTGCACTGAATGTACAGACAAAGGATTCTAAAATATATATGCTATTTGATTCAGTATCTAATGAAAGAATAAAGAGCCACATTAACACCAAGATAATGGATTATAAAACATCAATTACACTTTGAATTTTAAGAAATTTGGGGGAGTAGAAGGGAAAAAAGAAATCACCTCTAGTCACAAATACTTCAAATTATGCACATATTCTTATGAATAATGCCAAATTATCACAACCTAAAGTTTTTCTATACCTACAATAAGAAAAATTCATCAACATAATGTAGTTTTAAAACCTACAGATTTAAAATACATTCCTGGAAGGGACTACTTGAAATTTATTTTTATAGGACAGAGTACCAGAGAGCAGGGGCCTTGACAGAGAGTGCTCTAGAGATCTGCAGAGGGTTGTACTCCTAATCACATGGGAGTGAGAAAGCTATGTGAAGCCTAGAAAACCACCTGAAACCTCAGAGCCTCTGAAAAAGACAATTCCCAGAACTCACATAGGGACTCAAATAGTTCAGATTCACAGGAATTCCAAAATACATAGGCTAGCAGGAAGTCCTCAGCCGGACACTGCCTCAAGAGCAGGGCTAAACTAATTTAGTGGGAATAATCCTAGTCTAAAGGCTGCTCTAGTACTGCCTAACAAAGCATTAAGAGCAAGCTCTAGGAAAGCTGTTCCAACCAGCTTAACTCAAGACTGTCTCAGAACAAAGCTCAAAAATATTTAAAAGAATACAAAAATTCCATATCTGCGAGCATTAAATCCACACCAGGAATCCAACCTGAAATCATAAAAAAGCAGTAATGCACACAACAAAGGAAAAAAGTTAATCAATAGAAAGAGATTCAGAAATGATACAAAGGATAGAATTAGTAGATCTATCATTAATATTGCTATACAGTCAAGAAAGAAGAAAAAAGCACGAAAGTGTTGAGGAGATATGGAAGATAAAAAAAAAAAATGAAGCTGAATTTCTAGGAATGAAAAATATGATGTCTGGCATTAAAATACATTCTAAACTTATCTCTGCCTCAGCCACACCTCCATCCACACTGAGCAAGTTAGTCTACTTTCTTCAGAATAAAAGACAAGTTCCTTCATGCTATTTAAAATATTTCACAATCTGATCCCAACCAACATCTCCGATCTCAATAATATTTACTGAATTAAAGGGAATGCTTAAAAACAGAAGCAGTAATTAATTTAACAGCACTGTTTATGTGCCAGGTATTAATCTAGATGCCAAAGATAGTGCATTAAGCCAAACAAAAATGGAGCTCATGTTCTAATAATTAAATATCTGCAATAAAATCTTTGTCCCAAAACAACAGCAAAGATATTTGTGTGCCCTTATTTAGAGCCATTTATCTTTCCAAATTACAATGAGTTTCGTTACCTAATTTCCTAGCCCACAATAAATCAGAAACAGCAAATTATTTGTGTATAGGTTACTTAAAGAAAACATACTGGAAGAATGACAACAAGAAAATCTTACAGCAGAAATAATACAAAATTAAGAAGCAAAACAGAGAAAACACAGCCACTAGACACAGTTACTGTATGAGAAGAAGCTGTTTACTTCGATTGTTAAGCCATTAGAAGCTCTGTGACTGAAATATATAACCTGTTTTTTCCCATCACATTAGATCAACTTTATAGTCCAAGTACTCTAAGAGGTCTCGGATTTGTGAAAAATAACAACTGCCACTCAAACTGAATAAACAATACAACATTAGTGAAGTTAAAGAAATACCCACAACCTGGAAGTTCATATGAAAAAACTTTTCAAGTCCTTTTCCAAGGACAAGTATATGAAAATTTTACTGTATTTTACTGCATAATACACTATGAGTTCTTTTTAAAAATCTGGCTCTACCAGCATTTTTATCTACTTGTGTATTCTGTATTTTTCACACTTTACTTTTAAAGGCACAGACATTGGACTTTTTGCTGTTGGTTTTTTGACTTTACACAAAATTATTACTGAAATGAGTGGAACTGCACTGGCCAAAGGAAAAGTAGAACACAGACACGCTCACCTGCTTGTTCTACCTCTTCCTACCTACAATGGAGGTTCTGGAGGTGTCTGCAGAAAGCCAACAAACAGACTAAAAATTACTGGGATTAATATTAAAAGTCATTAAAATTGTAAATACAGAAAGGACAACAAAATTAAAACCATATCCTTTTGCAACCACCACTGTGAACAACTGATTCAACATGGATTATCAATGGCTTATAAAACCACTAAGTGAAAGGTGCTGGGAAACAGGACAGACACACTGTCTCAAAGTACCATCCTGAAGACTTCTTACTAATTACAAACAGGTTGAGGTTCCTTTGCAAGGGAGAGACATGGGGGTTACTACCATAACCAAACTTAGCTGATGGCACAAATACTGGATGCCTAATACTGTACCTCTTGATGTAGTAAGAAATGCCTATTACCTGTGAAGCATTCTTGCTAAAATGTTCAATTCTGAGTCTGATAATGAGGGAAAAAAATTTAAAAAAAACAAAATGTGGGAGGGACATTCTAAAGAGAAAGTAGCCAGGACTCTTCAAAAACGAGTGTCATAAAAGACGATAAAAGGTAGGGGAATTGTTCTGGACTAGAAGTTAATAAAGAGACAGCAAACTGAATCCTCAATCAAAAAGTAAAACAGCTATAAAGGAAATTTTTAGAACTGGAACAATCTGAACATGAACTATGTGTATTAGATGATATTATAGTACTGTTGATTTTTTAGGAGTGATATTGGCAGTGTAATTATGTAGATGATAACCTTATCCTTAAGAGATATAAACTGTATTTCTTGGAAAAGATGATATAAAAGGCTGCCTGAACTCAATTCAACTAATCAGTAGGAAGAATAAAACAGATAAGGTTATTTCAGGTAACTAGCATACAAGATTGGGAAGATAAAAATATGTGTATCTTTCCTCAAAAAGAAAAAAATCAGTCCATATTTCAGGCAAAAAACATTATATAAGGTCTTACCTCTTAAAGCCTAGAATTAGACTGCCTCTCCAAGTATTAAATGAGAGAGGTGATGTATTTGATTCCACTGAAAAAGAAAATAATCATCATTAAGTTCCAGACCAAAAACAAAAAATTTAAATCATCAACTTATTTGGAAACACATTTATACCAATACCTTCTAATTTTCATTTTGGAGATTTTAAAAAATTTAACTACATAATGCACTAAAACATATTTGCAATATAAGCTATCCTTTTAAAATATTTTCACTTCATTTTCATGAATACAACTAATGAATTTAGTCTTTCATAGAAAAAGTCATAACTAATCTATCAGCATCTAAGTCACTCTGGTACACATATCAAAGCTGCATGTTACTGGCCGATGTGGCACTACCAAGAGAGACTGTGACCACCCTACAGGACTTCTGCCCTTTAAACAACAGACAGGGGGAAAAGTGCTCTTCTGAAAGTGGTAGTGGGTTCTGTTGAATCATTCACACTTTCTCATTCCACTTTCCACTATGATCAGTGACCTGCATTCATGCAAGAGTGACAACCTAAAGTCAAAATAAAATAAGTCTTTATCTCTGTTATGTAATTGATTTATACTGATCTTTCACTTTTCTGAGCATTTGTTTTCATTGGACTCATTTTGACATTTAAGTCTACCATCTGTATGCTTCAATGTTGACACTGTAAGCCTGATTTGCCTCAGTACAAAAATACTGATTCTTCACATAATCCTTGTCATAACTAGCAAGGGATGGAACCACAGTAGGCACCTCCTGGATTTATTTTTCCCTCACAGTATTAAAATGATGCCATATTTTAAGTAATTGATTTAACCTGTTCAGTATATATGTAATGTGGCTACTGAATGGTCCAAAATGGATGGAATTAAAGAGAAACTCGTGCTTGAGGCAAATTCTAAAGACAGAATTAACAAATACAGTTTAGGTGATGATTAAAGATAACTGGTTAACTTAAAAAAAAAAACTCAAGCAAAAAGTCACAGATTTTAGGATTTGCTCATCTCTCCTATATATGAATAAAATTTAACCCACACTCATTAGAACTGTTTTAGATTAGCTATTATATCCCTTCACAAGAAGCGTAAGTTTCTCAGTGGTTTTACAGCATTTGAAACTCTGAACAATCATTTAAAAATGACCTCCATTTAGTCACTCAAGGAATTTTAAAGTAGACACACCTACATGCCTTTCGGCAACCTTTAACTTGCTTGATCAAATTCGTTTTCCATGCTTACTAACAGAAGTGGGAAACTGTTTCCTACTACTCCACAAACTCAATCAAGATAAGCCCTTTACTCTTCTCTACTACCCGCCATTCGTGTGCTGTAGTAACCAAAGTGCATAACCAGGAGCTGCCTACTGCAAATACCAACCATTATTGAACTAACCTATACATCAGAGTGGAAAGGGAGAGCGCTGACAGGAGTGAGCAGAGATACTCTTTAGTATTCCTACAATTTTTCTTTCTCAAATTTAATAAATAACCTCTTGAAAATTTATCTTTATACTATTCAAACTGGCATTTTAGAGAACACTGTCAAGTTTGTGTTCATTACAAAGGTGACCAGAAACATCTCAGCAAGCTGAAGGCTGCTGACAAAAATCATCTACTTTCCTTAGCAACAAACAAGTCTGAAAAATCATGAGGTTGACAATGAGGTGGATCAGATGGTATGATAAAGGCGAAAGGCAGCTCTCATGTATGCACCTTATGCACCCAGATTCCTCTAATGCTTCTGTTTTCATTTTGTCAGTATAGAAAACCTATATATTATACAGAGTGGAAGTAAAATCAATACACTCAGCAGCCAGCATTAATGCCCAACCTTCAATTCAAAATAACTACACCTCTCACAGTCACCAATTTTATACTGAACACTTTGCCCTTCCTTTACAGTATTACAATGTACTACTTTAAGTCACATAACAGATAAAATATATCTATAATCTAGTTTTTACAAAGCTCCCACATATACAATTCGAATACACATTAATGAGAGTTTCGCAACATTTCAGAGGGCTAGAAATTGAAGTTTGTTCTCGTTTTTAAATTTTCTTTTTCAGAAGATTTGAAAAACTATCAAGTACCAACATGGATATGTGCAAAAATAAGTAAGATTTTTAAGAACTGTCTTATTTACTAAAATGTAGTATGATGAAAAGAATATGGTTAAAGTTAAAAGATCTTGGTTCTAGCTCAATCACTAATTTTGAGCAAATCAACTTCTATATGCCTGTCTTCATCTATCAATGGAGGTAATTTTATTAACATGTGATGAACATTACAAAGCACCCTAGCATTTCTAAGTGTTTAGTAAACATTTGCTGTGCTTTTGTTAATGAGGACTGGGAGATGGCTTCATGGAACTTAAGGCTATAATAGGTGTTAGTTTAGAAAACACTTTCAGAAACAGTATCTCATATGACTTTCACAACAACTCCCACAAGGTAGACAGATACGTAATATGATCTCCATTTCATGAAAATGAAGCAGAGAGGTAAAGAGAGCTGTTCCAGGTCCCATAATCGGGAGCTTAATTTAAAAAAAAAGAACCAAGACTTCTGGGTCCCCAGTCCAACCTACTATCATGTTATGTCCAAGGTCCTCTTAACCTTAAAAATTACTTCCAGATTATCCACAAGTTCAATTCATAAACTGTCTTACCAAGTCTGACTTAAACAAACCATAAGCACACCCCTGCTTTCAAGGGACTTACCTTAAATTGCCCTATGGAGGCACTGAGAGCATGAACTAAATGCTCTCAACAGTAACTGAAACAACACCTGTTAAGTTTACTGCTAATGTTACATACTTACAAAATGATAAAATATAGTCTAAGTTTCCATTTACGGCTTCACTTCTCAATTCAGCCTCAGAAAAAATATTATTTTCAGGTAGACATCCATTTTCCTAGGAATAAAGTATATTTCAATGATAATGTGCCTCAGCTAAAAACATTTTGATATGCAATTCTAATTTCCTGTTTTCTCATTTCATTCCATCACCACATTATCTAATAATCCTTCATTTAAAAAAAGTTATTTTCTAACAATATATAAAATGAGTAACCGAACTTGAGCAAAAGCTATCAGATGGAATTACAACATCCCATATTGTTTATTTTCAAATTCTGACAATCTATTACCCTTAGAGTGCCTTAGAATGAGTTTACTAATAAAGATCCTTGAACAATTCTCTCATTTACAACAAAACAAAAATTCAATGCCTTAGTCTTGGGGCATACAGTGAGGTAAAGATCAAACTTAATTTTGCTAAATTCTGAAAGATTAATCACTTGTCCCAACATCATCATTTGTTTAATAATTTAAGAATATAAGCCAAAATTTAGCTGAAGTATTTTTATTCAATCCCTGCACAATATTAAAAACTACCTAAATGGATATAAGCAAATGAATAAAAAATAAATCATGGTATATCCATACAATAAAACAGCATACAAGCATAAAAAATAACTGGAATAATATAATGGAAAGGCACCAAGTGAAAAATTAGGTTTTTGGGGAAATGAGAATATGTGGGAAAATTACTTCTTGAAATATATTTTTAAACAGTAAAATATGTACGGCAGTCTCAAAATGCTCCACTATGTACTCAAGAAAGAGAGGTAAAGACATTCAAGACAAAAACTCTACCTTTAAGAGGACTGTAATTATTTCTAAGAAAAGATTTCTAACAATAGTTTAGAAAAATCAATGCTTCATGTGAATAACCACCAAGGAAACTGAGCTTTTGAACAAAATATTTCTTAATAAAGTACTTGGTGCTCTGCCATGTTGCTCCTAGTTGTACAACACTTTGTTTTGAAAACAGAAAGTGCATCCCTTGCTGATTCAATGCACTACACCCAAATCGATTTCTTTGTATGCCCCTCCCCTAAATTCTGTGCCAATTCTGGTAGAGACAGGAAGTATTAGGTAGGAAAATCATGCTTTGGAGTCAAACAAAAGAATATTTTAAAAAGAGTGACTATACAGAGTGTATTATGAAAACTCATACAGAAGTGAAAAGTAATATTCAAAAAATGAGAACTGTAGTTGCACTGTAAAGTGGGATTATGGAGCAAATTACTTTTTTAATTTTTTCTGACAATGGCATACTGTCTTTCAACACACAAAAAAATGCTGCCTCATCTTTTTTAAGTTTTTTAAGTTTAATCACTACAGATATTACACTAATCAATATTGTTAGAAAGCTTTAGAAATCTGTACACAGACACAATCATTCTTAGCGCTTAGCCTAATGACTTCCCATTTTTTTTGGTTACCACTAAACATTAGGGAGGAAGGAAAAATATTCTCTTTAATTATGAAATTAAAACCACAGTTGTACTTACTTGTAAAACAGTACGAGCTGACTTTATACTAACAAAGGATGGAAACACGTAACTTATGTATGTTTCATGATCAGGATTTACTTCTATTTCTTGCATTCCTTTGAGGACTTCAATTATACCTGCAAGATAAAATTTAGAAGCACAGAAGAACTTGGAATAAATTAACAGAAGCTCAGAAAGTTCAGTTCACTTACTTTATGAATCATAATGTAGGGAAAGTATGCAGTATTTTGTTTAAGAGAGAAAGCAGAAAAGCAACAAAATTGAGAAGTAAGATGATAAAGGAAAACAAAAATCCTCCTTTCTTCATCTGTCTCTTAATTTAGTGATATTTCCTTTAATGAGTGCTATGGAAATATCTTAGAAATTGGAACCATAATAAAACTTAAAGTAACTAGGCAACATACCTAACATTTCTGGCATCCCAACTGAACAGAGATCATAAAAACATCATTGCTATTACAGAGCAATAATGGATCTACACAATAAAACTTGACAAGAATAAATACTGCAGAGGGACAGGATTAGGGAGCAGCATGAGAGGGGAATCTGTCAGAGACAAAAGTGTTTTTCAGTTAAACACTTAAATTCCCTAATTGTTACTAACTTCCCAATTTCATATTTTATGACATAATAAAAAATGAAGACAACAACTGATTTTAATGAATTACCTCATTTTATTTAAATCTAAAAATCTACTAAATTGTTCCTTCTCCCACTCACAAATAAAAATATCTTTTATTACTGTCTTAAAAGGACATATCATGTTTTCCAAAGCTAGTTAGATTCAAATAGTACAAACTGATTTCTTTATATCAAACCAATTAATTCTAGAAAATTGTCAAACTACTCAGGTGTTACCTAATTTGATAGAGGCCAGTTTGATAAAAGAAAGGGCTCCTTTTTAAAAATTACTTCTTAGCTTCGTGACTTTCACATTATTAATACTTCCCCCAGAGTCCTGTCCCTGTTTTTGCCCTATAACATCTACAGAAAAATTATTTTTATACATTTGTTACGTAATGTGCTTTAAATACAAATACTTGATTATAAATTCCCATTGAGTACTGAAATGCACAGGTTAAGTGTGATACACTAAGAATATCTGCTCATTTATTTCTTTTAGATAAAAGTCATACTATGGGACAAAAATTTTTAAGCAGTTTATTATATTTTGAATGTTTAAAGGCATTTTTCAAGATGTAGAAATAACAGAAAGAAAAAATACCTCAAAAAAAGACAAAGCATATGTTTAGTTATAAATTTAGGAGAACATACATGTAGAGTTGGTCCATACAGTACACAAGCATTAACAATACTTAAATGCAAAATTTGTAAGTATTCCTGGGAATTAGTGCTTTATAACCACTATTTAAAAAATGGCAAATCGTACTGTGTTTTTCATATGCAGAGATTACTGAACACGTGATAGGAGGGCACAGCTAGCTGCTTTTCAATTACTAGTAACAGACCTGTGCTAATCTAATATCCTTGATGTCCTTTCTGACCATTCAGGATTGCTTTCATGACCATGGTTTAAAGTAAATAGCTAAGTGTTTGGAAAAACACAACAGTGAAAACAAGAACAGGCTTTGGGGTTTAAAGAGACCTACCTTTCAACCCTTGGTTCTGGCACCTAATTGCAGTATACATTTGAGCAAGTAAGTACCTTTCCGAGTTATAATTTCTTAGTTTATACACTCAAAATAGCAGTATGACAGAACTGTGTCTCCTAGACACTTTAACGCCTGGCTTAATCCTTCTAACTACCATCTACAGATTAAGCAAGTCAATATGTGTCAAGGCACTCAATGAACAGAACAATTTTTTGAGCTACCTATAAGAGCCCATAAACACTGAATAAACAGACACAAAATACCAAGAATTGTAAATATTGCCCACAGATATAAAAGGAATTCTTGTGGTCTAGGACTAGAGGAAGACTGAGTACAATAGGAAAAAGAGAACAATACTGAATAGAAAATATCCCAGTGTTACAACTTGGTTTAGATCAGTTTATCAAGCTGTACATTAAGAAGGCTTTCAACTCTCTTTCAGGGGGATGAACTTTTCTATGTAAATAAAGCTGAAAATGGCTTTAGAAGTCAAATAATCTTTAATCTAACAAAACATTAAAGTAAGCGATCTCTCCAAGATCAAAGGCATGTATGTTGAATAAAAAACCAAGCCTCCTAACTGCTGGTGCTTATGTTACAAAAATGCAAAAACGTACTTTTTCCTGGAATCTGAAGGACTCAGGATTATCCTTGTTCTGCCACCAAAAAGTGACTTTAAGTGATTTATTGAGCTCCCTAATACCTCTCCAAAGGATCATTAAAATTAGAAGTAATAATATGTGTGAAACCCTAAAAATACTAAGTAAATGTTAATAGTAACAATGAATTAAGTTTTTTGGCTGTCCTGAAATACTCTTAATAATTTTAAATTTTCTTTATATGATACACAGAATAAATGTAGCATAATAAGGTAGCTATATACTTGATTTTCTAATGTTTGAAAACAAGTTAATCGATTGATTGCAGACAGAAGAATCTTATTCCTACAAACAGTTCACACCATCATTTATGTCTCAAATACATTTTATTCCATTAATTCTTCATTTTTCCAATAATGCTTATCTGGGGGAGAAGTACATTCTGCTCATTTAGATGACCTGTGCTGCTAGCACTTTTAACTTACATACCTTTCTAACTGAAACTACGCTAGGTTTAAGAAAACCTGGGTTCACACTTCTCAGATGAGCTCAGTCACTCCCTTAGGCAATCTGAAGGAATGCATAAAGACATTCATTTGAATAATTATAGTCAAATGAGAAGATAGAAATGCTTATCAATAAGGAGAGAAAAGGTGATTGATCTGACATACCTACATATCTCCTCCTAAATACAATTTGTATTTCTTTTTAAATAAAAAAAGATTAAGATAATCATTTATTAACTAAGATAAACATGGATCCCAAACCTCTGTGAATTTGGAAAATCTAAACTAAGACTAAATAAACAATCTAATTAAAATATTGCAAATGTAGTCATAAAAAATTTATGAATCTAGAGGAAAGTCTCCATTCAGAAAGTTTAAAAGAATTAAGATAACTCAAACTTTTGGGAAAGACCTATGGTTTACCGAAACAACTTTGACCAACTGTTTATTCCACATCATTTTAGACTCTCTCTACCTGGAGCACTCACTATGTTACTTTCCTATTTTTTGGAAAGCATCCTCTATCTAACCACTTCATTCAACTGGCACCTAAGCTTTCATACTGGCCCTTCTATACTCTTATTTTCATGTTTTCTGAATATACCAAGGGATGATGAGTCATAACATTCTCAGTTATTTCCTCTCATTCAGGCCAACTTGCTAAAATTCTGAATGGGGACTCTTCCATTTGTGCCACAGAGAAAAATACCAGTAGATGAGCTATATGGAAGTCATTATAAGAATCTTTCTTAAGAGGTTGATGGTGGCTAAACAGCAGCTGTAAAAATTCTAAATTCAGTAAAATTTCCTCATTCTTTTGTTGGAAACTCTTGGATCAGTTTGACCTGACCTGTACCTACCTTTCTTTGATTTCCAGAAGGGTTTTATTTAGTCCTATAAAACACTCCCTCTACGTCCTCCATCACTGCAGCCATTATTTTTTTCATTATTTCTATCATTTTATATATGATTTTCCCCAAAGAACAAGTTCATTGCACTAATAAAAATGTTACTGTCTAACCTTATACCGAAGAAACTACAGAATACATATAGCCAGCCATTTTGTTATTACATTAAGGAAAATGGTAGAATATATTCTTCACCACATTTCAGGACCTCCTGAAAAGGTGAAACTAGTTTTTGAAGACAGTAAAACAACTGCTGAGATCTTGCACTCTCAAGTTACCTTTCTCAGCTTTTGTACTTTTCAAGATAAAACATTCACTGATTAAAAAACTTGGTACCACTTTTTAAAATGCCCTTAATGCAGAAAGCAGTTCCTAATTATTAACTAATAGATAAGAATCTTTATAAAATACAGCTTAATACTTACGAATGTCTAATATGGAGGTGCTATAGTGTTGAAAAGAGCATTTAAAATAGGAGGACAGAAATCCTTAGTTCTAATCCCAGCACTCCTGTCAGCTAGATGTGGAACCTTAAGGTCATTTGCTGAATCTTTCTGGGGCTCTCAGTTGCTTCATTAACATAATTTGAGCTTTCAGTATTTCAACACCTTTTAAATCTAAATTCTAAGATTCTAAGAAAAGATCTATTCAACATAGAGCTCACTTTGCTACTAGTTTGATCTACAACTACAGAAGGATTACCTGAATTATTTTATGTTTAGTAAGTAGTAAGAAACGTGATAACCTATTCAAGTCTGGATACAGTAAAAGTTGAGGAAAACCAATTTATCTGAACAAACAAGCATTTCAACAGGTGTACCAAAAGTATTTTCATATCTGTGTAAAGATGGACAATACTAATATGCCCAAAGATTTTTATGTAATGATGTAAATCTTTCTGTGGTTCAAAGATACTGGGTTATAAGTCACTTCTTGGAGCTCAGAACTGGAGGATATGCAAAGAGTTAATAAACTAGCATATTGTTTTCACAAAGATTTTGCTAAAAAGGATTTTGAGACTTTTATAGCCAGAAACAATTAGGGAATACTTGTTTCACTATTTCCTTTAAACCAGAAGACTGCTATATATTTAAAATAAAATTGCAATATGAAAGTCTGCTAAAAGCACTTTTTTTGTTGTTTGTGCATTTTGTTTGTCACCCAGTGTCATACTAACAACTCTGCATTTCATTCTAAAGCACATTATACTGTGAGATAAAATGAAAAAGACCATTTTTTTGTTTCCCCAAGGGGGAAGTACTTCTGTTAAAAGCATCTTTTCATGAGACTGCTCCTTCTGAATTACCAATAATGCAAACCAAAGAATTAGATACTGTACTCTAAAATTTAATATTTGTTCAATTCTTATTCATATCCTATAGGCATCCCATGTGTACAAGGGAAAAGTATGCTAAATGCTTAAACATACTTAAGAACCTTAAAGATTGAACATTTCTGTCCTTCAATCAGCAGGCTGTCAGGTCATGAGCACTCTCGCAATAAAAGTTTTCCTGCCTTTCCTATTATCGTAACTCAGCTCAGTTTAGAAGAAACAGGCTGGTTCACAAAGAAAGTGGCCTCATTATGTTCTAACTTTATCTTGAGTTAGGCTAGACAAACTAATCTCAAGCCCCCTATATATAAAATCAAGAACTAAAGAGTGTTTTGAAAAACTTAAAATAACAAACTGTTGAAAACAACACTCACAAGTTTGAATATCCAAATCAGAGATGAATTCAGAAATCAAGATGAAATGCATTACGTTTGTTTCTTAAAATGCTTACCAAATACATTACTATGATTTAAGTCAATTCTATTTTCTCAAAAGAACTGGTACTCAGAAATAAGTATGCTTTCCCAAAGAATTCAATTAGATAGGTATAGAAACTGTTACAGGAGACCTCTGAACCATTTCAAAAGTGTATAAAAGCAAAACCTAACCTTGAATCTATTGATATGCCAAGAACCCTGACATTGGACTCCAGCCTCTAGAACTGTGAGAAATAAATTTCTGTTCCTTAAGGAAAAAGAAACAAACAAACAAACAAAAACCTAACCTTGAACATTTTTCTCCTTCTGATGTCCAACCAGCAATGGCCAGAAATAATGAATTCTGACAGGCAAACCT